AGATCCAGCACCTTATCTGGATCTGATTGGATGGTTTTATCGTGGCATTTGACCTCTGCCCTAACCGTCTCTCCTATACTGCCCATCAGCAGTCTTAATCTTTCCTCTGGTGACATGTATCTCGAGGCCCAGGCCGCTTTGACCTCTTCACTGAACCTGTTGGTTAAAGTTGGAGCACCGTCCCCGTAAAATTTGTTGATGTGGGACTCTCTGGGCAGGACCACAATATGGGTCTGCTTCTCGTCCAGAGTAGACATTCTAATTTTAATTCTTTGAGTAGAAAAAAAAAAAAACCTTTCCTACCGTGTATGTATGAATAATTTTCCTCGTTCCTCAATTTTCACTGTTCCTGAATGTCCGAATTCACACACACACAACACAGTTATGAACTAGGTTGACTATGGGTGCCTAAAGCGGCAAGTCTAGTTGAATCACCCTGCCGACGACGCCAAATGTAACCGAGTCTAGTTGCATCTTCTGCTCGACAACGCCAAACGTAACCAGTCTATTTGCTTGTAGTGCCAAATGTTAACGAGTGTATTTACTCAGTCTACACAACATCGACCACAATATAGATACTCGAAGATGCAGGTTTACCATTGATCCTTTTATTACATGAATCAAAAAGAAATGCTTCACAATAATATAATGAATCAACTGACCCCCAACCGTCCTCACTAGTCTTCACATAACCGAATGCACATGTCTATCGTCCCTATTAACACAATACGTCTACACCGTTCAATAACCAACTTGATACTGCCACACTTCTACTCCCTGACTGACTGACTGACTGACTCGTTCTCAGCCGTCGCCTTCCTATATATCCCTTCGTATCCGTAATCGTATTCGTAATTGTAATCGTATTCGTAATCGATTCTAATCGTTGCATCAGAATATTAATTGCGCAGCTTCTGTCCTACAATCCGATTAATAAACCATCTGCACTGTTACGTCAGCCTGTGAACTGCGCCGCGGCTTTGTGATCGTTATCAGCCCAACACCTGCACTATTGCGTTGTTATCGTCCCTGGTAACTACACTAGTTACATATACAATACAATTTTTCCGGCCTAAACTCATAAAATTTATTTTATGTATTTGGATTCTAGATCTAGACTAAATCTAAATCTAAATCTAGGCAATAACTAGATCTAGACGTAGACGCTAAGATCTAGATTTAGACTCTAACTTCTCTAAAATCAATTCCAAAAATAAATTTCTATATTAGGACTAAACTATTTCAAGACTTATTTATTTTATACAAAATCTTTGTTTGGAACTGGCTAATTTGGGATTATTATGCTCGGGCTAAACTTAAAAAAAAAATTCTATTAGGAATCTAGATCTAGATCTAGATTGTCGGGTGTCCGATAGGGCACTTCCCGGCGCCGCAGGCGCTTCAAATTTGGCATGATCTTGCCTTGGTGCGACAGAACACGGGGGCCGGTTGGCCGAAAAGTCTACGATGTGGGGGTCAAAACTGACCTCGACTGACCGGTACCTTATATGAGCTATAAATCGAAAAAAAATGTCCACGGAGGAACCTCTTCATAACTCTTGAGGTCGTAGACCGACCTTCGGGCGAATTAATTAAGCATTCAAATTCTCAATGTTTTCGAAAGCCTAAGCGAAGCTGGGCAGCATGCCTAGTTAATTAATAATTAGGCCCTTATTTAGAAATATTTAGTCTTTATTTATAGTGGTTTACCACCATTACTAGATCTTGTATAATAATAATAATAGGCATACTATTAAAAAATTAATAGTTTAATAGTATAACTAGTAGGCCTATTAGTATTACTTTACTAGCTAGAATATACTTATAGGCCCTAATACAATAGGCCTAAATTTATTAAATTAATAATTTGTAATCTATCACTTTAGGTACCTCAAATCGGCAGAGGCTAGTAATGTGAAAAGAAGGTGCCTCATTAAATTTCAGTAGGCCTAATTATAGTTTAATAGTATAACTAGTATTAGTATTACTTTACTAGCTACACTATACTTATAGTCCCTAATACAATAAATTTATTAAATTAATAATTGGTAATCTATCACTTTAGGTATGTAAAATCGGCAGAGGCTAGTAATGTGAAAAGAAGGTGCCTCATTAAATTTTAGTAGGCCTAATTATTTCACATTTTAAGGAAGATTTATGTTTTGAAAGTTACAAAAATGTTTGAAAGTTAGGGCCTATATTAGTATATTTTTTGTGTGCCTGTTTTTATACGCTTGTATTAAAACTTTTCAGTAATAAATAAAGCCTAGCGATGTTTTCATCAGATGCAACAAAGCTCGTTTACTTAAGCAGCCGTCATGTTTAAGTTTTTTTTTTGTGGGAGATTTAGGGGAAGCCACTCTATTTTACAAATGGCTGCAGTTTATATAGCAAATATTGCTCACAAACACTGCTGTTTAAAGTTAATTTCTGGCCTATATTCAGTAGGCCTATATATATTGATATATTAATGGTAATCTATCGTTTTGCGTACGTAAAATCGCCCGCGACTAGTAATGTGAAAAACAGGTGACTCCTTGCATTTTAATATTATTTCACATTTTGAGGAGGATTTGTGTTTTGAAAAATACAAAAATGTTTCCTTGTTTCATTTATGTACCTGTTTTTTAACAATTGAATTAAAACTTTTCAGTAATAAATGAACACCAGCGATGTTTCCAACAGATGCAACCATGCTCATTTACTATAGCAGCCATCTTGTTAAAGTTTTATTTTTATAGACTTATAGCGCGAGATTCAGGCGGAAGTCACTCTATTTTACAAATGGCTGCTGATTATATAGCAAATCTTGCTTGCAGACACTGCTGTTTAAAGTTAATTTCTGGCCTATATTGATATATTTAGCCATTGATTTAGGTTTAATATTCATTTATCTATAATATTTGACACAAACATATCACAATATACTTCTATTACAGCCTTGACAATGAGGTAACGTTTTCGTACATTAATAGCCGCGGGCGATTTTACGTACCCAAAACTATAGATTACCATATTAATATATATTTAATTTATAGCCTAGTCATTGATTTTGGTTTATTATTCAATTATCTATAATATTTGGCACAAATATATCACAATATACTTGAATATACTAATATACTTCTATTAAAGTCCTAACAATCAATGTGGCAACTTTGTTGCACATTACTAAATACTAGCTTCTGCAGATTTACCTAAAAGTAAAACTGTTAGGCCCTAATATAAAATATTGATTAGGCCTACCTAATTTTAATATTTATTTATTTATTTTATATTTAACATAGGCTAACCACAATTAATATTATTGGATTAAAATTCTATGATTGAATTTCTTTAGTAGATCTAGATCTAGAGTAAAGTTCCACGCGCGGTCACACATAGCGAACTCCCAACTTTCATCGACTTTCATCGGGCGCTATTTTGTAACCGTTTAACACAGAAACAAACCCAAAGTACTATATTATTCCTCTGCCTTTCTACTCTTAATATGTATCAATCATTTTATATTCCTACGCATTGAATTTGAGATATTCATGTTTTAGTGACGTGCTACTTGCGATATTTTTTTCCCCTCTTTTTTTTTCCCTGCGGCCATCTGAACCGGCTTGCGTAACGATCGTGTTTTATACGTTTTAATCCTAGTTTAATAAATAAAATAAATATTTTACACTTTTAAACGTGTTGTTGATTGTATTATTAATTAATAGATTTCAAAACCAAATTAAAAACATGTTAATTAAATTAATTAACCACATTAAAAGTTGACCCAGTGATGACTCAATGGACGCAACTATAATAATCATAACAAAGGGACGTAACAACCACTGACAAGACATAACGTAACATTTGCTTAGATATGCTTGTATGTAGAGACACAAACTAGATTTAGAAGAAGTAGATGATCGAAATAATTTAAAACAGCAGAAAAAAATAGAAATTATACAGATTCTAGGCTTAGCTTGAAATGTAGAGCATCTAGAACTAGGCTAGTCTAGCTCAAGTCGTTGGTTACGCAGCGCGGTGAAACCACCCAAATCGACACCCAAGCTGCGGCCACCCCTATTCACCTATCAGGTTGCTTTATTAGCCTAATCTATCGTATGTACAGTGTCCCGCACATATTGTAGAAGCTATTTATAGTTAACCTAGTTATAAAAAGCTTTGATTGGTTGGTTTATTCATCTCATCCGGGACCTAGTGTTTTTCATACGGGGAACTAGAATCGCCTTCGACGTCATACCTCGAAACTTTAAAATTTAAAAACTCGACTTCCAGAAGGAGAAAAACAAAAGAATTTGACCTGGATATATTTAGAAATGGACAGGTTTACAGCAGATATCGGTAGTTTCGTATAAAACATCAAAACAAATATTGTACGAAGCGATAAACAGGCGATGACCGCACCGGTGTTTTAACCACGCGTGGAACTTTACTCTAGATCTACATTCTAGACTAGATAAAAGATTAGAGTTAGAGTTTGGTTACATCAAGATCTAGATCTAGTCAAATCTAGTCTAGATTCTAGATCTAGACGGGAGGGGGGGATATATATTATATATTTATTTAATTATATATTAATTAATATTTGAGAGGTGGTTTACCAGTCAGTTGTGAAAGACAGTCGACTGGGTCGACTGGTAATAAATAAAAATATTGGAATTTGTAAGGACTTCAGCATAGAGACCTCGACAGTCAGGACTATTTTAGACATATTTTATTATTGGCCATTATAGTGCTCTATTATAAACATTTAAACGTATAATACTAATACAACGCTACTTTACTTGCTACTTCTACTTTTTGACGACAATAACTTAGTTAAATAAGCATTTTCGTTCTTTCCGGGTGCCCTGGGCAATCTCAACGTTTCGCAGGCTCGTGCGCAAGGATGGTGCGCGCAGGCGCACCGTTATGGACTTTCCTGCCAGATTTATTGTGATTCTAGTTTAATAACACGTTAACATTACTAATTAGCTTAAATATAACAAATTACAAACATGAAACAAGCTTATTAAAGTCGAAGTATATGTCACGTTGTCTGCACAGAAAAAGTTTTCAATGTTGATAACTGTTTATAATTCCTTCCGTTGAGCAACCGTCCGAAATTTTATTTGATAATTTAACTGGCAATTTTAGAGGTTGCACTTTGGGGGTATTCCCGAAGATAAAGGTCACACTATTTACATTTTACTATTTAGCCTAGCGCAATGAATTTTTTAGGCTTGTGTTTACACAAAGGTTATTCTAAATACTCGCAACCCAGAATAAATTCATTTAATGTCATGCTGTTTAAAACAAAGCCTAATTTTCTAAATATGTAATTAGAAACATACTTTAAGTTGCAAACCCATTAGATATACTGTAGAAACAGAAATATGAATAACGGCTTTAACTGACATGGGAGTTTTGAACTTGAGATGTTAAGAATCTTGTCGAGCCCATAATGATGGTATGGATAGTTAATGGATGGTTCAGTACTTGTAATCTTATATGGGGAATAAGAGGTAAAAAAATAGTTAATATATTTATGCCTATACAATATTATAGCTTATCTACATTTATCGACACTTCTAAGTGGGATGGCTGGTTTGACTGGGGTGGGGAGGGGAAATGTAAATAAACACTATAGGCCTACTTATACGAATTAGCAAGCAATTTCTACCATGTAGAGCGGGAAGACAGCAGTCAGTGAAGATATAGTTTTGTGTGACCATGCCACTAATGGGTAATAAGAAATTAAAATTGTAAGAGCATTTAGGCGTAACACAATGTTCATCGAATTTTTTTTTTTAAATTATGTATTCAAGGGGAAAAACTCTTATCAAACAAAAGTAAAAATAAATTATAGTGTTACATCTCGTAGGTTGCAGTTTATTTGCAGATAGAAATTTGAAATAATTAATATCTAAATAACGGGTTATGATAATAGTTTTAAAATCTCCGTAATGTAATCAATGATAAGGAAAGCATCTAATTCAGTAGTTCTGAAACTTTTTGGAGGCACTGAACGTCATCAGTTTCATATGCGTGTTCATCGAACCCTTCTTTTAGTTCTGTCGTCCACACTGACAAAATCCGATCATGGACCATACGAATCGAGTATGTGTCTTGATCCCAGCCGCACCCATGATGCTAACCGAACCCATGCGGTTCGATCTAACCCATGCTAAGAATTATTAATATACGTTAATAAAGGTCTAATTTAAGTGTGTTTTGAAATATCCGCATGTACATTTTATTACAATCGATGGGGAAGATTGAGTTGTCTGAAACATGTAGATCTAGAATCTAGTTCTATGTACAATTTATCTCTTAAAAACGAAGGCCTACTGTGGCTTGGTTTTGTTAAATTGGGCTCAGCTTTAAAAAAATCAACTGAAAGCTGACGCTTCCTCTACTTCGAGTGGTTTGGTAATGGTTTTTGGCAGTGACATCGCTAGGTCGGCATTTCATTGTGTCACCCCAAGAAACAAATTTTCTATTATATATATATATATATATATATATATATATATATATATATATATATATATATATATATATATATATATATATATATATATATATATATACATATATATATATATGGATACCAAATAATTGGGAAGAGACCCGCGCTTTTCTTTATAGTTATAAGGAGAAAATGTATGATTTTCTTAAAATATATAAAAATGAACTAGATCTACTATTTAAATAGCTAAAAAGAAAAGCGTGGGTTGCATCTAAAATTCTAGTAAAGGTATTCAATACATAATATTATAGTATAGCGACTCGCGCTTTTCCTTTTAATTATTTAAAAAATTAAATAGTAGACTCTAGTTCACTATATATTTAAAGAAAAGGTTATCCTTTTTAGTGCATTATTACATAATAGCTTGTTATTAAAACGTTTTTATGCATTTAAAAAAAAACATATATATTATCGAGATCTAGAATGGTCTTCGCTAAACAAAAGCGGAGATAAAAAAAAGGGGTATTAATTTTAAATAAGGCATTCGCTTAGAATTCTAATTTGTTTTTTAAGTAACGTATTTCCTTCAAAATATTGAGCGTAAAATTTTAGTTATACGCAATAATTAGAATCTAGATTCTAGATCTAATAGTGTGCAACCCGAAAAAAAAATTGGCAAGGCTCGTGTGGCAAGAAAAATTTTGTTTTCAATAAAGATAAATCTAAATTTAAAAAATTTAGTTGACTTTTCCCAGTCGACCTGGCATTTGGATTTATCACTACCGTCAAGATGGCGGAACACACTGTGATGTTAGAGCTGGAACAAGCATCCCATTTATTTATGGTAATCTAGTTGTTTTATTTCCCCTATCAATATAACAGATAGAGAAAGAATTAAAGGCCCAATAATAAAAAAGAAGTGAAAATTTTAACTTGGAAAAAATTATCAATCCTATGTAGAATCTAATTTAAAATTTGTGACAATAGGTCTGGAATATTTTTTTGCAATTAATTTTTTATGATGTGGGACAAGAACTGCTTGCCACTGGTGCAATTCATGCTCATAGAGTAGATCTAATAGGGTAAAATCTTAGTTTAGCGTCGTAAATTCGGCCAAATCTAGTAATGTAGGAGAGAGTGCATTAATGAATGTCATTAAAATATGAGTATATTTTCGTATATTTTGATAAAATATTATAAATAATTGAATAATAGATCACCATTTATGGTTAAATCAATTTAAATATCCTGAAATTAATTTTTATCAACCCTGTTCGAGATAGTAAATTTGCTATTAAAAACAGCAGCCATCTTAAGAAAATGTTATTTAGAGTAGCTTCCCTTTCATTTCTATTCGTATAAAAATGTATTTAAATATGATTGTCTTGTTGTATAGTCCGTATTACAAAGCATTTTTTTTTTTAAATTCTGCTCTTTAAAAACTGAATTTCCTAACAAACAACTTTATTAATTCTAGAAGCATTGTGAGATGCAACTTGTATCCATGTTTTAAATCACGTTTTTTTTTTTACTAATGTTTATTTGAGATCTTACTATTACTATATAGTTTGAGTTTTTTCTTATTGTTTGAATGTTCACTATTTTCATTTCAGGTTTTTCTTTTCATCAATTAGTGATTCTATCGTAACTTATGACATTTTTTACTTCTCTTTACCTTAATTAAACCCCAACCTCCGTCATATTTTTGTTGTCAATGTCACAACAAGTCATAAGGGGTCATCCATAAATGACGTCACACTCGTAGGGGGAGGGGGGGGTCCGTAATTTTGTGACGATGTGTGATGAGGGGGAGGGAGGGGGGGGGGGTTCAGATGTTGCGACGTCACATTTTTGCATTATAAAAAAGCAAAAAACGAATTTTAGACGTTATTTCGCGTTTTAGATAACTGTTTTAATAAATTGTAATAGTTTAGACAAGATTTTGGAAAAATATCGATGTTTAAAAAAAATTCAACTGCAACTTTGAGGGGGGTTGTAGGTTGAGGTGTGACGTCATTTTAGAAGGGGGGGGTTTGGCTTTTTGTGACGATGAGTGACGGAGGGGAGGGGGGGGGGGAGGTAAAAATCGTCAAAAAAAGCGTGACGTCATTTATGGATGACCCCTAATGTAAAAAATTACGCTTCGCTCTGCCTTATCTAAGATCTCTAGCCATAATTTTGACAACAATAAATGTTTGTCATCATTTATATATACAGAGAGACAAAATGTATTATCCACCAGCTTCCCTCGTAAAACATCATCTAAAATAATCAGCCACCCCATCCCTTAAGTGCGTGTTGTCATTATGGTCGATCGCAAGTCTCCACCCGCCAGACACATTTTGGTTATCCTTTGTTGTCAAAATGTCAATATCAAGTACACAAGTGAGTGATATGGGGTTGTCCATAAATGATGTCACATATGATTTGCTACGGGAGTCAGTGAAGATTTGTGACGTCAACTCAGGCGGCTCCGCAATTTATGACGTGTCGGTCTCATGAAAGGAGGGGAACGGGGAAAAATACCTAGGTGGTTGATGGAGAACCTCTATAATGCTTTGTTCAATCAAAATAACGATAAATAAGCTTTAGTATACGTATACCTTGCTTAAAACGAATCATCACAAATGTTGCAAGCCTGCTAGTTTAAGACATTTGGCAAAACGGCCTTAACTTAACACATTATCCCCGTCAAAAAGGCTTGCTACCAAATGCCTGCCGACGAATAAGCCGCGTCTAATGCGGGGCGTTAGGAATACGGCCATTAGCATGGGCCGCGTTAGAGCACCAGTAGGCTATCGCGCTTTGTAAGATAACGTAAATACTTAAATTCAATTTCGCTAAACTGCGCGAAAATTTAGTGATGTTCCATCGTTTGAGGAGATTTATTTTCTTCGACTTAAATTGAAATATCATGTTGACTGTCTGGCTGTGTGGCTCTTAATCTCTGAATATCACTTTTAATGTATCAAGATTCAGAACTATAATTTACTTTAATATAAGTGTCATTTTATCGTTTATTGTGCTTTTTATAAAGCTCAGAGCAGCTTCAAAATCGGACGGCCATCTTGTTTTCACCAAGCTTCTTTTGGAGCTTAATATGGGTAGTCTAGTTCTATACGGTGAGAGCTTAATACCTTTTTAATGAACGAATGTCTCAAGACAGCAAGCTTGCAGAAATAACTACGTACGTTTAAATGGATGAGTGATAGATGTGTTAGGGGCTGTTTAATGAACACCAACTTATGTAATCAAATTAAACGTCGCATAAGCGTCAAAAAGGCAGTGCTTGTTGTTTTTTTTATATAAAATTAGCCTAACGGTCGGCGGTACCGCTACATGACGTCACGTGCGAGCGTTAACTCGGTGACGATGTGCTAAGTGGGGGAATGAAAAAGGTAGGGTTCAAGAAATGCGACTCGGCAAGCTTTTTACATTTCTTGACCCTTCTTAATAGTTCTTTCGTCCCCACTGAGAAAATGGATCACCAATGAATGACGCGTCATACTTCTACAGCTGGTCTTTCTCCCACAACCATCCCGTTTTCACGAAAAAAAAACCTGACCCGTCTCCAAAATCACATCGCTGAGTTCTACTCAACCTCTCCCCACCACAAATCACAATTTCTATCTGAAACAATATGTTCATATGTTTGCTCTGTAATGTAATAATGCACGCTGTCATTACTATCTTAAGAGCGACGTCATTTATGAGCGATCTAATATTGATTTGCTTACTGCAAATAAAGTGTTCAAAAGTTCAACCTCCCAACAATTGTTGTGGTCTTGGATGCACACTATTAAGTCTGAAAAGGTCTATTAGTCATTCATGTCAACTATATTTTAAAAAAAAGAAAACTTACTATACAGGGGGTCATCCATAAATGATGTCACGCTTTTTTTGACGATTTTTACCCCCCCCCTCCCCTCCGTCACACGTCGTCACAAAAAGCCAGACCCCCCCTAATATGACGTCACACCTCAGCCTACAACCCCCCCCCCCCCTCAAAATTGCAGTTGAATTTTTTTTAAACAGCTATATTTTTCCAAAATCTTGTCTGAACTCTGTCAAAATAGAGTATTTTAATCAATTGTTATTACAATGTATTAAAACAGTTTTTTAAAACGCAAAATAACGTCTAAAATTCGTTTTGTAACATTGCTTTTTTAAAATGCAAAAGTGTGACGTCGCACCATCTGAACCCCTCCCCCTCCCCCTCATCACACAACGTCACAAAATTACGGACCCCCCTCCCCCTACGAGTGTGACGTCATTTATGGACGACCCCCCGGCATATATTAAAACAATACAAAACAATCATATTAAACCACAAAATCAACACAAAAGACATGCGAATAGACAATTTATTGTTTTTAAAACATGGCCGCTGCTTGTATTTACTCATTGTTGTCTCGAACGGCGTAATTTGAAGTTTATTCCAGGATATTTATGAATGGTTTGGTCTTGGATTGTGAATTGTTATTCAATTATCTGTTATATTATGTAAAATATGACATAAATATGGCCAAATGAAAGAAATATTCATTAGTTACCTTCATCGCACATTACTAGCTAAGTTGGAATTTACGACGCTAAACTAAGATTTTACCTCTAATAGACCATTAAAAAAAAGCCATATATTCTTAGATATGTTTTTGTATAGCTTTACATTGAATAATTGTTGTTAAGTTAGATTCCAATATTAGTTTGTAGTAGTCAACAGTAGGGTTTCTCGTATTACACTCCCTCTGATTATCTGATAACCATCTTTTTCTCTATGAGTCTCTCTAGTCTAAAGTTAAATAATGTACTATCAGAATCATCAGAGGGTAGTGGTAGTAATATGCAAGAAAGGTGGCTCATTAATATCATTATTAATAATATGGCTTCAATTATTAAATACAAGTAGGCCCTAGGGCCTAGGACTATATTATTATAATTTTGTAGGCCTATCAAATATAATAGTCTAGAGCAGGGGTCTCCAAACTACAGCCCGTGGGCCGGATGGGGCCAGCGAAGTCATCTCATCCGGCCCGCGGAGATCTTTTTGTCCAAGAAAAAATTGTTTGTTGGTGATGGCTGAAGACCTTTGCGCAGAAAAATCAAAGACATGCCTGAAGAAACTGGCCCCCGAACTAAAATTAGTTAATGCGGCCCTCGGGCTGAAAAGTTTGGAGATGGTCTAGAGTCTAGATAATTGAATAATAAACCAAAAGCAATGTCTAGGCCAAGAAAGGCCAGAAATTAACTTTAAACAGCCTTGTTTGCGAGCAAGATTTGCTATATAATAGTATATAAACAGCGGCCATCTGTAAATTAGAGTGGTTTCCTCTGAAGCTCTAGCTAAAATGTTACCAAAAAACTTAAACAAGATGTCTGCTAAAGTAAATGAGCTTGGTTGCATCTGATGAAAACATTGCTAATCTTTATTTATTACTGAAACGTTTAAAGTTAAAATACAATTGTTCAAAAACAGGGACATGAATGAAAGTTTGAAACATTTTTTAAACTTTTAAAACATAAATCTTTCTAAAAATGTGAAATGATTAAAAAAATTTGATGTCACCCTTTTTCACATTACTAGCCTCTGCCAATTTTACTTACGTAAAAGGATAGATTACCGTACTATGTATTATAAATTATTAGATAATTATACAGTTTTAAGTATTAAACGTAACTACTAAATCTAGTTACTAGTTACTAACTGGAATGTGGAGCCTAAGTAAGTTGTGGTGCCAAATTAGTGTAAGTCACTTTTATTTTTATGCATGTTTACAGAATAATAGCATAATTAATGCTCTTTATCAGATTTGTTTACGACTTGAAAGTAAAAGTAACTTTAACTTCTCTTAGCCTAACAACCCACAGGGTCATTGATTAGAGTGTTTTTATTTTAAACAAATAAAAACTAGATATCCTATCATATTAAAATGTAAGTAATAATAAACACATGCTGAAATATTAACCTACAGATTTATTTGAAAATGAAAGTTAACTAAGCTTAATAAACTGTGTTGATAAAAATAATTTTTAATGTAGGCCTAGGCTAATGTGTTCAAATTCCATTTAAAAGGCACCCCCAGATTTAATAACGAGAGAACAGAGACAAGCAGCACAAGATGTTATCCTTAATTTTCGCAAAACTCGAATGCCATATGGCTTGTGTCAGTATATTTTAGGTAGGTACCAAATCAGTTTCATGTTTTAAAATTTAAATTTGTAGGCCTAAATGTTTACTCAACAATTTTTAAAAATTACTTAATTTCAATGCTAATTATTGATAATTAAATATATGTGCCTACTTCATGTTGAAAATTTTCATTGTTTTGCTTTGTTAAATTAATTTGATCTATAAAAAAAAACAATTACATTTTTCTCTTTTAGAAAATAGCAAAAATGACTACACATTATTCCAGGCAGCCACAACAATAAAGGAAGCCATTGTCAGAGATTGGACATTGATGGGTCCTGATGCTGTGGAATCACTCAGATCATTTCTACTAAGATACATCACAAACCATATTACTCTACAGGTGATTAGCACAGACTTTTAAAATTAGCATGGCCTGTTATTATTGGTATATCTTTATTTAAAAATAATATTGCAAAAACAAAACAAAAAAAGTTGTGTATAGTTCTAGATTATACTATCTGGACATTTGATACTTCTGTTTTAGTTAGTAGTACTGGATTATTTTACAAATATGTAACAACAATTAAAAAATCTTTTTTAAAAAAATCATTTGAAATATGTTTTTACAGAGTTATGTTAGAGAGCAGATTCTGCAGACAGTTGCAGTGATACTAAAAAGAGCTACGTTAGATAAGAAGGGAAAGAGCTGTGATGGTTTATTTGAGGATGTAACTGCACTGATAAGCAGCGGTAACATTACAATGGTATGCATTTTTGCTAATATTTTAACTTAATTGCCAAGGAAATTAAGTTTGGTTTTGTAGGTTGGTTATATTTATAATTGTTTGACCAGTCATGACTTTTTTTTTCAACTATTCAAAGTGTAAAATGTTCAATTGCAGCAATTAGTTGCCTGTTCAATGTTAACATCATTGTTAAATGAGTATTCTTACACAAGTCGAACCAGCAGTGTGGGGCTTACATGGGAATTCCACATAAAGTGCAAAAGAGCTTTTGAGGTAATAATGACATACTTTATCCTTAAAAAATTGTATACAAGCACACATATATCTTCTTCTTTCTTTTCTTAATTGTAATATTAAAAGGGAACATGGGTTGGCATGGCCAGACAGGTAAAACTTGTAAAACAAAAAGTCTTGAGTTTGAATCGCTGAGCAAATGAGGCTCGATAACTGGGGACATCAACCCATCTATGAGAGAAAACTCCAAAATCAAACAAATAGAAACAACAGCCTATATGGCGCATAACAAGTGGACATGTAATACGCAATTTTGTTGGAGGGAATCCCTTCCAACATTACAATTTGGAACGAAGAAGAAAATGGTGATTCTTTCCAACACAAATAAGTATTACATGTCAACGCATCATGCCCCATATGGCTTGTGGACTCTGACTTCAATTTGCTATTCTTCCTGGGTATGCTTTACAACACACATGAATTTTTTAAAGAGAATGTCCAATTTTCAGGTTATTTATGTTTTTAGATTTTCTCTTAATTTTGTTTTGTTTTTCAGCAATCTGATTTAAAACGTGTGTTCATGTTCACCTTGCAAGTTCTAAATGAAATTGAGGCCCAACCAAGCCCTCTAAGTAGAGAGGCCACTGCCTTCTTGAATCGCATTCTGTCTATTGCTGAGCAAGTGCTGAATTGGGAATTTACTCCACGTGGAGGTTTGTAAAATAGCAAAGTTGTGGATTTGAGTTATATTTGTCAATGAAGTTGCATATTTTAAAAATGAATATGAAATATATTTTAATTGAATCTTTCTTTTAAAGTGAGGATGCATCATGCCTTTGTTTCCAATCCAAATGCCACATTAAAACCACCTGAGAGTTGGAGTGATGTTCTATTAGAAAAAAATACATTGTCCTTGTTTTTCAGAGTAAGTCAAGGTTTTTTACTTTCAATCACTTTGGTAAGAAATTTTTTTTTTTAAAGCAATTCTGTTGAATTAAACCTAATTTCATATTTTATACAAAGAACATTTTACTTAACTTTATACTGTGTCAATTCCCAGATTCATATGAAAGCAAGATTTAATAGTGAAATGGCTCATCATTCTATTCAGTGCCTTGTACAACTTGCATCTTTAAATGGTTTAATATTTACAAAAGAAACTCAGCCTCAGTATTTAGCACAGTTCATTGAAGGTTTCCTCCAAATGCTGTCCCAGTAAGTTTATATTTAGGGAAAGATTAGTGAAGATATATAAGGTTTTAAACAACTATATGTCTCATTTTAGTCACTGCTGATCCATGGGCAAACCTCTGTTTAAACATATTTGAAAGTAATTGAATATGATTGTAAAAAAGTTTTATATATATATATATATATATATATATATATTTAAAAAATCACAAGTTGTTAGACAAAATTACCTTCTATTGAAATAATTTGAAAAAAAATTAACTTTACTTTTGTTTATTTTCAGAATTGATCTTCAAGAGTATGAGAACTTTTCAGTAGCTTCCATTTTCAAGAATCTGCTTCTCATGTTTCCCATACAGAATTTCAATAGTTTAGATGTAGTGTTGTTTAAGTCCTTTGTACAAACACTCACGGCACTCACCTGCAGCATGAGCCAATTGGCTGCTCAAGAAGAATCAGTATGTTACTTTTTGCTATGGGTCAGCTGTAGGTTAGATGGAAATAGGTTAGAATAATCTAGAACCAGGGGAGAGTGCGTGTGAATTGAGTTTACTATAGGGTATTGTTAACCCCAGTGTGTTTATGTATTGTTATCCAAAGGGCGATTGTGGTATAAAAGCTGGAGTGAATGATTGTAAGGAGTTAGTTGATAGCGGTTAGGGCGAGGGCTACTCTGTGATGTGAAGAATTGAGACCAAATAAAAGTATTGAAGATAGTCACTAATCGTTTTCTGAGTTGAACCAAACACGGATGTAACACTTTTGTTTCTGTTATTGGGGAGAGCCAAATATTGAGAAGTTGTGAAACTGATTATGTTTTATTCAATACTTATCTTCCTAGATGCATAAAGATGACAGGATTCATATGGAGTCATATGAGAAGCTTCTTGAATCCTGGTCTTGTTTAACTAGAGAAGTGAGTTCTCTACCACCAGAAACTCTCATTTCACCAGCAACACAGATCTTCAATTCCTATTTACAGTGTCATCTGGCACCTCCTGATGGTGTGCGGAGTATGGTATGCTAATTTAACCTTGTTATTATTTTAGCTTTAAATTAACATTAGTCCTCCCATTTCTTTTTATACTTAAGTTATTCTATTTTCTTTAGTGTCCATAGTTTGTATTCTTAACAAAAAGTTACTTGATTTCTTTACTGTAATGTAAAGACTTGTATTTCCTTAGAATGCTGATGAATCTGAGGAGGATATTGGTGAAACAGAAGAAGATGACAGAGAAAAATTTTCTGATCAGCTGTGCTGTATTGGTGCTTTAGGACGCATTATTCCTGCACATACAGTGCCTCTTTTAGCCAAGTAAACACTCCATTGTATTTTTTAAACCTGTGAATTTGCACCCGTTATTATGTTTTCTTGTGCTTTAATGTTGATTAGAAATTTGTTGTAAATTAAGTATACTTAAGTAACATTGATCAGTTAAAAATGATGAATTATCACCATATTAAACATTTGTAAACACTAACTAGGACAAAAGAACAGCAAAATTGAATTGTTTTAATACTTCTCAAATGCTTTACTTCAGGCTTTTAGAGGATCGTGTATCTCAAATAAGTAATCATCTACATCGATATCAACAGCAGCGAGACATGGTTAGTAGTCACGAAACAACTGTTGACCTAAGTGGACTTCACTCTCTACAAGAAGATTTACATTGGCTAATTCTTGTCACTGGTTGGTTTACTTTATTTACTGAAAAGTTATTGCACTGTATTAAAAAATGTTGTGACTTAGTCATTGCAGTTTTTGACTTAATTAAAACATTTTTTTTTATAAAACAAGGACATGTCAGTTTTAGTAATCAAATAGCAAAACTATTTCAATTAATTTTGCAAGCCAGCTTTTACTCTTAGTTGCTTCCATCAAATCAAAGTTGCAAAAACTATACCAGATGCGCTACTTGTTGTTTTTGTATTTATATTTAGTGCGGAAAAAATTTGTAAAATCCTTATAAATTTTAATTTTAAAGGTAATCTCCTGGCTGATGCTGCTGATGGAGAAACTGCTACCATTCCATCTACCATAATGAAATATTCCATGGATCAGGCAAAGACCACTGACATTAATCTCACTTTGAAGATGTTTTCATCACCTGGTCAAAAGCTAGAGCCCTCGCATGAACAAAATGTGGATCCTGTCATTAGGTACATAATATATTCCTTCTTATGTTGTGATACTACTTTTTGTTTTATACCATTTTGTATTTCATTTGGGTTCTCAAAGCTCACATTTAAATTTTAGCATCTTAAAAATTTGCTTTACCCATTACTAATTAAATTCTTGAATATCTATGTAAAATTTGTAATGTGTAACTTTTAATAATTTGTTTTCATTAGTCTTATATTGGATTTAATTGGTTAAAAATATTTTAGTTGTTCAATTTATTTCAAGCATAATACTGTAAATAATACCTGCTTAAGTTATTTTTGTGTATCTTATATTTCCATTTTGCTATTTTTATTTTACTCAACACTAAATTTAAAATAATTTATAAGTTCAAAAGTTACTCATTATTTATACTACTTTTAAATAAATGCAATTCTTTTTAGGCTGATCACTGCTGTTTTTAGACTATGTGAAGTTGAAAACAGAGCAGTTGATGCAAAGCTAAATGAATTTCTCAGCCCACAAGTAGGCAGCACTATAATGTGGTTCTTAGAGAGATGGGCAGATGCTTATGTTTTACATGATGAGATGGATTATACTGAGGTAAGTTATCAACATCTTACGGATATGAAGAAAATTGTACATCTGCAATTACATTTCAGTGTGAAACATCATTTAAAAATTAAGAAAAAAAACTATTTTTGTTTGTGTTTTAGATGAGTTTAATGCTGGCAACTGCATTTGGGATGGACACAGAAGGTGTGAAATGGACTGTAAATTTTATTCTTCAAAAGATTTTTTCTACTTTGTCTGTTTGGGGATCAGAACCTGCTCTTATTAGTGATACTTTAGAGCTTCTGATTGATATGGCTGAACAAAGTTCAAGGTAATAAACCTTTTCTTTGAAGTGGGGGTGGAATAAAAAATTGCACCCTGGCCATAGATAAACTTAATTTTGCTATGATTTCTCAGGGCTATGTATCTAACGCAGACTGATGTTTTATGGAATCTGGCAAAATTAGAATCAAACCAACAACCACCTGTGGCCACTCTCCCACCAGATGGAAGGCGCCAGTTTATGAAGGCCATGGTCTTAGCTGGCTGTGGTATAAAGGACTCTGCACAGGAAGAGCATTATTGGAAACTGGTTTGTTTTTTTATTTTTAAAATTGTATTGTACAGAAAATGATTCTTTTTTCATTATATTTGATCAATATTTGGCTTATTTCCACAGTTACTTCAGTCCAATAGAGAAAGGTTTTTAGTCTTAGTAGAATCCCCAGATTTCAAAGTCGGTAAAGAGACTAGTAGGCAACAGTTTTTATACCTATTAGAAACCTTAATTGGAGTTGCAACAGCCACACAAAATTCAATTGCTAAAGAAATGTACCAGGTTTGTTAATGATTTTAAATCATATTTTGTTGCTTTGTTAAATTATTTTTCAGTTATTAATTCACAAAAAGCACAAATGGGTATTGTTTATTAATTTAATTATTTTATACTGATGTATAAAATTTTAATAATGTAAGCCACACTTGAATATTATTTTTTTGTTAATGAACCTCTGATATGTGGGTATTAAATACAATAATCTACATGTTTATCATATTTTCCTGCCAGTTCATGGCTCCTCTTCTAGCTCATATTATCAAAGCAATAGATCTGCTGCACAATTATGAAGATGTAGTTACAACAAGTTTTGAATTGTTTTCTGAAGTTGTTGCAAGAATGCTTCCTTTTCTTAATTCAGTAAGCTCCATGTATTTGTGCACATCGTTTTCTAATATATACCTCTTGGGAAAATTCTTTGAAATTGGTAAATTAATTAATAAAGAATCAAAATTTTTGGAAAATTGCTACAGATTTGTATATATGTAATTATCATTATTCTTTTACTAAATATGAGGAATTATTCTAGTAAAATATATTTTCTTATGGATTCTTCTTATCTTTGCTAATAATTACTTTCAGAGAATTAAGTTAAGTATTACATTAAAATTACCTTTTATTTAAAAAAAAGATTTTTAGAAAATTTATGAAGTTTTAAGTGTAAGATTTACCTAAAGTTCATTACATTTTTTTTCTGTTTCTCTAGCAAGATTCACAGACTTTGTATCAGCTTAGTCTCTCTGCGATTCAGATGTTTGCAAGACACAATTTAGGTAAGAATTCTCTTTTTTTATTGTTTTTTTTTTGTTACAGTAACATTTTTAACATATTTAAATTTGTTTCAAAAGTCATTGTGCTGTTTACTTTTTTAAGAAATTCAAAATATCAAATAATATAAATATAAGACCATATAACACCATTTTTGTCATTTATAAATATTTTCTTAGTATGAAATTTATATTAGTTAACATTTTTCATTTTTAATGAAGTGATTATCCAAAAAAAGAATAAAAAATTTAATTTGTGTAATTCTGGGTAATGCTATATTTTTTTTCTATTCCATTATTTTCATGTGGATAGGTAGACAATGCATAAGCGCTGAGGATGAACAGGAAACTAAGTTTAAGGACATTATTCTCATAATGGAAATGCTAACAAATTTGATGTCCAAGGATTTATTAGGTTTTAACAAAGGTATAATCTTACAGCATGTTTAATTAATTGCTTACAGTTTTTATTCTAATCTAGACATTTAACAAATATAATTCATTAATTATTTTGAAATCCATTTTTTCAAAAATATGTTGTCTCTATTAAGTCATAATTATCCCATGTATTATAACAGTAACCATGGCATTTTTTGGAAAATTAATTATATTACTAATCTTTTTTAGAAGAGCAGGCTAATAAAGAAAACCCAGGTATAGATGGTGCCACTGTTGTTATATATGGCCTTGAATTAATTGTGCCTCTTATGAGTGCAGAAATGCTGAAGGTATTGTATTTTCTTGTATATTAATATTAAAATTTACTGTGTACATAACTTGTTTCTCTTCTTCACCATACATATGTAATGTGTCTACCATTAAATTCTTTACATAACATATATCATATTTCATCAACTATTTAAATATTTAGTTAAAAATATTACCATTTTACTATTACTATTTAAAAAAATATTTTTGATAATTAATTTTCTTTAATATTATCTAAATTAAGTTAACATTTTTATGTATAAATGTTTAAAAACTTATTTCAACAGTTTCCAGTTCTGTGCAGCTGTTATTTTAGACTCATATCCTTTCTCTCTGATCTCCACTCTGATAAATTTTGCCAATTACCTGAACCACTTTTCAACAACATCATGGCTTCAGTGGAGCTTGGTTTCAACTCGTATCCTTATAATTATTATTTTTAGTTTAAATTACTTTGATTTTTTTTTAAAGTTAATAAAGAAAAATAGCAGATATATTTGAAAAACCAAAAATAAAACATGTTCATATTAATATGAGGTATTATCATTCAAGTTTTTGAAAATACTTTTCTGATGAAGGCAGGGTTATGAGATGACCTTATTTAGTTTTGTTTATTCCTATCAAAATTATATTCCTGAGCTTAGTTTTGAAAGTTCTATTCCAGCTACTGTGGTCACATGTCTAAATTCAGTATGCAATGTGGCTCAGAATATAACAAATCTAGATTCTAAGAACGCATCATCAGTAATGGTAATCTGTTTTCAAGATATTTACCAACAGTTTTTTTTCATTCTGTTCTAAGCTGGCAGTTGATGAATTATCTCAGTTAAAGCCTGATTGTTTGTACTAATTGAAATTTTTTAAACCATCTGTTCCGTTAACATTTTAAATTCTGGTTTTACTTTCAGTATGTTGAAAGTTGCATACTAATACTAATTATTTTCTTTTTGAATTTATACCTATTAAAGTTGATAAACTAATTACATTATCTAGTATGATATATTAGTAGCCATAAGCACTTTGAAAAATTGTATCTAATATATTAACAACCTCTTAGCTATAATTATAATTACAAAAATTATCAGAAACATTACACTCTATTTAAATATCTCCTTTAGAATTGATATATATATAGATATATATATTAGAATATTGGAACAAACTTTAATTAACTAATAAATGTCAACAAGTTTGTTTTCAAGCTTAGTTCAAAACATAGTTACATTTTATACAAAACAGTATTTAATAAAACGTGTTAAAGATTCAAATATAATGCTGCTACAAGTGTGACCTTAACTGTGGCTAGTTCAACTTCAGATGTGATGCGGATGCTTTTTGAATCTCTTCTTGCCATTGCTACTCATTCATTTCAGAACTCACAAACTACACAGCATTTACAAGCTACTTTAGGCCATTTTCTGAAGGTATCTATGATGTGTTTATAAAAGCGTGTTAGAGTTCACACATGCTTAGATATAATTTAAAATTTATCTGCAGTATGTGAAACATAAAAGATTTATATTGGTGTTGAAAAATGTGTTAATGTTGAATCTATCATTAAAATAAACATCAAAGTTGATAATAAATAAAATACCTTAAATTTTATTCAAGTTTTTAATTTCTTTGTTGCCTAAGTTATTTTCCAGTTTGTCTATTAAAGATGTACATCTGACAAGCTATTGAGCATTAGAAAAAATTATATGGAACTAAAAGGGCTTTTATTTTTAATGTATTGCACTATCTTCGATCTTTCTTTAAGGTGGTCTTTCAATTGTTGGTTTTGGAAAACTTTGACCTTTCACTTCAAGAAGTTGGCAGCACAACTTTATTCTGTTTAATCTGCTGCAATCAGGTATTTACTCTTAATTATTGCCTTGTTAAATACTTAGTGCCATATTTTATTTGACTAGACTTTCTATGTAAATTCAGCCTCAAAATCTTGATTAATTTAAGAGATTGTTTGTTTTGGCTAAGAAGTTCTGATAAACTTAAAGTAATAAGATAAATAATGTAGAGAATAAGATAATGGCACTTCTTGAAAACACTACAGGTTTTAAATGGATGTAAATATATATCAAGCTTGATAAATTTAACATGGTCTGTTGCCTGTTTTAATTATGTAATGATACTTCATTTCAGGATCTGTACAGGGATTTGGTAAATCAGCTCATTCAAGTACAGCCTGAAGAATATAAGCAGCGCTTACTTCAGGCTTTCAATGAACTCACTCCACAGTCTCTTCAGCTTTCAATCACCCGCCAGAACAAGATAACCTTCAGGGCCAATTTTGACATGTTCCTTAATAATGTTCGAGGTTTTTTGTGTGTAAGATAACCCGTGGTAAAATACTTGATTGGAGGTGATGCTTGTTCCAGGCTGGGGAAAAACTGAACGATATTATTTTTTAGTTTCACTCTGTGTTAAATTTCAAGTTAATGCCATTAATGGGATTATGTATGAAAAGATTTGACAACGATGTTATCCAATGTGACTCAGTTTTTCTTTCTTCATGCACTACCATGTAACATCTGTAAAATGGTTTTAATTTTTGGTGCAGCTGATGATCTATATATGGCTTGTGTTGTATTTTTTGACAACCAGAGCAAATCACTCAAGACATCATGGGGTTGCTTAATCACAAGCCAGAATTTATCGATGCATGTATTAAACTTTAAGCATTATACATTCAAAGCAATTAACATTATTTTTTTCTTTAAAAATTTGTTTTGTTATGCTGATTTTGTATATTCAGTGTATTTATTTTGGTAAATGTGGATACATTTTTAAAAGTCCTTTATATTTACTTTGACTAAAATCTGTTGCTTCTGTTAGTAAGTAGACCCATTTGAACTAGTTTGAAAAGTCATTGTGCTGTTAAGGTTTTAAGAAATCCAGAATATCAGATAAGATAAATATGAGACCACACAACACAATTTTTGTCATTTATAAATATTCTTTTATTTAGTATGCAGTAACTAATTATGTTCAATGTGTAGTTGATCTGAATGAACATTTTGAACATTTAATAAAGTGATTATTCAACAAATATAAATTAAAAGTGTATAGTTAGGAAATTGTTTTGTAAAAATGCCATCGTTTTGTTATTTTGGGTATTTGAAAAAGAAAGCCTGTCATTAAATATTTTACATATCAGCCACTGGCAAAATCTTTAAAGTGAATACTGTTCTGACATGCGATGTTTCCTTTGCTAGTGATGTACCTTTGATATATATTTATACATATATTCATTTAAATTCATCTTAATACTTACCTATCTATTGTTTGGCAACCATTTGTGTTTATTTTTTCACAAAACTTGATGGTTTAAAATGTTTTCAATGGTCTAAAAATCAAAACTTTCTGTTAGTTTGGTTTCTAGCATTGTGTAATGTTTGTTATACGAGCTCCACTTTTTTTGTCTTCGAACAAAGAAGCCATCCATCTGTTTTCCTTACTCTTCCTCGACACTCAAGGTAGCAGTTCATCTTTACTTTTATTCTGTGTAATTCATCTTTCCAAACCTGCTTCTTGAAGGATTTTTTTTTTAAATGAACTTTTATGAGAGTGCACTATATTCTCAAAATCTCTAAACCGTCTCTATTATTTTTAGGCTTACTCACATAAATAATTCGTACACTTATGTGGATACAAATATCTGTCAAGTATTTTACATTTGTATTAAGTAAATAAACTGCTGAAATTTTACTTTTATAATTTGATCAATATTCAGCATTTTATTTCTTTGTGCTTGGAAATTATGTACTGTACATGTAAAAACCCCATTTAAATATTGATTTTATTTAAAACCATCAAAGACAAAAAAAAGTTTTAAAAAATTAAAACCATTTTGCATAAATTTTTTTTTTTGTAAGTTAGACCGTAAAAATCTTTTGCAATAGTTGAGGAAATATTATTCCCACCATTCATTCCTTTATCATGCTCTTTTCACTAATTGTACCAACTGTACAATTTTACTCAGACTAATTTTGTATGTGATAAATTTTAATTTGCTCTTGGTGATGACTTGCATATACCAGTGTAAGAAATGGCTTAAGTTGTTTTTATAAAACATATTTTCATTACATTTATTTGTCATTAGAATGTTATTTATCATTATTCACTTTGTATGTTTTACGTACCACACAATAAAATGGCCAGATGTTCGATATATAATGCTATAAACTGTAGAAAGATGAGTCCAAATAATACAGTATGTATCATGCTAAGTTTGCTCACAAAGAACTATTTTATATAAGCTGTCTCTGTAAACCTTTATTGTTGGTTGATTCCATTGGTTTCTTCCAGTATTAGTTACCTTTATTATTGAGTGCAGTGCTATTATTTATGTGTATCTATGTTAGTAAAATATTTACTTATTAGGTTTAATTTCATCCGTTTGTTTAGTTTTAGGTACAACTACTTTACCAAATCCAGTTTGAGACAACAAAAAAATTCCTGTATGTTGTAATCTTTTATCATTTTCCGTCCTGCATGCTTGGTTTAATTTTTTAAGATTTAAAATGAAGGAACACTCTGTAGATTATATCTTTTTTTTTCTTTTGCACATCTTTCATGAAGTTGAGAGCAATATTTTAGGCATTACAAAATATTGCTAGTTTATAATCGAACACAATACTAAAAAAAATAATTGATTTGGAACATTAAAGTTACATTTTTATCAATAATGATAAATGTATTAAAATTTAAAAGAATAATGGGGTGGATAATTTTTAATTGATAAAGGTTTTTTATTAGAATTGTGTCATAGCTAAACCATTCATTAAGTTTAAATCAATCGTATTTTTATTCTAAAATCTAATCATGACTTTGTGCCTTCCACAACATTGCTACATTGTGTGCCTTCACACATCTTGGTAAATCTGGTTTCTTTTTCCACTTATTGTTTCAGTCCTTTATCATTTACATTTTTACTGAAAGCTGTTGAACATTTAAAATGCTGTTTATGCAGCTGACATTATTGCTTTCAAGTAACTGACACAAGCCTAACTTATTTCTCATTTTCATAATCTTTTCACATGAAATTTTCTTTGATTCTTTTGAATTATGTATATGTTCACATTTGTCAAATTGATTGGCACAGCAGAAGTGTGTTAAGCCCATGCACAAATTAAAAAACAACTTGCAGTTAAAACTATTATATCTCCTTGCTTTTTTTATTACATTCAGAATGTTTTTCTTGTTTTGTTTTTTAATTGTATAATGTTAAAATGAGTTGGACAAATCATCTTGTGCACTGCCTGCCCTCCCTTTCTCCTCCTCCTCCCCCCCCCCCCCCCCCCCCAACGTTAAACCTATTTCAGAAGTTAAAATGTCTAAGTTGTGCAAACTCAATAAAACTATCAAATTTGCAGCTTACAATTGTCTACACCTCCTTGACGACCAATGGTAGCTCTATATTTCAATACCCCACTTGTCTAGTATTTTTAACTCAACTTTTGAGATATTTTTACCATTTTAAGTTTAGACATTAAAAAGTGTTGGTTTTTTTTGTTTTTTATAGAAATTACTTTTTCTAAAGTTACGCTCACAACTGTTCAGTAATTTTTCGTTTACATGATTTTAACCATCACAATTTAGGATTGATACACTGTTTACAAATTGGACAAATGAAAATGTTAATCAATTATTCTAAACCTGCACATGTATTATTAACATAGTAATTAATTGAGAATGGCTTTATTTATTTTAACTTCTGGTAACACTTAAATTTAAATTTTCACTAAGTAATTAACACTAATGATTGTGTATCAACACCTGTTATATGAAAATGTGTTCATAGTTTGACATGCTAAAATATTGTTAAGCTTTACATATCAATTTTACTTGTTGACATAAATGAATGAAACTAAATATCTAGTTTTGATGAAGTACATTATTTTTGTTAAGCTAGAAGTCATTTTGTATTTTTACATAATATGCCTTCACATAACAAGTTGTCAGCATCTTCACCTTTGAAATTTCACTCTTGATGTTGCTATGGAAAAGCCTGAATTGTGTCTCATTTTATTTCATTTACAGATGTTATACAGCAGATTTACAACACATTATCTAGCCAGTTTAAGCATTTATGTAAAGACTACAACACAAAAGGCTACCATCACATTGGTAACACATCTGCTAATGTTCACTGCTGATTTAAATATATTCAATTCCACCTGTATAACTATTACATTTTTACTAGTTCAATAACAGGTTGACCACTACTTTATTAATCTAAATATTTTTATAATTGTTAGTAATTGGTGGACTAAACATCGAGTTATTTTGTGGGTTTTTTTTTTTTAAATAGAAAATCACAGTTGACTAAACTACAAAGATCTTCATCAATGAAGCTGGATATATTTTGATATAGTTCTTGATCTACTCTAGTAATAAAATCTTGAGTTCTTCAAGTAAATTTAACACTGTTCTCCTACTCAGGAAATGCTATATTAAATCTTGTGTTGCAATGATTGTAACATGTTTCACATAGTGCTTGTTTAAAAACCAGAGTTGTATTTTATACTGCCACTTTTTGTGACTAGACAAAATATATTTGCATCAACACTGGAACATTGCTGGATTTTTGTTTTGTTTTTCTGTAGATTTATTTTAATGTCGTTGGAAAAAGGGATGTAATAATAACTCAAAATGTGCATTCACGTGATCATGATTCATAACACAGGTGTTAAGGGTCGTCCTTAAATGACGTCACACTCAATAGGGGGGGGGGGGGTGGGGTCAACTTTAAAATTAATATCTTTAGTCAAAATTGTAGCACTTTTTTTGTATTTTTAAAGACTTAAAAAAGTAATCGATGTGCCTAATCTTGGCAGTGTAAACATATTGGATGAGGACAAGGGATTTTTTTAAATAATCAAGATAATGGATACCTTTTATTATCATAAATACTATGGATTTACGTGTTAAAAACAAGATCTATATCATTACTCAACATAGGAGTTTGCTGGCTAACCAAAATGATGTGCTCGCTTAATATGCTTGAGAGTGGGGAGGGGGCTACTATGTTTAATGAGAGGTGAGAATAAGAAATAACACAAAAACTGCTGAATGTATTTTACTAATTTTTTTATAAAAAATCGTTACAGTTGGTGAAGATAATTCTTGAAACTAGTGGTTCCAATTTAAGCTCTTGATTCTTGTGACCGAATGCGCTTGGAAAAAAATAGCCTAACGCCATTTTTGGACGACACCCGAATATTTTTCCCCATCAAACCTCTAGAGTTGACTTGAAAATAAATTAAATGGTTGATAATCAAGGTAACTAATTTAATTAGTAAAAAAAACATAAGAGCTCTACTTATGATTCTTAGCATTGATGGGTATCGTAAAACACGGTGATGTGCTCGAATGCAGGTGTAAAAGATTTAGATCTATGACCTTAGTAGGCAGCTTTAAAGCAGAAGCAAACGTAGTAAAATAAAGCTTTTTATTACTGGCATTTAATAATAATTAAAATTGTCTGCAAAATTAGTTAAGGTCTTTACGTGGGAATTTAAGGATTATGTCAGCGACGCACTTTTAGCATCCACTCCCCACACCGTTTTTGTTTCAATTATTCAAGGGGACAGAACCAAACTATGTTGGATTTTTTTCCCGAAAAATATTAATTGAGTTGTTTCTCTTTGCATAAAAAAGAACAGCTATTTTGGTTGATGAATCGGAAAACATTGTCAATCACTATTTCAATACATCATAAAGCGTGTTCTAATCCCAATCCACAATAGAGACACAGTGGCACACGACATTCGATGATTAAACGGAGCCAGTGATAGTACCTGGGCAGTGTTTATTTCAGACTTTTTTCTTCAGGGGGGGGGGGGGGGAGAAAAAGTGGTAAAGTAGGCATATATGTTTTCTATATAAATTCTATTTCATATTTCGTTCGGCGAAGCCCCCCCCCCCCTCTCTCTAAGAGATGCCTGGAAGAAACTCTGTACCCGGCACCAGGGGCGGAACAACAGTGCTCTCTCTCTCTCTCTCTCTCTCTCTCTCTCTATATATATATATATATATATATATATATATATATATATATATATATATATATAGGGGGGGGGCAAAAACGTTTTTTGCGGGGTGGCCCTTTTTTCTAGTTCCGGCACCCTTGTGGTAGTCTAATTTAAATCAATGGCTCCCGTGAGTGCCCACGAAGCTCCTGACACATGGGCGGTCGCCGAGGTGTTTTCTATTTCACTAATATGGAGGGTGATTAAAGTAAATTCAAGGCTTTAAATACAGCACGCAATGTGGCATCTGGGCGGTAGTGTAGACTAACTTGCGCCTATACAAATGATCCAAGAATTATAGCGAATGTTTTGTTTACATTTAATTTAAATAACCCAGTTTTAGAAAACAAGGTTATGCGTCTAAAAATATGTGATAGGTAACGCATTGATGAAATCCTCTTAAAATAGTGCGTTAGCGGAACGGGTACGCTAGTTTAGCTATAGATCTATAAGTCAATATAGTATAGGTGAATATAGTGCATAATGTAATATTGTAAAGTGATATTTCATCGTCTGTTTTATTATTTAAAGATCTACAAACATTCTAGTAATCAACATGAATGCTAAACTAGAATCTTGCCAATTGTTTCCTATTTTGTAGGCCTATCATGCCCTACTTTTCATAACTGTAGAAACAATTCATTTAATACACACACACAATGTGTTTTGTCAAACGCGCATGACTTGAAAACTTGTTTACCATAATCTAGAAAAAAAAGAACTTTGGTCCACTTATTTTTTGAGGTAAACAAAAACAAAATACACCGATACTGGGGCTGACGGGGCTCTCAAACTAAAATACGTGGAGTATGTCCTGTTCTCAAATAAATGTTCGGGGCATGTATCATTTTTTTTTTTAATGCACTGTAATTTTTAACAATCTTTTTTAAAACAAGTTAATTAAAAAAGTCTAGTGACATTTGTGCGCAATTTCCTTATGTTATCTAAAAATAGCTCTGACGTATAATGTTGGGGTGCGTTTAAGCTAGAAGAACAATCGGTTTGTAGGTGTTTATGTAATTTTAAAATTTGTGACCGAACGAGAGAATATTTTTGAAAACTTTCTTCGGCAATATTGTTCTAAATTATGACAGGAATCGATTGGTACATGTTTCAAGTCGCTAAGTGGTCTGGTTGGCGAGATATGGGCCAAAAACTGCTTTTTTTCGAGATTTTTTGGCTTTTCTGGGAAATCCATGAAAGAAACCCTGAATTTTTATGGCCTATGTTCATCCTCGTAACTTGCTTAACATAATTGCTTTTGGAACTAGTCATCGATATTGCTTCGTTGAGGAGGAGATACGACTTAAAGCTGCGGACACACATTCATCCATCCATCCATCCATCCATCCAGAAATGACGGGTTAATAAACGCAATTCTCCAGAATGGAAATTGCGCTAAAAATGTAAAATGTTGGTGCTCTAACACGGCAGTGCTATGGCGGTAGTTGTGTTGTGGTAGGGTTTGTTGATCTAAATCACTAAATGTCACTACTAAATTTAATTACAATGTTTTGTTTTAATTTAATTTATTATAGGTTATAACTTACTACTTAGTAGTCTAACACCACCTTTTTAAGAAGATTCCATATTTTGGGCATTATCGGACACTGATAAAATAATTTAACGCACCTATTTGAATGTTAAAGAGTCTGTCGGGGAGCAGTCAAAAGAATGTAGATTTAGATCTAGATTCTAGATCTATTAAATTACTATTAATTTTATGTGCTCCAGATTGTGAAAAGAATTGAGAACCGCTAGATCTAGTAAAACTCGGAAGTTTGTTTGTTTGATACGGTCATTGTTCGGGTGAGAGGTCAAGTATCAGAAAAGCATGTTTGTTTTGAAATTTATTTCTGGTTAAAAAGTCTAAAATTTTGTCTAACGCGACAGTTTTACGTTGCGTTCTTTTGACTACTGATGAGTTTTGAAAATGTCTGTTTTATGCACATTACGAAATAAGCAAAACCTTATAGGATTCATACACAAACGTGTAATCCAAAATGGAATACGATCGGTATTTACCGACAAAACAGGCGAGAAAAACAAAAGTAAAAGTACTGAAAGAAGCAGTAGGCTCGGTGCTTTATTCTCTGACATAGAAAAAGATAAAAATACAAACAACACCTTAGATCAAGGTTTGAAGAAGTAAGTTCAACTAGATCTAGACTAGATCTCGATTTACTTCTTGTCTTATTATAAGACTTATAATTTTATAATTTATAAATTTATACTAGATCTAGATCTAGAATCTAGGCCTAATTTAATAAATTTAATTTTATACTTTTAGGCCTATAGATTTAAAATAATAAATTAAATTTAAAACAAGCCAGGTTTTTAAGGCTAAACTAGTAAACTAACCAAGGATTCACGTGACTAAGTTACTTACTAACTAGTAACTAGTGTTTTGTTTAATTTTGTGATAAGATCAAGATAGATATCTAGAATTTTTGAGTATATTTGCATTTTTACAATACCACGACAGTTAGTAGGCCTAAATGTCAAAATGATTTACATTTTAGAATATTGTCAATATAATTGATTATTAACAAGGCTGAAGTAATTATTAGATTACTAACTAATTAATTTGTCCTAATAATCATTTTTAAGAACATTTCTTTAAATAATCTACACTCTACACAATACAAGAATAATACAATACATTAGTTTTAATTTATTATTACAGAGCTGAAAGCCACTTGGTTGGACGAGATTTCCTGAGCTTGAAGCATTTTAGCTGTGAAGACATTAAACAGTTTTTGTGGACTGCCAAAGATTTGAAAACACGTATGAAAGATAATGGAGAGGTAAGTTTTTCTCTGAATAATCAGATTTGATATCACGTGTTTGAAGGTGATTGGTTGATAAAAATTGTACTAGAAGTCAGAAATCTATTTAATTAAGTTTAAATCGGCATCTGAGAGTATTTGCTTCAACTTTCTGAGATGTTAAGTTATATGTTATTAATGATCTCACGAAAGACCATTTATTAAATACCTACTTTTAAAATTATAATCTAGTTATTAATGCAAATACATTTTTATTTCTCATATGATGGGACTAATGGGAGATGAGATCTTGTAACATTAGCATCTTTTGGTATGTGAGATCATGGGAAAACTAGCAACTCCCCTTTTTTGCAACCTTGTATAAAATTGTTTAATCTGTAACCACATTTTTCACATGCTATACACTATCCCTTCATATGCACTGAGACAGGTGACCTTTACTTCTTCTGCCCCATGGACAGTAAGGTTCGTTAGGGTAGTTAACTTACTTACATTCAAACCTGGCAGTGCAAAGAGCAGATGAATTAAAGTTCATCTGTTACTGTGACCTCTGCATATAGAAGGGTAGTGTGTATGAGCACTAAGCCCATTATGAAAGATGTATATCTGGTAATAAAAAGTATTACTATATTTTTACACTATAGTTATTAAAGTTAGATGTTTTAATTTGAATGTACAGATTTTTCAACCACTGAAAGGGAAGACAGCTGCACTTATTTTCCAGAAAAGAAGTACTCGTACCAGATTATCTACAGAATTAGGTAACATTGCATGGTTAGAAGATGCAATATCTATGGCTAAAGAGTTTTTTTTAAAAATATACATCTATGTGTTGTTTTAAAAAAAGCAATTTTGATAATGTTAAAAAAAAGTAATAAGAATTTTTTGTTTATTTGCTTAAGTTGTTTATTTGAGAGCTAAAAAAATTGTGTGTTAGTGAATTCTTGACTTTTAAAAAACAACAGGTTTAGTGAAAACGTTTAATATGCCCACATAATAACACTTTAATTTTTATCCTACATTTTTTAAAAATTAAGGTTTTGCAAAACTAGGAGGACACGCCTGTTTTCTTGGCCCAGATGACATACACCTTGGAGTTAATGAAAGTGTGAAAGACTCTGCCAGGTATTGATAATTTCATCAAGTTTTTCCTATTTCTTTTGTCTTCAAATCTCAATAACAACATTATTTTTATAGAATAGAAAGAAAAAAACTAAAATGAAAATGAATTTTTTTTTTTAGGGTTTTGGCAGGTATGTCTGATGTTATTCTAGCCAGGGTATATGGACACAATGTTATTGAAGAAATGGCCAATGAAGCTAACAAACCTGTAATAAATGGCTTATCTGATCTTTTACATCCCTTACAGATTCTTGCAGACTTCATGACTTTGCAGGTTTGAAAATGTTGTATATAATGAAAAGAAAGCTATGACTTAGAATGACTTTAGTTTTTTAAGTTTTAATCAAATGTTATATATCTTCAGGTTTGTCACTATCAGTTAACTAGCAACCTAAAATTGTATATTTAAAAAATTGAATGAGAGGTATTATTTACTATAATTTTTAAAAACTGTAAATTAATAGTTCTTCAGAGTATTGGTTTAACCATTATCTTTTAACAGGAACATTTTGGTTATTTAAGAGGGCTTCAAATTGCTTGGATTGGAGATGGGAATAACATCCTTCATTCATTAATGTATGGCTGTGCAAAGTTGGGAATTGATCTTAATATTGCTACACCTGCTGTAAGCAATTATAACATTCTATTTTATTTTTTTGCTGTTGCAAAATTGCTGTACATATATATGCATTTAACTATTGTATAGCAGCAAACACACATAATTGGTAACTACAATAAGTTGCAGTGGTCAAACAGAAAGTGGCAAATAAACAAGGTGTAATTACTTGACAAAAACATGACATGGCTAACCAACATAGTAGACACAGGTTGATCAACTAATATAAAAAATTACGCAATAGGTTCTACCATAATAGAGACACATTATGTCTGAGGGTATTTATAGAGTCCTACTTGAGAGTACAGCGCCGAGAAAGGCATAGAGACAGAACAAATTGGCACTTACACACACAACAATGTCACACCTCTGTCACAATTGGCGCTACAAGCAGGGTAAAACACCACACAACAAGAATAGCACACTTTGTTACATATATATATATATATATATATACATATATACATACACCCACTATTTTTATTGTTTATTTTTTACAATGTATTTAATGTGTATATAATATGCACAGTAGTCTAACACATTTTTCAATTAGTTTGTCATTTCATATATTTTAAACAAATTTTCACTTTTATATAATTTCATTTAATGTTATCAATTTTTAAACTGTTTATGAAGGTTTACAATATTTTAGGGTTATGAACCTAATGAAACAATTACTTCTGAGGTCATGAACATTTCAGGAAAGGTAAGACATTTCGTTCTTCATTCAAGTGATTTTTAGTTTAATATTGACTATAGATAAATCAAAATAATGTTTACAAGTCCTTCTTAAGTTACTGAATAATTATCACATTTTCTTGTTTTATGTGCAGACCGGAGCATTGTTTAAAATGGGAACTGATCCAATAGCTGCAGCCAGAATGGCAAATGTTATTGTAACTGATACATGGGTCAGCATGGGACAAGAAGAAGAAAAGCAGAAAAGATTAAAAGATTTTGCAGGTTATCAAATCGACGGAAAGGTAGGTAACTTCCAATTAAATAGGTAATACTTTTTAGAAAACTTGTCTTTTATAAAAAAAAAACATAAACGCACAACTTCACTTTTTCTATATATTTTTTAAAAATGTACATAACTTTCATTTTTATACCAATAGATAATAGTCATAACGTTTCTTTTTTATTTTAAAATAGATGTTAAAAGATGCTGGTGCAGAGTGGGTTTTTCTACATTGCCTACCACGAAAACAAGAAGAAGTAACTGATGATATTTTCTACAGTAAACAATCACTTGTATGGCAAGAAGCAGAAAATCGCATGTGGACTGTAATGGTAAGTAGTATACTAATTTCTACTAATTAATTTGTATATTATTAGAAATAAAATTCAGTAATGTACAACTTGTATTTTTTTTTGTCTGAGGCATCAGATAATAAAAGTTAAACATGTATTTTATATTCTTGACAAATGATAAATGCTTTTTACAATTGCTTTTAAGTGCCACCATAGACAAGAATATTATAAAGTTATAGCTTTCTGTCATCATGTTATTATTGTCATTGTTATTCTATAGCAGAATCTTAAAGATAAACAAACTTTTAACTTGTAAAAAAAAGTTAACCCTTTGGAAGATTAATAGGGTAGAAAAAGTAGAATTCATGTTTTCTATGACATTCTGAAACTGTGATCAGTTCATTACCAGCCACCTTTATGTTTCCTAACCTGAAGCAAATAGGCCTACCTATCAAGCATTCACACTTAACTAATGCAATATTTCTTTTCAGGCTGTTATGTTACACCTTCTCCAGCCATACACACCAACGATTCCACAGCTAAAGTTTGTCAAGTGATACATTTGAAGATTTATATATTTTGACATGTATGATATAATCTGTTATTTTTTGTTAGTTTTTTTTTGTTTAGATCACTTTAGTAAATGGCAGGCCCTGTTTACTATTGTTATAAAATCTCACATTTGAATTTCATTCTATAAACTGCCATAAAGCATCATGTATATATATAAAATTAATCTTTTCATGTTTTTGAAAGTTTATATACACCATACAGGATATTAAATTTTAAATTAAAAAAAAAAATGGTAATTTTGCCTACAATGCAATAAGTGTACAGTTCAATTTCCTGTTTTTAATTAAACTTTTATTACAATCCAAATTATTATTGAAAATCAAAGTAGAAAAAAAATGGTCTACTTGTTTCCAATCTATTTTTAGTTAGCATTTTCATTCATGAACAACACAACATTCCATATCTTGATTGTTAAATATTTTTTTTACATGAAAAAGTCATAAAATAGCTAGTGGGATGTTGTCTCTTTTGCTTTTAATTAATTTTCAAAGTTAAACAATTTGTTATTGATTTAATTAAATTAAAGTTATACATAACACATCAAAAAACATTTAGAGCAGAAGTAAGCAAATATTTTGTTGAACTGTAGCTTGTTTTGTAAGTGCCTCAGTCTAATTCATTCTTTTTATCTTATGATGAAATATTTTTTTACTACGATTCCCTTGAAGCTTATACTTTATGCATTTAAAACAATTTTGATGACATTAATGTGTGCAATCTGGTTGACATATTTTGTAAACACTGGTGAAATCTCCATGTTTTTAGTTGACTGTCTAGAATAAAATTGTCAACAATAATTTGTTTTCTTATTTGCTTGTCTATAACTTTGTCATACTTCAAATTGCACAATTTAGTTATTTTTTTATTGCTGTGTATGGCCTTCACACCTCACAACTGGGTAGAATAATAAACACTCACTATTCATTACACAACAGAAAATCCTGCAGTTAGATATCTATTGAAACTTTAAAATATGTAAGCCTACCAACAAATTAAATATTGTGGGGCAGGGGCAATTGCTTACACACAAGTGAACTGCTAGCTGCTAGACAGATGAGGCTTACTAGCTGGGAGTAAACGCACACACCTTCTGATTTAATAATAAAAAAACAAAAATAATCAGATTATAGAATGACTAATTTTATGTTATTCTTTTTTATCTTTCTGTCTCCCTTTCCAGATGTTCAGTAAATTACATAAAACAATGTCAATTACAGCCCATAGCCATTTTTCTTTTCTGACAAAGCAATTTCTTTTTAGGTAGTGATTGAGTTGTTTTTTCTAAATGTTAAGACCACTAAATGAAGAAATAATAAAACTACTGCTAACTTTTTGTTAGCTAATAAGTTATTTGACAAAGTTTAGCATATCCTGGTCAAGACAACGCATCTTGCAAATTTTCTTTACAATTTCTAAAAACAAAATTTTACAAAAAGTGAAATATCTGCTAAAATTCAGGTTGAAAGTTACTTTTAAAGTGCCGAAGTGACCTACTCAGCTTCTCGTATAAATTACTGGTGTGTTAGATGATGAAAGGAGGGCCATCTCATCAGTATCACAACAATGAATAATAATTACGTTCTTGAGTACGGTATCATGCACATTAAATAGAACATAAAGATAAAAGTAAAATGAGTGGTGTGGTGATAGTCCTGTATCATTTTAAAAATACTTTATGTGGTGGGTGTTGATCAAAAGCCATATTTAATTTTAGAGCTTTGATTTTCAACGATAAATGGTTATAAAAAATGTTCTGAACAAACTTTTTGTAGCGGGGGGGCGGGGTATAGTGACGAGTTTGAATTTGGGGTAGGGGAGCGTCTATAACTGACATCAGATTCCTGACCTGTGGGGAGGGGGTCAGAATTTTGAGACAATATGTAATGAGGGATTATCAGAAAGTGTGACGTCACACTTTTGGATTTAAAATGTAAGTAAGAAACGGAATTTCGCATTTAAGACAAAGGTTTCTGTAAGCTGTTTTTTGGGGTATGACGTCTTTTAATAGGGGGATCTGGCTTTTTTTGACGATTTGTGACAGAGGAAAGTAAAAATCGTCAAAAATTGTGGCGTTATTTATGGATGACCCCTTTTGTTTCAACATTTCTGTGTTAGACCGATGTAATAGGCCTATGATGACATATATGTTGTCTGTGTACAACGTTAACTGCGTGAAAAAGAACAGCGAGCTAGAAGAATCTGTGTTAAAAAATTTCGTGTACATGTTAAGCAGCACCGTAAGTGCCAAAGGTCAAAGGCGCTAACTACAGCAACATGACGACGCCTTTTATTTTAGCGTTGCTTCTTAGTCCTTTTGTTGCAGTTGTTTTGTGGCTTTTTACTGAATGGATTCTTAGAAATATTAACGAAAAGCATGTTCCTAAAATATACGTACAACCTGGTTTCTTTTATCCCTTAAAATATAAACTTTTCAGAATAATCCTTTGGTTGAGAAAAAGACAAAATGACAACCGACTACGAAGAAAACAATCAGCTGAATCTGCTGGTGCTGGTTATGGCATTCAGTCCAGAAACTCACCAGAAGAAATGGACAGGTTACAGCAACTTTCCCAAAATCATCCACTGGTATGTTGTTCTATAAACTATAAATTGACTATAAAGTATATAGATTTAGATCTAATAATAAAGCCTAGACCAAATCAAAGAAATGATAAAAACAACAACAGAATAAACTTCCATAAAATTAAAGTCTATAAACTTTTTATAAAGGTACATTCTACTACATTGTAACATTATTATTACTAATTCTAAAGACTTAAAAGACATGAGAAAAACTATTTTTCCATTTCCCAAAAATGTAATGTTTTCATAGGCAGTGGATGCAGTCTATTTTAATGGTGGAAACTCTGATGGAGTATTTTTAGTAGCTGCAACAGCAAGAAGACATGAGGGCATTGTTCAGACAATACTTTACTTGCAGGTTTGTTATAGATCTAGTACTAGCCTTATACATATATTTATTCAACACCTTATTATCATTGCTGTCGATAAGGATCTAAATATTTTCTGTGATAAATAGAAATTTACATCCAAATTAGTAAAATGTTTTTACATTGAAATGTTATGCCACTTGTTAGTCCTTACTAAAATAGCTACAGGCTGAAATAAGTTATTCTAAAGTATTCAAAATAGGTTCCATCCATTGGTTTGCTGGAGTTACCTAACCTGCCTGACACCTGGTTAACTAGTGATAGTTGTGAGTCTGCTTATGCGGCTGGAGGTTTGATCATAACACCCATTAAACCCATGGAGGAATGGTCTATTTCATTTAATGGTAGTTTGAGGTTGGTCAAATATTGTAGCCCTTCTTATGTTTATTCTCGCATTTTATTACATTATTTGACTATATTTGTTCCAAATAACTATATTTTTTAAAACATTGCTTTTTTTGGCCATCTCAATCAAATACAGAATTGCTGACACAAAACAAAATGTGCATGTGAAGTTTAGCCTCTTATGGAAAGCTTACACTAAACCTTTTGATTTTGACACTGATCTTCACCCCCATGTCATGGCTGATGGCATTGCTAGGGAAAAATGGTCTCGAGATTATTTTGACACTTTAAAAAAGTAAATATGGAGTTCTGAAAAATTGTATATAGTTAGAAAAAACATTTAGTATTAAGTTGTATGTTCTCATTTTCTATGGCTAATTTTAATTTGACAGATTAAGGCCAGTGCCATGTTTTCTTAGTAGGTTATAGTTTAGGTGAATTTGCAAATAAGACAACTGGTTAATTTCATGGTCATGCAATTTATGAATCAGGGCTCACCAGACACATTATGAACAGTTTGGAGAAATTCAAGGCACTGTTCAGATTGCAGGACATCAAGATCTAGATATCAAAGTACAAGGGGTCAGAGATCATTCCTATGGTAAATATTATGATTTGACTGTATCAATAATAGCGGCTGTTAAATAAAAATTAAATATGGCTGAATATTATAATTAAACTAATTATAAACTCTATTCATTATTGCAGGAAATATTCGTGATTGGAAGCTATTTCACAGATATGTTCTTAATTATGTACATTTAGAAGATGGTACTGCCATCTGTGTTGGTGCTATATCTATGCCAATAACACTATCCAGGTAGGTTTATTAAAATCATTTTGTTATACATATCATATCTGTTATACATCCTGTATATTGATTATAATTTTAAAAATTTACTTTGTAAATGTAGTATACAGTGCATACAAAAAAATTAAATTTTAAAACCACAACTTATCTTTTCAGCTTTCATTTATAAATATTGAACCCATCTTTCTATAACAAAATACTATTTGTTGTTTATTGCTTACATGCTTTTTAAAAAGCCAAGATGTGGCTCAATCTTTTTAAAACAACATAAATTTTTACACTATCAATTTCCAGGCTAGTTGTTGGCTATGTCTTTCATCCAGATGGCTCAATGGATCCTGTTAGTGGTACGGACTTTGAGTTTTACAACTGGGGAGATGATGGTGAACCACCCACAAAACTGATTCTTAACTTTACTGCTGGTAAAAAAATACTTCTAATTAAAAAATCCCCCATTTAAAATATAATTATTAAACGGCTGTTGATTTTCAAACAACGTGATCATTTTAAATTAATTTTCTCCAAAATTGATTTGTTACCTATTAATTTCTTGATAGATTGGTCTCATTCTCAACATTAAATCCACATACTGAAATCTGCAAAAGTATCACGAAAAACCCTGTGTAAAGCACACACCTTGAGAATCCTAGTTTTTACATTAATGCAAGAGAGTTTTAGGCTTGTAAAAAATACTTTTTGTTATTGACGATTTCAAAGAGAAGGATTAAGTTTTTTTATTAACTTGTGCAATTAGCCCTGAAGTGTCTGGCTAATTTTGTGCAGTAAGAATTTTAGAACCAAATGAAAAGTACATTTAGCTGGTCCCTTATCTGTATTATATTATTGGTTTTTCACCTTACTGTCAGATGAAAGCTCTAAATGTAGCAACAATTTTCTTATTCTAGCTAAGGATGCCTTTAAATCTTACACTCTCTCTGGTCATCTCACCCATGTTACCAGTCTTTTCGTTTCCTCTCCCTTTGTATATTTCCACCTTGTTTGGACCTGAGGATTATTCAGTCAGGGGACTGAACTCATGACTTTTGTGTTATCTACCACATCCCTCCAAAGTAAATCACACTTTATGTAAATTTATAATTGTTGAATTTAACTTTTTTTTACTCAGGAGACAAGGACTACTACATGGTGTCATCCAGGCTACACTGTCCTGTGTTTTACATGGGTAAAGAGTGGGATGCCAAGATTTATGAAAGATTTTGTACTTACTCTGTTAATGGTATTAAAGGTTGGGGCATCAGTGAATGGGATTATAGGTAAGCTTTAGTGTAATGATGTGGATAACAAAATGTTGCTGTGTTTGTGATGTGAGGGGATGGAGGATCATGTTTATCAATATCAACAGTGAAAAAATATCTTGCCATCCTCATTTATTATCATGAAATAATCATAAAAGCTGGAAAATGTGTTACTGCATCTAAGAAGTAAAAATACATTATTTTGCCTTCTATTTCTAACTCCCTCAATGTTGTATTTATTTGACAGGAATCTTGCTGGGAAAAAGCTAAAAGGATAGCAGCTGGAAACTTCAGGAATATTAACAGCCATTTTTGTTGCTAGCTTGACCCCTTGAATGCAATAGTCTGTTACTGTTAACAGTAATTATGTGTAATTCTTACCTTTTTGTTTTCAATTAGAGTGAAACATGCTTGTTGAAGTATGCTCTCTTGATCCCTACAATAGTTTTATAAACTTTTAATTTTTTTGCTACCCCGTGCAAAAGTTGTTTTAATATTTAGAAAAATAATTTACATATCTAGTTTTGAAAAATTAATTTAAACTGCTTTTAAAGTGTATATACATTGATTACAATTTTTTTAAACTTTAAATTAAAGCACCTTAGGCTTTATAGTTTGTTAAATTATAATGAAAAATAAACACATTAAAATAGTCTATTAGAAGACAAAGCTGCTGTAATGGTAATTTACTGTTTTAATATATTCAAATAAAATTTAGATGATGGCTTTTTGAAATATTTATTTACATGTAAGCCTAAAGTACTGTTAATGTGAGCCAATACAAATTTTTAATGTATATTTTCACATTAAAATGTCAGCATTTTGTTCATTTTTCTAAACTTATCTGTAGCAAAAGTAGTAGGCCTATGTGAGTTTATTTCAAGTGAACACACTGTGACAGTATTTGACAGTTCATTGACCCGGTGTTGATGTTTACTATTTTGTTATTTTCTTTACAAATACTTTTACCACTAACTTGTGATTTTTATATTGATTCTAGTTTTTATATAAATCAATTATGAAAGCCAATAAAATTCATATTTTTACAGTTGGAACACTGTTCTTTGCTTAATGATTCAGTTAATTTTTCTCTTATAGATTGATAAGTTAAATAACTAAAGCAAAGTAAGTATCAGAAAACAGATTGATTTTAAAATATTTTAAAGCTTTACGTGCTTGCATAATTTCAACTTTTAAAAAAATTATTGTGGGGTCGTCCATAAATGACGTCACACTCGTAGGGGGGAGGGGGGTCCGTAATTTTGTGACTGTGTGATGAGGGGCTGGGGTTCAGATGGTACGACTTCACACTTTTGCCTTATAAAAAAGCAATGTTAGTATTGTTAGAAAACGAATTTTAGACGTTATTTTGCGTTTTAGAAAGCTGTTTAATAAATTGTAGTAGGAATTGATTAGAATACTCTATTTTGACAGAGTTCAGACAAGATTTTGGAAAACTATCGATGTTTAAAAAAAATTCAACTGCAATTTTGAGGGGGGGGGGGGGGGGTGTATGCTGAGGTTTGACGTCATTTTAGGGGGGGGGGGTCTGGCTTCTTGTAACGTGTGACGGAGGGGAGGTAACAATCGTTCAAAATTATTCATGGAAGCGCCTATTAACTCAAAATTTAAAGAAAGATCAACTACCCCGTTACTGTTAGTATATTCATTAACTCCCTTTAAATCTTAACATCTCCTAAAGTAGTCTACTCCTAACCGTAGCAGATCTTTAGCTGTTACATGTTTCTCTTTAATCTTTTAATTATTATTTTTGCCTCGATCGTTATTGAAAATACTGGTAAAAAATATAGTCTTTAAAGTAGGTTTCTCTCATTTAAAAATAAAGGAAATGAGGGCTCCTTAAACAAATTGTTTTTTTATTTTACTTCTCGCTAACTGCCACTCTCCACAGAGTTCTCTGTCCTGTTGTAGTGTGAGGGCGCCAACTCCAGTACTCCAGAGTTCTCTGTCCTGCTGGAGTGATGGCTGCCAAACGCCGCTCTCCAGGATTATCTGTCCTGCCTGAGTATGGGCCGCCACTCTATTGAGTTCTCTGTCATGCTGGAGTGTGGGGGCGCCAACTTCAGTACTCTAGAGTTATCTGTCCTGCCTGAGTATGGGCCGCCACTCTACTGAGTTATCTGTCCTGCTGGAGTGGGGGGGGGGGGGGCAACTAAAAAAAGCACGGAAGAGTATTCTTCCCTGCTGAAGTATGGGCCGCCAATTACAGCTCTCTATGAGTCTATAGATCTCTCTTCTGTGCCATTTTCTAGACTAGTGGGAAGATGTTAGCTGTTGAGCGACCTAAGAAAAAATTAATGGCTATAGACCGCATCTTGTTGTGTTGCCGCGCGGCGATAAGCGACTGGGTGAATAGAGCACACACGGGGGCCTTAAAACTATCGTGATTGTCCTTTTTCCCTTGTGGTCGGGGAGAAAACAGATTGGGTTGGTAAATCTCTTGATTAGGAGCGAACGAAAACTACATCCCACCTCCTTAATCAAAGAACTGGTGCTAAGTTCTGGCCCATTTCGCATGAACCATAAAGGCTATTATTATCTACACCGAACTAACAACAATGGGAAAGATAATGAGAAGATTCACGGCCAAACACAGATCGGTAATTCAATGAACATTGTATTTACACAGCTTTGTAAGAAATTTGATTTGGAAGCCAAAAGATTATGTATCATTATTTTTTTTAAAAATTGTTTCTTAGTCTTTGGCAATAATATATAACGCATGTTTACCTACTTTCGTATTTAAGGTTTATAACATACAATGACACACCCTCTCCGCACATATGCACCATCATCACCACACACAAACACACTCAATCCACGACACGATTATTTTTTTTAAAACAGTTTACCGTAAAACCTTTTATTATGTTTAAAAAAAGGAACGCGTTCGCCAGTTGATCATAGTATACACCCAACAAATAAATTATAGAAACTTGGCTAAAACAAAGAAAAGCAAGAGTTGTATTTCAAGACGAGGATGTCACCGAACATTTTGATGAAGGGAATGATCTCCCTTCCCTCACGTCATCATGACCATAGATACGCCCAGGCAGTGACGTCCGTTGCTACAACAGCGGTACAGCTGTTCTCATAGTTGAGAACAGAATGTAAAACGTGACTTGTTATCGCGAGATTTGTTCTGGTAAGCCCTAAAGATTAAATGGCACATAGCTTGTCACCAGCCCCGCGTGGCGTTACAGTTTCTTCAGCCACTGAATAAACACATGATAAGAGAAGCCATCAATCACCAGCAATACGGTTTTATTTCTAAGTTCTCTTTTAAGCAATGCACGATGGCGAAGAAAACAAAATTGAAATCAAATTTTTTAAAGTGATTATAGGTCCAAATGTGTTGCGGTGTGTGTATTCATGTATGTAAACTGTAACTGTGTTAGCATTGTCAAAGGCGTCGTAGCGACCCCTCCCGGCTCACGGGACGAACTTACATTTAGCTAGTATAAACAGAATACATTATAAAAATGTACACAAATTTAATATGTTATAGTCTGTAAAAGAAATTGTGGGGGCCAAAAATCATCGGAGTCTCCAGAGTGCTGCTTTATTAGCCTCCCCCCCCCCCCCCTGCCCCCTTTATTTCCTCACTGGCTGAGGATGTGTGTTCATTTGTATTTGTGTTTGATTGCAAGTGTGTCTGAGTGCGTAGGTGCAAGAGTGCGGTATGCGTGTGTGTTTGTATTCGCTCGCGAATCAGTTGAATCAGGTATGAATATGTTATTCGCCAGAAAAATATTTGCGTCTGTATTTAATCAAACACGGATTAGACAGGAAACTCATTTTGTTTAAGTAATGCTCAATCAAGTTAATTCTATTTCATAATCGAAGTTGTTGATATCGTTAATTAGTGTCGTCGGAAAATAAGAGGGTTCCCGTCCTCCTCATATGTGTATAGTTGAAGAGTTAGTTATAGGAGTAGTCAACGTATAGTTTTCATATAGCAGCGCATACATCCCCCCCCCCCCTCACAGTATAGTAACTAAATTAGTATAATAGTCTAACTTCATCATCTTTTACCGTTGACGCCCAGGGTAAATGGGACCGCCAGAGAAAGCCAGTCTTTTGCAACTTTCTCTGCTCCTGTCAGTAGTTTTTTGCTGTGTGTATCTGAGTCTCCCTCAGCCTTCAAATGTGTAACGTGATTCTCTCATTACGTCTTGTAGTGACAACTGTAAACGCTTTTTAAAAATTAAATAAAGTAATAACCTTTCAAAATGGGAATCACAACAGGGGACATAACCATACTTTGCCAATAATCGTCTGGCTTGCCATTAGCTGAATACAAATTAAGGTAGAGATATCTTAAAGTCCACCAAAAAAATATTTTTTAATCTCTGCACTACGGAGATTGTTTACACTGAACCCGGACCACAGTTTTGGAAACCTTTTGTCAAGTCTGATACTGAAGGTCGCGTTACAGAAAGATAAAAATAAAAATTGGGCAAAATCGCGTTCAAGAAATACAGGAGTGGGACCGGTTATCCTATCGAGCCGATTACCGTAGACTCGGTATCGGGTACACAGTGACCCATGTAGGTTGAGCCGGCTATAGCAACCGTTGTCGACCACTGCAGAAGCTAGTATCGATTACTGTGGGGGCCTGTGTCTGTTACTGTAAGAGCCGGTATCGATTACTGTGGGAGCCGATGTCTGTTACTGTAGGAGCCGGTATCGATTACTGTGGGGGCCGGTGTCTGTTACTTTAAGAGCCGGTATCGATTACTGTGGGAGCCGGCGTCTGTTACTTTAAACGCCGTTTAAGAGCCGACCGGTATCTGTTATTGTAAGAGTCGGTACCCATTACTATAAGGACCTATCTGTTACTGCAGGAGCCGGTACCGACTACTGTGGGAGCTGGTGTCTGTTAGTATAAGAGCCGGTACCAATTAGAGTGGGAGTCAGTGACTGTTACAGTAAGAGCCGGTGCCAATGACAGTGTGGGCTAATGACTGTAGTCAGTGCACCAGAAATGTAATCTCCATAACCCAGTTGAATGTGACAGTGTCACTGTTACCAGCATACCTGTCCCAGCTCTACAAGTTGCAGTAGTTCTATACTATGTACTATACAGGGGCGGATTAGCTTGAGCGGAGCTGCCCTTCTCGTAATCCGCCCCTGGACATAAGGTTTAGTTATTGTGGAATTTCGAAATACGATTATACTTATACTGTACGTGTAAAACAGCAGCGGTAGTGCTAAATGAAAAACCGATGACATTTATTTTTCCTGCCACTGGCTGCCCTGTCATGTACAAAGTTCAACTGTCTACAGGAAAGCTGTGTACATGTTGAACGGAGAATGCATTGTGACCTTTTAATGTATTGCTGTGCACGCTCCTCGGAAGCCATCTTTACCTCCACAGGCTTATCAGAACAGACAAGTGATCAAGTTCAGATAAAGACAGTTGAGCGGGGAGGGGGGGGGGGGATGTATTAGGAATAAACAAGTAAGAATATAACATACACCATTAAACTAATAAATGGTAAAAGTTACAGTGGGATATATTAGGACTAAACAAGTAAGAATATAACATACAGTATTAAACTAAAAAGTGTGAAAAGTTACAGTGCTATACGAAAAGGGAGGTAAGATTCCCATTAGCACTTAATTAGATCGTAAAGTTTTATGAATAGCTAAATTTTTTAGAGTGTATAGAATGCTTTAAATAATCAGACAGGTTAACAACGTAATTAAGATGCCATTAGGTTGCCGCAGTAAGCAACAGTATACTAGAATACAGTCATGTATCTATAAGTAAGTATTACTGTATAACGGCAAGAGCACTGTGTGGTTGAGAAGTAAAGCGCGCGCTGACTGAGAAGAATTCCTTATATAAAGTTGTGCACTTTTGTCGATTTTTAGCACAAACGTCACACAGAACCAACTCTAAAATGACGTCACACAATTCCACATACATCCACCACTTCCCAATAACCCTAACTGTAGAGAACGTTAATGAGCATTGTTGCGCACTAAAATTCTACCGTACTTACATCGTCAAATTTTTTTTAAACACTCCTCCCACACGTAACGCAGCGTCACAAAAATCTGAAACCACCCCTCCCCCAGATAGGCGACGTCATTTATGAAAATTGTATGTTCGATTACGAGCTCTAAAGAGTGGTGCCTAATGTTGCCCGGTGGTGCCTAATGTTGCCTGATGGTGCCTAATGTTGCCTGATGGTGCCTAATGTTGCCTGATGGTGCCTAATGTTGCCTGATGGTGCCTGATGTTGCCTGATGGTGCCTAATGTTGCCTGATGGTGCTTAATGTTGCCTGATAGTGCCTAATGTTGCCTGGTGGTGCCTAATGTTGCCTGATGGTGCCTAATGTTGCCTGATGGTGTCTAATGTTGCCTGATGGTGCCTAATGTTGCATGACTGTTGCCTAATGGTTATCTGATTCGAATCGGGGAAAGCTAAGATAGCTGAGTGTAGTGATTAGCCTATATGTCGTGGACTGTGGCCACTGCTGTGAAGAAGTTGTTGTCTCGAGTTCGGATCCCATGATCAGGTCTATGGGAGTGAGGATCCCATGATCAGGTCTATGGGAGTGAGGATCCCATGGTCAGGTCTATGGTAGTGAGGATCCCATGATCAGGTCTATGGGAGTGTGGATCCCATGATCAGGTCTATGGGAGTGTGGATCCCATGGTCAGGTCTATGGGAGTGTGGATCCCATGGTCAGGTCTATGGGAGTGTGGATCCCATGATCAGGTCTATGGGAGTGTAGATCCCATGGTCAGGTCTATGGGAGTGTGGATCCCATGGTTAGGTCTATGGGAGTGTGGATCCCATGATCAGGTCTATGGGAGTGTGGGTCCCATGATCAGGTCTATGGGAGTGTGGATCCCATGATCAGGTCTTTGTGTGGATCCCATGATCAGGTCTATGGGAGTGTGGATCTCATGATCAGGTCTATGGGAGTGTGGATCCCATGATCAGGTCTTTGTGTGGATCCCATGATTAGGTCTATGGGAGTGTGGATCCCATGATCAGGTGTATGGGAGTGGGGATCCCATGATCAGGTCTATGGGAGTGTGGATCCCATGATCAGGTCTATGGGAGTGTGGATCCCATGATTAGGTCTTTGTGTGGATCCCATGATCAGGTCTATGGGAGTGTGGATCCCATGATTAGGTCTTTGTGTGGATCCCATGATCAGGTGTATGGGAGTGTGGATCTCATCGTGGAAGAGAGATGCCGGCCTATTGTTGCACCCCACTGTCCGTATTTCGGTTCTTGTGCCACGCCCCCGAACGTGTTACCGGTTGCACAATGTGCAGTCTGACACATGCATCAACACGCGCAGCTATGGTAAATCTAATTAACATAGGTACGGGTTTAGTAATCAAACACAATGTTTATAATAACGCGCTTAGCAATATTGATTACTGATCCCAATTTGCATTGCGACTACTACCCCACCCCCTTCCCTCACCCTCGGTGTTGTAATTCGAACGATGTCCATATAGAAATTTCTTTATAGTTTACAAAAAAAATATGGATAAAACAGCTGTAGCCTGCTGCTGTCACTGTATTCAACTTCCCAGTGACGTCGTGTAGTCTGGTGTACTACACTGGCTTTCCCAGCCAGGGCAGTGATTCACGTAACGCGGCCACAGCACGATTACTTCAACGCGATTACCTCAACAGAATGAGCACAGACTAGCTGGGTCGATATTGTATTGGAGGAAGTGCACGACCTCTGTGTGTAGTGAAGGGCCCGTGAGTGAAAACAATCATTTCTTGAAAGAGTCGATGGCTTATAAATTGTGAATCGTTATGTATAAAACCTTTTTATTTTATAACAATATAGATGTATATTTTAAATTATTTTAAATTTAATTTTTTCATAGTTCACAAAATGAACATTCGTTTTTCTAAATTTGGTCTGGTAATTGTTCATTGTTGTATTACGTGTGGGCACGTACACACAATTAGCCCATTACATCTCAGTATTACTTGTATTTGTATGTAGGCCTATTATTTTACATATGGCGTCTTATGAGGTATCTGGAATATTTTAATCGAGTCAGTGTAACTGGTATTTAATATAATCTTTATATTAATAATAAAAATTTGTTTAGCGTAAGATATATGGAACTTTAGCCAGACTTCAGGCATACAGACAGTTGCGCTGTGTCCTGAAGTGTATTACTTAATTTATTATTTAGCCCAGACACTTTACCCCGAGCCTTATGTGTTACCGAGGTATTTTTAGCACGGATGAAACGGTCCAGCGTTACACATGATTATACATTTGACGTTATAAAGGCAAAGCAGACATGCAGCTGTTTAAAGTGTTGCATAGGCCAAACTCTATTTGTGTTGTTTTAGTTCTAGGAACGCGGCTATTTTTAGCAACGGCTGACCTATATGCACTAAAGTCAAATCCCAACACGGTGTGACACAAAGTTTACGCTGCTATCTGAGGGCCCGCACATATAATATACAAGATAAAACAGGGCTTTTTTGTGTCTACACCACATATCTTTACATAGAATCTCACTCATCACCACCCTCAATATATAACACTTCCTTCACCCTCCCCATACATCATTTTGAAAATTAAATTTATTTATTTTTAAAATCACGTATTTTTTTTAGTGAAAACTCGATTGTACATCTTCTTTAGAAGTTATTAATATTATACAGTCGCTAATTGAAAGGGGAAAAAAATCAGGCCATCCTTCTATTTTTTAAAGCATATTTAGCAAAATTAAGAAAATCTGAGCTGGTGTAGGATTTTTAAAATAAAATTTGAACTTTAATATAATTATCCTTTTATTTCCGATTCTCCAAGCTTTGTACTCAAATTAATCTTTCTACTCGGGTCCATATTATTTCTAGTAAAAAAAAATCGGATGATGATATTTTTAAAACATGCTTACCACTTGTTTCAGGGGGGGGGGTGGAACGGGCGGGGGTAATTATGAAAATGATCCAATTTAATATTTTTCCTTATTTCGTCTGGCGGTGGGGGGGGGGGGGGGGTTAGACCTGCGGATATTTGAACTTTGTGATTAGACTTATGTAGCTTATAAGTAGACTTACAGCGTCTACTTGGAGAGAGGTTAGAAGTACAATTTTCGGAAATTAATACTTTAAAGTTACATTTTAATTTCGGAAATTGATATATAAAAGTTATATTTAATATCGGAAATTGATATTTTAAATTTACATGTTAAAATTTCTTCTTCTTTTTTCTTCCAGATCTGCAAGGTTTTGCCGCACCAGAAAAAATCTGTGTTGACTACACTTAAAGAAATATCGGCCCGGTACTGTTGATTTGATACCAAAGAAAATGGCACTTCAGGTGTACGATGTCGCGTGCTTTCTGTTGTTTGCAGTAGAACTGTACCACATGCTTGCTCACGTGCTCATCATGTGCGGCATCCGGACACTCCCACGGAAAGACCTTGTCCGAGTCCGTCTATATTTTATGCTGGACACGCTCACTGTATTTATAACATCTTTCTTGTTGACCAACAGACTGAAATGGCTGGCCACGCTACAGATTATACAGCATCTGTTTTATTTTATTACATGGGATAAATCTTACATGGCAAAAAGGGTAAGTCAATTTTTTAAAAATAAAGCAGCTACAGCATATATGCGTGAGTTCAAAGACACATATTTAAAACTATGAGGGTAAATATTTACAAACCAACGTGCACAAGGGCACGTCTCAGTAAACACTATTGAGCTAATCACCTATATATTTATTATACAAAGAGTTTTTCGCTAAAAGGACATAAAGCAATGGCCCAACTATTAATATGGAGGATATTTTAATAAGTTAATAATTTTTTTTACAAATTCTTGAACATCCAGCCATCCATTACTGTGCCCATGCTGCCCTTTGAGGGTTTTGTCTGCTTCACCTCCTTTTTCATCTTTCACGTCCTGACTCCATGCTGCTGTAGGCCTATCTCACGGCCAGAGTTTCTTCCAGGCATCTCTTCGCCACCCCCCCCCCCCTCCCGAAGAAAGTCTACAGCCCCCCCCCCCCCAAAATAATGGAATTTATATAGAAAATATATACATTTGACAGTGTCCCCCCCCCCCCCTCCCCGGAAATTTTTGTCCCCCCCCCCCCCCGGATAAAAAAGTCTGGAAGAAACACTGCTCACTGCAATCCGTCTCAGACTAGGTCTAAGTTTGTCGCACGGCATCAATCCGTCTCAGACTAGGTCTCAGAGGCGTAGCGACGGAGGGGAGGTACATATGTCCCCGGCGCCGACAAATAGAAAGTTTGTTTGAGGGGGGGGGGGGGGGGGCAGAGGCGTAGCTAGGGGGGGGCGGGGGGGGCGGCCGCCCCGGGCGCCGACCCTATGGGGGCGCCAAAAGGGGTGGGAAAAATTTTTTAAAGCTGATTTTATGCTGCAGTTTTGAATTATAAACTGTCTAAGTTAAGAAATATAATGGCTACACGCATTTACATACTGATTTAACTGTTTTCTATCTTGATTTCTTAATGTAAAACATATACTCTTAAGAAACAGTGACCGGCAAAACCGCTTTGAAGCTTTTCCTAGATGGGGGGGGGGCGCTTTTTCGAGACTTAAAACGGAAGAATTTACACTAGATTGTTGAGTCGATAAACGTTACCACTATTAAAAGAAACCAATTGTATTAAAACGTATTGTACGATTGTTGAACTGTAAAATACGTTAGTGACTTTTATCAAGATGGTGCAGGGGGGCGCTTTTAGGCTAAATAAAATAGCAAAATTACACAGGATTCTGAGTAAACAACCTTTAGCTCTCAGAAAGAAACGAATTGTACTGTGCATTGTATAATTGTGTAACATTTTTTAAAAAAAAGTTAGTTACGTTAAAAACCGCTCTACAAACTTTGTCCAAGATGGTTGTGATGAGTGTGTGTGGGGGTGGGGGGGGGGCGCTTTTTTCGCTAACAAAAATCGCAAGTATTTGTACTGGATTGGTGAGTAGATAACTCTCTTAACACTTAGTAAAGAAACCAAGTGTATTAACGCGTAATGTACAATTTCAATAGCCAGTTTTGTTAAAAAAAAAGACGCGACTAGTTCTTTGTAAGATTCTTACGATTCTCTCAACTTCAACGTGAGAGATCAGATACTTTTGATCAGTGTTTCTTCCAGACTTTTTTCTCCGGGGGGGCACTTGAAATCTTCGGGGGGAGGGGGGAGGCGGTAAACTTTCTTCGGGGGGGGGGCGGACACTGTTAAAAGTATATATTTTCTATATATAAATTATATAAATTTCATTTCGTTCGGGGGGGGCGTAAAAATTTTTCCGGGGGGCTTCGCCCCCCCGAAAAGATGCCTGGAAGAAACTGTTTGCGAGAAGGCAGGGCAAATCTGCGAAATCCAAGACTACGAGCTGTTAACATCTGTTGGATTCCAGTTTGTTTTCTCTAGCTTGTTTTGTCATACCATCAACCAATCAACGAAATACCCATGTCGTATTCCAATGTGAACAATAAATATTTCTGATAACTTCTTCTTGTATGTCACTTGTGTGTCCTTACTCTAACAAACTTCGAATCCAATATGTACCATATCACAACAGAGATCGTTCAAAACTAGAACATAAAAGGCTGGTCTAAACATATTAGCGTTAGCTACAAACTACCCTCTAACACAGATCAGGCTTATTTTTTTTTACTGACATTACTAATCTTTCGCAAAAAAAGTTAAACGCATCTTAATGGGAATTAAATTGTCGTAAAGTTTTAAGGAATGAAAATCATACAATGTAATTATTAAACCTTGTCCGGACTGTAGCATACACGCTTACACACACGCTTACACACACAAATACACTCTTACCCACACACAAGCTTATATATAAACACACTATCACACACACATAATTATACACACACACACACACACACATATATATATATATATATATATATATATATATATATATATATATATATATATATATATATATATATAAGCGGGGGGGGGGGGGGGCGCCAAATTGAAAGTTCGCCCCGGGCGCCGGGAAGGGTCGCTACGCCTCTGGGGGGGGTGCAAATTGAAAATTGAAAGGTTGATCCCGACGGGGGGGGGGGGGGGGGGGAGGCGCCAAATTGAAATTTTGTCCCCGGGCGCCGGGATGGGACGCTACGCCTCTGCTAGGTCTAGGTCTGTCTCACGGCATCAATCTGTCTCAGCCTAGGCCTGTCTGCCTTTTTGGGTTGTTTCCCTTCTGAGTTTCAGTGACACAACTTTCACCTCTCTGTAATGTCTATGTATTTCATAATTGTCCTGGTTGGTCCACCTTCTTCTATTCTCATCTCGTGCCGGCCCATATTTTTTTCGAAGGTTTTTTGGTCGCGACTAATTCTTTTCATTAGCACGCTATTTCAATACAATACACATTTTTTTTTTATATTCCTGATCAGTGGGAGTTTTCGACAGTGGCCTGTTCTTTGTACTACAACAGCAACAACAAACATTTTTGGAGCAACAAATTAATATCTTTCTACAGATTAAACAATCAAAATTAGAATTTATTTATGTTTTTCTTTTCAATGAGTTACGGGCCTTACTTTATTTTTTACATTGTTGATATTTTTTCCGCATTTCACATTTGTTTTATGATATGTCACGAACATGTAATCGTATTTCTTTGTATTTCAAAGATCATAGATTGGAATGTAATCGTATTTCTTTGTATTTCAAAGATCAAAGATTGGAATTTAATCGTATTTCTTTGTATTTCAAAGATCATAGATTGGAATGTAATCGTATTTCTTTGTATTTCAAAGATCATAGATTGGAATGTAATCGTATTTCTTTGTCTTTCAAAGATCATAGATTGGAATGTAATCGTATTTCTTTGTATTTTAAAGATCATAGATTGGAATGTAATCGTATATCTTTGTATTTCAAAGATCATAGATTGGAATGTAATCGTATTTCTTTGTTTTTCAAAGATCATAGATTGGAATGTAATAGTATTTCTTTGTATTTCAAAGATCATAGATTGGAATGTAATCGTATTTCTTTGTATTTCAAAGATCATAGATTGGAATGTAATCGTATTTCTTTGTATTTCAAAGATCATAGATTGGAATGTAATCGTATTTCTTTGTTTTTCAAAGATCATAGATTGGAATGTAATCGTATTTCTTTGTATTTCAAAGATCATAGATTGGAATGTAATCGTATTTCTTTGTATTTCAAAGATCATAGATTGGAATGTAATCGTATTTCTTTGTCTTTCAAAGATCATAGATTGGAATGTAATCGTATTTCTTTGTATTTTAAAGATCATAGATTGGAATGTAATCGTATTTCTTTGTATTTCAAAGATCATAGATTGGAATGTAATCGTATTTCTTTGTTTTTCAAAGATCATAGATTGGAATGTAATAGTATTTCTTTGTATTTCAAAGATCATAGATTGGAATGTAATCGTATTTCTTTGTCTTTCAAAGATCATAGATTGGAATGTAATCGTATTTCTTTGTATTTTAAAGATCATAGATTGGAATGTAATCGTATTTCTTTGTATTTCAAAGATCATAGATTGTAATGTAATCGTATTTCTTTGTTTTTCAAAGATCATAGATTGGAATGTAATCGTATTTCTTTGTATTTCAAAGATCATAGATTGGAATGAAATCGTATTTCTTTGTATTTTAAAGATCATAGATTGGAATGTAATCGTATTTCTTTGTATTTCAAAGATCATAGATTGGAATGTAATCGTATTTCTTTGTATTTTAAAGATCATAGATTGGAATGTAATCGTATTTCTTTGTATTTCAAAGATCATAGATTGGAATGTAATCGTATTTCTTTGTATTTCAAATATTATAGATTGGAATGTAATCGTATTTCTTTGTATTTCAAAGATCATAGATTAGAATGTAATCGTATTTCTTTGTATTTCAAAGATCATAGATTGGAGCTCCCTGGACTGGTTCAAAAACCAACCCAGACGGCCACAGATCGACTCATTCCTTGGCACGCTGTTCGACGTTCTGGTTCACGCGGCGATGATGTACGTGATTGGCGAACAGATGAGCATGATCAGTCTGCTGTTGGCCATGGTCACTGGCCCCACTGTCCTCTACGCTGTTCTCTTCAACTCCAAGTTCGCCTGGACCAGCCCCAACAAGGTACCGCGGTGGATTGAGAAACGTGTCGGAAAGCTGGCGTTAGATGAAGAATGAAATTTCCAGCGGATTCAATGTTGTTTGAAACAGAACGTTTACGTTGTTCCTGCTTAATTAAGTTATGCATTTGTTTCTTAACTATTTATACATATTTTACTAAATTTGCGATAGGCAACTACATTTTTTTCAACTTTTTTTTCTGAATACTTACGTTAAAAAACTGAGAGAAAACATTGCAGAAAACAGGATACGTTAAAAGTATCGAGTCCAAATTAAACCTGTTTTTGTGTGTGTGCTGCTGATGTGTTAATTAAGCTGCTAAAAATTTGATTTGCCATGTATTGTCCCCGGCCCTATACCGACTCCTAATTATTTCCCGACCCAGAAGGACAAGTATTGACTCTGATCTGACTTACAAAGTGATTTGGTAAACAAAGCTAATGGTTCAGTCTAAACTAGTAGGGGAGTGTGTATCATTAATCTAGGGTGTGTATCGTTAATCTAGGGTGTGTATCATTAATCTAGGGTATATATCATTAATCTAGGGTGTGTATCATTAACCTAGGTGGCGAGTGATATTTTGGGGGAGTGAAGGGGTGGTGGTCAATTAATGTGATATAATATATATTTGGTGATTTTTTTTCTATTACAATAAAATTCATGTTTTGGAGGGGAGAAGAGGTGTTTGAATTTTGTGATGATAGGGGGGCAGGGGGCATAGAAGGATGAAATGTGTTTTCATTAATTGGGGGTCTGAAACCTTATTAGTGAGACGCGAACGTCCACACACGTTGGTTGTTTGATTTAATGTGATTTTATTTATCTAGACTTTCTTGCTTGCATAGATTTCCTGCTTTAAAAATTGCCTAAATCAAATGTATAAATATGGTATCATGTTTTGAACACTTTCAAAATGATCATGAAATGAATTATGTGATCCAAGTACTCTTGTTTGTGTACAATTATCCCGGTGAATTTGTTGTCATTGATAAACGCAAGTCCGTTAATTGTGTTTATATTAATGCAGTTGTACTATAATTATTTTTTACAAGCACTGAGTTGTTTTTTTAACTGATAACGTTCGTTATCATGTAACGAATATAGACATTTTGTTTTGTTGTTGCAATTTTTTTATGGAATAAACTTTAGGCCGACATAAAATTAGATTTTGTTTTTAATTGAACCAGTGAGTATAATGTACTCAGTTCAGTTAAATCTTTTTTACCTAAATAAATGTGATGTACCAACATTGACGTTTAAATACGGTGGAGGTAATGTCTTATACGTGGCAAGTGTAGAGTTCCAGCAAACGTTGGTTTAGGGTCAGCATTTAATAGATAGGACGACGTGGTACAACATGAGAGTTGGTTGTACTCCTGTTATCTTCTCCATAGGACTGCTGTAACATGCCTTTGTACAGGAATGGATGAGCTACCCTGGGGACACCACATCGAACGGGTAGACTTAGTTCAAAACCAGTGTTGCTTTCAAATCTCCATTGGGAGGGGGGAGGGAGCTCATCATTCCCCCCCCCCCACACACACACACCACTCCCACTCCCCTCGCACCCAGGCCAAATTTTAAAAATTAAATTTATATAGAAAATATTTAGCCTACTTTAATTAACACGTGACTTTCTTTGAAATCAATTTTCATTCAAACACGTAGGGAAACCTATTTGTGCGGCACAAGATAGGTCTATGTAGCTCACACAACACATTGATTATTGCACCTTTGTTTACAACTTGTGTTTGTGAAATATCCGACATGCAGAAGAAGCAGAAGCCGACATGACCCCTCAAGTTTATTCCTCTATCAATAAAGTGCAATGTCCTCAAAGTGTTTGTAGCGCCCCACCCGTGTTATGTTATGTTAACCCACCTTTTCAGTTTAGTACGTGGGATCCAGTACAACCACAAGTCCTATATCTAAAATATAACTTTCTCTCCCAATATTTTAAAAGGCAAATGTTCGAAGTCGTCTGTTCTTTGCTGTTTTCTGTTGAGCTTTACCACTGGATCGCTCATCACGTGATTATGTGCGGCTTGCGGACGTTACTACGAAAAGATTTTGTTCGGATTCGCCTGTATTTCTTGGTAGACGGACAAAGCGTTTTCATTAAGTGTTGACAAATAGGCTCCAGAGGCGTAGCGAGGGGGGGGGGGGCGGGGGGGGGGACATATGTCCCCGGGCGCCAACCTTAGGGGGGGGGGCGCCAAATTGAAAGTTTGAGGGGGGTGCAAATGAAAAGTTCGAGGGGGCAGGGGTGCAAATCGAAAGTTTGAGGGGGGGGGGGGTGCAAATGAAAAGTTCGAGGAGGGGGGGTGCAAATCGAAAGTTTGTCCCCGGGCGCCGGGAAGGGTCGCTACGCCTCTGATAGGCTCAAATGGTTGGTATCTCGTCAAGTGATTCAACATACATTGTATTGTTATTCATACCACTTGCGGCAAATCTACAACTGCTAAAAGAGTAAGTGAGTCTGTTTCTTGAGTTAAAAAAAATACAATAGACCATTATTTGTATTTCTCGAGGCCCATGGAGAAACATTTCGCGCCTCCCCTGAAATTAGTCTGCGTCTCCCGGTGTGGTAGCCTAATATCAAAGGGAACAATAGTTTACAAATTATTTAAGTAGTGTTAATGAAATGCACAATTTTCTTTCATGCATGACAGTCCATGTGACAGACGAAGAAGGGTTCTTTCACCTCGGCGTGTGAAAGGCGTGCGAGGTCAGCACAATGTTCAGCCGTTTTTTCCCCCGACTCGATTTTGGTACCCTCAACAGCTGAGTGGACTCAGAGATGTCATATGAGAAAATAGAAAACATACTTTCATCAGTACCCCCACCCCCCCCCCCCCCCCCCGAAAATACCCTGAAGTAAAAAAGTCTGGTAGAACAGTGTAGCTGTAGAATAAAGATACCATCTCCTTGAGGGTTACTACTATGACTTACCCTTTTTGTAGTTGAAATATTAAGTCCCCTACTCTTCTGGTCACCAGACAGGTTAACTAATTTTTTTTTTAATTCTTTTTTTTTGCTAAGCTTTGTTATTCAGCTTGTTTTTTAAATGTTTCATTAAGTATTAATAGCTCAGATGTATTAGACCAGGGGTCTCCAAACTACGGCCCGCGGGCCGGATGCGGCCCACGAGGTCCTCTCATCCGGCCCGCGGCGATCTTTTTGTCGTAGGAAAAAACGTTTGTTGGTGATGGCTGAGGAACTTTGCCCAGAAAAATCAAAGACATGCCTGGAACTAACTGGCCCCCGAACTGAAATTTGATAGTTAATGCGGCCCTCTGACTGAAAAGTTTGGAGACCCCTGTATTAGACAATCAGAACTGATGCATCTAGTTTTTTTTTAATTACATCACTTGCTCCAAGGTACTTCTGTGAATTGAAAAATGTGTTGGAAAATTGCAACAAACTGAAGATTTCATACTGCACAAATTGAATGTCAAGGCATCAGCAGCTACATACAATAGCTACAAACATAAAAAGTTATCTATTTTTCATATTGTGTTTTGAAAAAGAAAACTTCATCAGAGCAAAATAATAAATAAGATAGATGAATTATAATCCACAGTAGCTCCCATTAAAGTCAGATTTTGCTGTTAATGTATAGGAATTCTATGCTAGTTTTAAATTACTATAATCAAACTTATTCTTCAAGTAAATTTCAAAAGAAAAATAACTTATAAAATAATAATAAAAAGATTTGTCAGGAAACAAATGCATTTTCCTTTCTTCCAATTTAAAAAAAAAATTTAAATATGAAATCTGATTAAAATTATTTAACTTCAATAAAATGCAACTAAAAAGTCAACAAAAGAGTAAATCAATAGTTTATTTTGTCTATAGGAAAAATATTCTAACAGTTAAAATCTCAAACAGGCATGGCAATGTCAGGCAGGGTTGCTACGTCCCAAACCAGTGGTCAGCCTGGCACTCTCTATTCCAAGGTTTACAACAAATCCAGCACCATTCTGTTTTACACCGCGTACACACCATGTGCATGCAACCTCCTGATTGAAGATAATTATTAAAAATTACTAATTAATTCTGAGCCCTTATAAAAACATCAAGGTTTTGAAAATGTAAGTGCAAGAAATACAAAAAAATGATTTGGTAGAGAAGAAAGTATAAAATAAAAACCAGAGAATTACCACTTCTCTCAGTTTTAGTCTGGCATCCTGGGCATGACTTGGTGGTTTCTTCTATTAAACTTTGTGATTCTCTCTCCCAAGATGCTCTAGCAGCCATTTCATCATTAATACCTAAATTCTAAGAATTTTAAAAATACATTACCTACAAGTCAATTAGCTGAACCTTTTATGCATAATTTATTACAAAATCAATAGGCTATTACAACACAAAACCACCAAATCAAGAAAAAACAAAAAATATATAATATTGAACTATAAAACTAAAATGAAAATTATATAAACAAGCATAGTAAAAACATCTCTTGCTTTAACTGTCTTTTTTAATTAAAATGGTTGTCAACCCATAGAGACTCAACTACAGTTTTATGAATACACCATTACTGACCAAACCTTTACTTACAGATAAATTAAGTTGTAATGACTCCAAATATTCTTCACAATCGCCCGCATGGTATTCTCTTCTGCATTCTTTGCAAAACATAAACTAGAGAAATTATTTAAACAGGTTAAGAAGCTGATACTAATAAAAAAAGATTAGACTAGTTAAAAAAAAATTTCATCAAGTAGTGTTAGGTTAATTTCCTTTCATAGTGAATCTTGTCATGTTACTTGCTTTATGCTACACATTAGAATTGAGGTAGACAAGAAATATTGCTGTTCTTGATTACAAATCTTCATTGAGAAATGTAAAATGTCCATGTTTTAAACATGCATAAAACAATGGAAATCCTAGGTGTGTAGTCTATGCCTGCATATCTGGGCTCTGCTTGTGTCAACTGTAAACTGTGATAAAATCAAATCAGGTAGGCCTACTTGTAAAATTGTCTGCAGTTTTTACCAAAGTTATACTTCTGCTGATATTGATAGATGAACTAAGGATCTTCTTTATTTCCTATACTGAGTATCTTGAATAGTGTAGCCAACTATTTTAAATCAATGCGAAGCAAAGCTTTTTTTGAAACTTTGTGGGTTTTTTTTTTAATTTTAAAAATATTTTTCTCATATATGGTTATTTTCTAAAAACAAAAAAAAAAAAATAAATAAATATATATATATAGGTTTACTTCATTTAAGAATAGTTTTACTTCAATTAAATATAGCTTTACTTCTATTACGTATATTTTTAATTCTATACAAATGCACTAGTCACTTAATTTTTCAGCTAGATTGTTAAAAATACTGCACAAATTGTGAATGTATAACTAAAAATGTGTAAAACTACCTGGCACTCTCTGCATTTGATAAGCTTATTTTCTCCAGAGGGAAACAGACCCATTCCACATCCTGGTGATGGGCATAAAATGCCACCATTCTGGATAACATATTCCTCAGCTCCAAAGTTTTTGTAACGTTCATACTTTTTAGAATTAAAAAATAGTCAAAAACTTTATATGCAAAAAACCTATTAAATTTAAAGCAAAATAAAAAAACACAGCTGAACTTCGTTCACTTAATTTTAGCTAATATAAATGTGAAAAATAAATAATTAGGTGTAAAATTTAACAGTAAAGTAAAGTAAAGTTTCCCTTTCAAACCTGACGGTCTATGGGGCAAGTGAAGTAGAGATCACTTGTTTCTGTGACCTCGGCATATGAAGAGAGTGTGGTCAGCACTATGCCCAGCCGCCTTTACTTTCCCTAACGTGAGTTAGGTACCCATCAGAGTTGGGTGGACTCAGGGACGGTCTACTGACTTGAACCCGGATTCGAACTCGAGACTTACGGGTTAGAAGTCCAGCTCTCTACCGCTAGACCACTTTGTCCCGAAAATTTAACAGTATTTTATGAAAAAATAAGCACTGATCATCAACAGACTGAAATTGGTAGCATGTTTTTGTTATTTGACACATAATGAAATTAGCAAAATGAAGAGCAAATGTTTTTGTAAACAAAACAGTAAATTAAAATACAAAAAAAAGTTTAAAAATTTTACACTTTTGGATTTGAAATGAATTTTTATTCCATACCTTTTCTTGTCCCATTAAAAGGAAATGATGAGTTTCTTCAATGTGTGAATTTTCACAACCAACTAGGAAAAATAAATTTATTTCAAATTTTATAAAAATTCAATCAGACATTTGGCAGCTGAGTTATAAAAAAAAACAATTGGAAACCACAAGGGAAAAACAAGTTGTCTATTTTCACAATTTGTTTTTTGTTTAAATCTTTTACACACCTGGCCTGCTGGTATTTTTCTATTACTTCTTACAATATGCAATCAAAATCTCACAAATTTAGTGACATATTGAAGATTTTGAAAAACATGCAATAAAGGACGAACAATGACTGTTCAATATTTTTATTTCATTTTTTAAAAGTGGACTGTATTTTTCCAACGTGGTCTTCAATCTAAAATCTGAGGCTAGTAAAATGTGTAACTAACCAGGACAAGGTAAAGTGTATCCATGCACGGGATGTTCAACAAAACGTCTATCGTTTAAACAAGTGGAGCAGTACTGGCGAAAGCACTCTAAACATATGACATGGCCAGGTACACAGGGAAAAATTAGGACATGTGACCTTAGGACAAAAATATGATATGGTAATGTTTAGCAATTCATTTCATTACAAATAATAGATTTAGAAATTAAAAATTTTAACATAAAAAAAGTATTTGATCTTACTGTTGCATAAAATTTAATATTTACATTAAATCTCTGCAAATAATACACTCTACTCTTCTGCGATTAGCTTGTACATGTTTTAAGGCCACTGTAGTACCTTCCAAATTCCCTTCATGACTTTGAATGCACCTCAGATAAAATCTCTAAAACAGTAGGAGTACAATCTAAAAAAATAATTACTTTGAATTTTAACTAAAACTGTACATAGTTTTATAAAATTCATTTTACAAAATAACAGAGGCTTCACATGAAAAAAATGTGGCTTCAGAAAAACAAGATATGCGTGTGTTAATAAGCAAAAAACAAAAAATCATTACATTCAGAAATAAAGTGCTCAATACTTACTGGGGTGTCACTAGTACAGTTTGGACTTTTGCAGTTTCCTTTGATGTTAGTTGATGGAGAGATATCATCCCAGTTGGATGGGCCCTTTTATACAGAATTCAAAGCTTTTTTATTTTTCTAACAATGATTATGAAATTATCCTAACTAAGGGGCATTTTATTTGTAATTTGAGCTAAATTTTATTAGGAAAAATTCATATAGTACTTAACAAAAACAATATCAATAAGATGTTTTAACCAACCCCCATACATCATATAAAATAACATTTTCTTAGACCACCAGCAATCATACTAATGCCCCTTCCCCCCAACTCCACACACACACACCACACTAAAACTAGGTCTTCTACTTCTAGTGTACCTAGTAATTTATCAATAAAATAACTGCTACTGTTAAGTAAGCCTTGAATTTGTCATATAGAGATGAATTTAAAAATCATTTCATAATAGGAAAGAATCAATGAGGCAAGAAATTATTTCAACTTGTTAAAGCCAGTTTGGAATTCTAAGGCAGTGTCCAGATACACTAAGCATAGAATCTATGGAACAAATTTAAAGAATATTTTACTGTAAGACTCTTGAGATGTGGAAGGTAGCACAGATTGCAAACAATTAAACTCAAGAGCTTTATAAACAGATCATTAAAACATTTTAAAAATATGTACATTGGCCCATACACAAGACATTTTGAAATCTACACCTGATTATAAGAGATAAACAGGCACTGGAATAGAATCCACATAGAAAGTGAAGTCCAAAAATGTCATGAAAATGTCTTTAAGAAAAAGAAAAGGAGGTCAAATTGTCATGGCTGGAGGTAAAAAACAAGTAGCTACCCGTAAAAAACAAGTAGCTACCTGTGCTCCTCATGGAGCCGCAAGGAATGGGAAAGAGGGAATATCTTTAAAAACACTAAATACTGGTAGAACATAATATTAATTCTTACATATAGTAAACTGCTTAAGAGTTGTTCTTTTAAAAAAATCAAGGTAATGTTATCTATTATTGTTCTATTTAACCCCCATCAAGTTATATATTAAAATGATAAACTACCTGCCCACATGTTTCATAAAATAAAATATGTGAACAATCCCTTATGTAACTTACAAAGACTTACTCTATCAACCAAGAAAACACCATTCCCGCACTTCTTACAGCTGACACGCAGTTTTGCTGGCCTCACACAATCACATAGTTTACAATAAACAAAAAAGCGGCTTTGTTCTAGGAAATTTAAAAAAAAATGAGTTCATTCATTAAATTTTGCTGCTGAAAATGGTATATAATCCAGAAAATTTGCTAATATATACACTTTCCATAGTGACAGACATTTTTTTCTAAATAACAAGTTAATTAGGGAGCAATCATTGGATAGCATACCTTCAGTACAAGGAACATTGTGACCTAATCGGGGTTTCAATCCTCTTGTAACTTCTCTAGAATGACTAGCTGAGGCTAAATGATTTCCATCAACATTGGATTCACCATCAAAACCCACTACTTCAGGCCTTTCACCTTTCGAGTTCCTAATTGGTAAACTTCCTTGCTTAAACTGCTGTAAGCCACATTGACCTTCTGATGATCCCCTAGCTTTCACTGTTGTTTCAACAGGGCAATCCAATCCATCTTCACACCAACTGAATGCATGCAAGGTTGTGTAAGCTCCTAGACCACAATCCTGATCAAAATAATTAAATAATTTTTTTTTAAATGTATAATCATCCTTTTTTTAAACCTATGCCTTGCATATATATAAATATATATATATATATATATATATATATATATATATATATATATATATATATATATATATATATATATATATATATATACTAGCTGGATCCCGTGCTCCGCCACGGTAAATCTTTTTTAAATGTACCAACAGAACAAAACTAAACACAACACAAACGAACGCAAAAAAAAAACAAACAAAAAAAAAACGAAAAAACAAACACAACACTCATAACTTAAACACAATTTAAATTCAATCATAAAGACATATTGCTCATAGTCTAGCCCGTAGCGCCAAATCGCGCCCTTTCCGGTGATTTGCACCCCCTTCAAACTTTCGATTTTGCACCCCTTTCCCCCCCCCCCCCCCGCCCTAAAACGTTCGATTTCCACCACCCCCCCCCCCTCGCAAATTTTTTCCAACCCACTTTGGCGCCCCCTAAGGTCGGCACTCGGGGACATATGCCCCCCCCCCCCTCGCTACGCCTCTCCTATAAAACCCGAAAGATAGAATAATAATTAGAAAACAGTATAAATAATAGGCAGTATTTAAAATATCCGTGTTTTACCTACAATATTTCACTTTATCCATTCACGCATTTTTTTCCAGTACTTTAAATTTTAAAAATTTACAAAAGAGTTTAATAACTAAAACCATTGCGCACCTAATGAACGTGATGACGCGTCTTTAATAGTGCTGAATAGTTGATTAAAAATTATAAGTAATAAACAGTAGTGCCTACATTCAGTGAATAAAATAAATAAAAGATTGCCTTTTATCAATCCATGCTAATTATAATTTTCTAACAATAATTTCCTCTTACACATCCGAATAATTTGCATTCACATTTTGCTAATTATATTATTGCAACACTAATTCCTTCTATGACGAACGTATATTTGCATTTACATTTTTTATTAGCGTGAGTTTAATGTATTTTTAAATTACCTCCTTTGTCAAAATTAGAAAAGAGTTAAATTAATTTGATTTTTCTACCGTACTGTTATTATCTTATTAAAATGTATCCACTTTTTCTGGGAACCTAAACGAAAATGATATTTGACATTAATCTTTTTAATACGTTTTAGCAGTTTGCGTGTATTTAATATTTTCTTGACGTTATGCGAAAGAGTAAAAACCGTGGCAATTATAAAATAGCTCTATGCCGCTATATAAACAAACCCTACTCTAATACTTATAATAAGACACTGCGGTGCACTGAAAAGCACAGCATGGTGCGAATGTTTACTTTTATGGTTCCAAAATCTATAGCGATGACGGAAGGAAGGAAGGACTGACACACTACCAGCAGCGTTATATTATAGATATATATATATATATATATATATATAAAATATATATATATAATTCTCTTCTTGGATACCCTAGAAAACACCAAGCTGTAAGCGCACCTAGCAGTCCCCTCTCTTCCTCTCTAAGCATATCCCTACCACCCATACCCCCACAGGGTCTGGTGAGCTGTGGTTCACGCTAAACGTTTACAATCGTAGAGCCGGGTTTAGTGACGGCTATTAGGGGCAGATAATTTAGTTTTAAACTATTGAAACTTAGAGGAGGTAATTAAGAGGAGGCTGCTTTCACGAGGGGGGGGTGTAGGGTAGGGCTTGGGGGAAAGGAGGGGGGGTAGTATCGTCCTTAACGACCTACTGATAGTGTTTTAAAGCAAATATTTTCAGTGGCAGCACTGGTACTGTCGAATTCACAAATTATGAATTACTGAAAAGTAGAAAATAAAACAACTAAATAGCGGCAATATGATACGCTGCGGGTTGGCTCGTACATAATAAATGCTTACAGACTCACTTGAAACAATGTTAACTGTAAGCACAATAATATAATGCATGGTATCACTCCAGAAACTATACCTATCCCAAAGGGTGAGTGGCCAAGCCAAAATATATTCTATTCTGTTACTTAATTTCAAATGTATCTCCTCTCAAAATTTGAAAGTATAAAGTTAGCCACTTAAAAGTTAGTGGAAATTTCAATATATATATATATATATATATATATATATATATATATATATATATATATATATATATATATATATATATATATATATTTTTTTTTTTTTTTTTTTTTTTTTTTTTTTTTTTTTTTTTAATTTATACATTTTATGCACAAACACTGAGAGGTCTGGGAATTAATGTATGCTTACACACAATCAACAGCTCATACTGGTATTGATTTACTTCCAAAACAATTAGATCCTATACAACTAAAATAACATACTTGTAAAATTGTCGAATCACTTAGCAGGTGGCCAGCAAATACTAGATTGATGGTCCTGGGTATAACTTCTGCTTTTTGGGCCACAATTTCTTTTAAATCTTTCACTGTTTTTTCAGAGCAGATATTGACAGTGTACTTTTTTCCATCACTGAATTTGATGACTAACATGAGCTCATCAATACTTTGCTCTAGTGTTGCCTCAAGGCCTAATGTGGTGACTGAGGTACTGTTAAGTGCCATGAAAACTTGGTGGATACCAAGTAGGAATTTTTCTATTACTTCATCACCTGAAAAATATGTAACTTATCTAAAGTCATTTATTTGCATTAAAAATTGAGCAATATAGCTCTAGATATCAGACATTTTATATTAATTTATGAACCCTCCCCAAACTAGGGTGTCATTTGATCATTTTTTAAATGGTCACCATAGTTTTAGTTTTAGTTATTAATGGGTGCTAACTCAACAACTCTTTCTAGTTGATCTAGATCTAGCTAGTTGTAGATTGAGTAGATTTCTAGAGCTAGACTAATTCTTGATCTAAAAGATATAAAGCTAATCGTAATAGATCTTATTCTAGTACAGTTAGTAATCGCAGGGTCTAAATGCTAATTTTAAAATAAAGTTAATTAAATTTTCAAATTTGTAATGTAGACTCTAGCTACTAGCTAGATCTAGATCTAATAGTTAAATCAGTGGTTCCCAAACTTTTTCGAGTGGCGACCCCCTTTTATAAAAAGTAAGTGACCAGTGACCCCCATAGAATTAAAAAGCCGAAATTAGTAAGGAAATTAATAAGCACTAAAATAAGATTTTCTAGTAGATTTTCAATGCGAATTACTCTTGATAATTGTTTTAATACGATGAGTAAAATTGCATGCTATTTACTAAACATTAACGCCAACCTGTCATTATCAACATTCAATTTATTTCTTAATTTTGTTTTTAATCGGAGCATAGTGTTGAAAATTAAATCTATTCTCAAAAAGTCAATCCATTTTATGTTTGGGTATGAATGGTGAATACTACACCAAACTTTTGTGTGCAGTTTTTCATCTTACGCGAAATCATTCTGCAAATCAAAGAATTGTATTTCATCAGGAATGCTGGCAACATCAAGGGAAGAAGAGAATGGGTAACATGTCAGTGCAGATTCTTCTTCTTTCAGCACAGAGAAATAGCACAGCAGTTTGTTTTCAAGAGATTCTAGATGCCCAGAAATCGCTTCTTTCAAAATTTTAATTATCTCACAATCAGATCCATCTACCACACAGCAGAGTTTCTCAAATTTTCAAAATATTTCCAAGATTTTTTTGTCTTCTCCAATTTTGCTTCGATAAAATTGCTCCAAGATTATCACGGAAAGTGATAATATTCGTTCATTTTCCCTGAAGCTTCAGGCTAAGCTTATGTTGATGTTCGAATATACCTGCTAGGTATGATTTTCCAATCATTAGTAATTAGATCTAGTAGTCTATAGTCTATAGATAGTATAAGTAAGTGGTAATCTATCGTTTTGGGTACGTAAAATCGCCCGCGGCTATTAATGTACGAAAAAGTTACCTCATTGTCAAGGCTTTAGTAGAAGTATATTGTGATATATTTGTGTCAAATATTATAGATAAATGAATAATAAACCTAAATCAATGGCTAAATATATCAATATATGCCAGAAATTAACTTTAAACAGCAGTGTTTGCAAGCAAGATTTGCTATATAAACAGCAGCCATTTGTAAAATAGAGTGACTTCCGCCTGTCGCGCGCTATATCCGCTATAAAAAAAAACTTAAACAAGATGGCTGCTATAGTAAATGAGCATGGTTGCATCTGTTGGAAACATCGCTAGTCTTCATTTATTACTGAAAAGTTTTAATTCAATTGTTTAAAAACAGGTACATAAATGAAAGAAGGAAACATTTTTGTATTTTTCAAAACATAAATCCTCCTCAAAATGTGAAATAATTATTAAAATTTAAGGAGTCACCTGTTTTTCACATTACTAGTCGCGGGCGATTTTACGTACCCAAAACGATAGATTACCAAGTAAGTATATAATATATAGTATAATTAATATACTATATAATAGTATATAAGTATATTATATAGAATCTTGAATCTAGAGTTCTTGAGTCTAGTCAGTAGTCTAGTAATCATTATTAAATATTAATTAATTAATTTATTTATATTAGATAATTATAATAATTAGCCATTATTATGATTATTACTTATTAGTATTAGGCCTAATTATTAGTAATTAATACAAGTTCAAAACTTAGTTTTTAAAAATTAAAAAAGTAAACAGTAAACGTAAACACTGAAACAGTAATCAGTAAGAGTAAACTAACTTACTTAACTTAATCACATATTTTTATTAACAAGAAATTGAAGAAAACAAACTAATCTGAATCAACTAATCATACTAATCTGATTGAGTTTGCTAGCCAAGGGCAAGGGTAAGCTACTCTTTATTTTTTATTTCGTTTCCGTGATTTAGATCTAGATTAGAAATCTAGATGATTCTCTAGATCTAGAGTTCTAGAATTCTAGGTAGACTAGCCCTAAAGCCTAAACTTATAAACTAAACTTAACTTATTAACTTGGCCCATGTTTTAGTTAAGTTTAAAGGATTTCAATATCATGGGTACTACTTAAGACAGAGGGAGGGTCATTTATAGTTTCATTAGTAAGATTATCCCTAAAATTGCGCCCAATGTTGGCATTTTTGAAAAATATAAAATAATTTCTTTCTAAAATAAAAATGTCTAAAATAAATATTAGAACCTAAAGATCCAGATCTAGATTACTCTAGATCTAGATTTAAATGATTTAAACGAGATTGAGATGGGTCAAGATAGATAATGTGTAGTCTAGACTAGAATATTTCTAGATTAGATGTAGTCTAGAATGTAGGCCCCTACTAATACTAAATAGTAGTAAATAGATCTAGAAATCTAGATTATCTATCTCTAGAGAGATATAAAATAATAATATAGATTCTAAATCTGATGATACATTTTTATTGCACATTTTTAAAAATCTATTTCAATAGAAAGATCATTGCAGACTCCAGTTTTAAAAATAATGTTGATCAAAGCTCAATAAAATAAAATAAAAAAACAATCGCTGTTTTAAGAAACAAAAGTGGAAGGGGGAGGGGGGGGTGGACTGAGGTGTGACGTCAACTTAGTATAGTGGGGATCTGTCTTTCTGTGGCAATGGTGAGGGAGAGAAGATGTAAAATTGTTTAAAAGCACATCATTTGTCGAAGACTCCTATTAATGGGTTTCTTTCAGACATTTTCTCCGAGGGGGGGGGTTGCACTAAAGTATTTTCAATAGGCCTTCTTCGTTTTTATTTTTGTGTTGGGTGGGGAGGGGTACAACCGTATATTCCGGGCTATTTACAAAATATTTACCAATATTTATGCCCGTCGAATATTTAGCCTACTTATTTGCAAGGTATAGATCTAAAATGCGCATTTAATTTAATGTGACTTTATGCAGACTGATCTAGAATTAATCGAGTGTTTCTTTCAATTTCTAGATCTAGTCCTTATAATATTGGTCCATATTCACAAATTATTTTGCGCAGTTCTCTAAAGTGTGCGAAAGTAATATTGTTTTTGAAAGAAAAAAAACACAACAATTAATTTCTAGATCAAGATGCTATATCCAACTTTGTTTAATGTGAATTATGCCTGGATTCTATATTCTTAACATTCTTAAGAATACACATTTGAAATATGGGGTTTGTGTACGCCGGGCCGATTCGAGTTTTTGATCGAGTGGTAGACATTTTTACATTTCAGGAGGTCAATCGACAACGGGTCAAGGACTGCTGGTTTAGTAAATACAAATATGGCGATGTTCAGAGGATCACGAGAACTTGCAAAGAAACTCAGCACCAATGTTAACTCAATTCTTTTAACTGCCAGCTATCATAAAAATGTTAGTAATTATTTAATTAGATCTAGAATCAACGTTTTAATAGAATATAGATCTATTCACCACCACCACACAACAGTGTGATGATGAGTGACTGAGCTACTGAGATCACTGAGCTGAGGTGACTGGGCAGTTTTTCAAAGGATTACGTCACATCTAGATCTAGATCTAGAAGATCTACCAGTTAGTTAGAATAAGATCTAGAATATTCGGTAATCTCACGATATAGGCCTAGCGTCGGTTATTGTTTTGGAATGGTACAGCAGTAAAAAAAATAAACCAGTAAAACCATGGCTTAGTTAGTAGTTTTTCTCACTAAATCTAGAATTTACGGCGCGCAATTATCAATTTAAACATGACCACTGAATAATAGACATCCATATTTAATCCATTAGGCACTAACTTTGGAGTTTTTAGTTCTTTTTACACTAAATTACTTAATTTAATATTTATTGTCAATCACTGCCATGTCCAACACATCTCTCCATGACAACTCTTCTAACCCTTGAAGGTAAAGAAAACCACAAATCAGGTTAGACTTTTTAAGTGGCCATGCACAAGAGTTCCTCACTAGTGATCTCCAAATAGTGGTCACGTGGTTTTTTTTTCAAAAAAAAATTTGGTTGTCATTTTTGTGGCTGGTCTTATAAAAAAAGGGTTGACGATATTTGATTTATTTTTTCATATACTGATAAAACTAATAATGCTTTACTATGGAAATCAATTTTGTAATATGGAAATCGATATTTAAAAAGTTGTAGTATTTTTTATGAAACCAACTTTTAAATTTAGCCCTCATTCTCCAACGCAAATTTTAAAATGCTTTTCTGGCATATATAGCCCTGCCACCTATAGCTTGTTGTTATAACGTGAAAGTCCCGCCATTTTGCGCGTGGTAAACATTTTAAAAACTAATTAGTAGAAGGTCTCTGGAGTTTGGCCGAAAAATCGTCAGAAGTCAAGCGTCCGGTCCGGACGCCATATTGTTGTTAGCAACCGACCACGCCTCCAAGTTAGAGAGAAATACTATTAGTTAGTAGTTAGTCTGTCCCGCCATTCTGGAAACCACTCACACTGGAAGCACTGTGACTGTAAATTAAACCATATTTTATTTGGTGCTAAAATGAACGAAAGATGCTCAACTCAGTGGTGTTCATTTTTGTTTGATCAATACCAATGAAAGCATAGTGAGCATAGATCTATCTCTAACAATCAGACCCTAAATTTGATGGTTCTAGCTCATTTGGGGCTAAAATAAAGCATTTAATTTAAATTATTGGTGCCTCACAGCCTAACTGAGAACGTTTTTTTTGACAACGGTGTTAAATTGTTTTGGCAGCAAGAGAAACCTTTTTGAATGATTATAGATACTAGTGTCCGATAATGGAATCTTCTTTAAAAAAGGGGTGTTGGGTTGTTAGTAGTATTGTAATCTCGACTAATTTTATGGTTAGAAATTAGGATTAGGCGTATGGTAGGACCAGGGTTAGGGTTAGGGACAGGGTTAGCATTAACATTAGCCATCCAAATGTGTATTTAGTTAACTATCAGTAACCTAACACCCCTTTTTTAAAGAAGATTCCATTTTCGGACACTGGTATAAAATAAACCTTCCCATTTTTCTTCAGGGTGCCACTTTTGCGAATTATCGTTTTTATTATTTAGGCTCCGGAGACTTTTTACCGTTGATCTGTTTCAGCTAATTGCGAAGCGTACATGGTACACCTACTGCTATGCTAGCTTAGGGTTGCTCAGCATTGGCGTGATGTCAATTTTAAAAAATTTTTTTTAGGGTATAAAATTTAGTTTAGGCTTCATGTGATTTTTTTAAAGGCTTATTTGAACTTGCAGTGAACTCGCTGTGTAGTCTAGAGGTGGACCTAAATAAATGTTAGTCTTGTTTTATATTATCACCTATTTTAAGGATAACAGTTTAAGCCCACTATTTCACAGTTAGCCATTGATACTGAATTTGCCATACACAGATTTTTTTTTAAAATCGAAATTTTCGAAAGCCAGCTTTTTTTGCGTTCATGAAAGAAAATAATTAATGGCTAGTGACATCACAGACAATCTCAAATACGTATTGATCAACTACAATAATTTATTGGGGAGGGGACATAAAAGTTGTAACAACTGTAGTAAATAGGACTTACTTCAACTCACTGTGATCCCAAGTAGGCCCACGTGTTGATACAGCTTGCTAATTGTTTTTGTAGCTGTAGTAAAAATTGAACAGACTGTTCAATTTTATAGAATTTTTTTATTACATTTAAAACAAACTTTGTAAAAGTCTCTGGCAGATTATCAAAATCTGGAGTGTGCACTCTTTGTGTCACCAGACTGATTGTAATAAAGGTGTTTGAATTGAGGTGTACAACTGAATTTGCTGATATCCCAGATATCTAGGAAATTCAGTGAGGCATCTTAAAACTTTAAATTCCCAAATCTCTGATTTTTCCAAATGGGTAAGGGACTTGCTTGATAAATATCTTAGTTTTATTTTGTTTTGACAGGTGATTGATCATTATGAGAATCCAAGAAATGTTGGTTCCCTTGATAAAGAAGATAAAAATGTTGGAACTGGTCTTGTAGGAGCACCAGCATGTGGTGATGTCATGAAATTGCAGGTTGGTTGAATTAATAAATATAAATAAGTTTTATGCTGATGCATGTTGCAGATTAAAGTTATGAATTAGTGATAGTAGTAATCAAATAATTTTTATTTTATTCCTGCTATAATTATTCATCTAATACTAGGCTTAAAAATATTTTTTAGATTAAGGTTGATGAAGATGGTAAAATTATTGATGCCAAATTTAAAACATTTGGATGTGGATCAGCAATAGCTTCCAGTTCGCTTGCAACTGAGTGGGTGAAGGGGAAAACGGTAGGATGTTTCTCATTTTTAAATGTAGGCTATGGAGTTAAAAATGCTAATAATATTTATACAAAACAAGTTTAAAATGTATTATTTTAATTGAATTTCTGAGAATAACAAACTTATAAGTTAGCCCCTGAATTAAGACCCACCAGATCCATTTTAGATTTTTGTTTTAAATTTATAGATGGATGAAGCTATGAAAATAAAAAACACGGAAATTGCAAAAGAACTTTCGTTGCCACCTGTCAAACTTCATTGCTCCAGTAAGTTAATTTTAAAGTTAGTTGATTATTTCTTTATGTACTGTTATGCTCTCTGGATTAAAATCTTATAACCTTTTTTATTGTTTATTACATACAGATGTAGATTTTCTTTAATTTTTTAAATTAATAACTAATAATTATTTTGCTTTCAGTGCTCGCTGAAGATGCAATAAAAGCTGCACTTCAGGATTACAAAAAGAAACAGACAAATGAACCATCTCCACCAGTGAAGAAAGCTGCGGCTAATTAATTTTTTTGTAAAGCTATCCATCTTAGTTTTGATAAACATCATGTGTCTGATTCAATAAGAGATACAAAAAGAAAAAGAAAGCTTTTATTTGTGATTATTACTGGTACAAAAAAAAACAAGGAATTCACAGGAAATCCACAGTTTTAGAGGTGCCACTGAGTGGTAGTAGTTGTAAAAAAAATGTGCATTTAGGCATGCAGTCCTACAGTTGTGTGAAAGCATACACATAAAAAGAATTTTAAATATTTCATTATGTAATATATATGTGTGGAGCATTATGCAGAAACTGAATAGATGTTTTTAGAAGTAGAAACCTGTAGTGGATTTTTTTTTGTGGAATTTATTATTCAGCTATAACCTGTGACAGAGCACAAATAATTATTTGTTGTAATGTAAATATTTTTGTAAATAAAGTTTCTGATCAAGTTTTAATCTCGAGATGCATTGGTTTTCAATATTTATTTTAAACCACAGCTACCGATGAGAAAGTTTCATCCTGTTATTCGATGACAAATACACCTTTTCGCTAGATATTAGTAATAACATTGTAAAATACACAAGTCTTGTTTAAAAATTTACAGAATATATATGTGCTGTATTTGAGGTCTTTTTGTCTGTTGGTTATTTTTCTGAATTATCTGGCTTGAATAGTGCAAGGGTATCACATATGAAATTGTTTCTTTCAACAAATATTACTACGGATATACTACACTATTAGTATTAGTCGACCAATGTAGTACATGTAGTATAAGTACCAGGGTTCCCACAATTTTTTTAACAGAAAATTCCCTGCTATTTCAAGTATAAATTCCCTACTATTCGAAGAAATTCCCTGCTATTTTTCATATAAATTTCAACACACATAAGCATTGAACTTAAACTTGCCAAATTAAATTTAATTAAACTACAAAAAAGCAGACATTTTTTTAGGGGTGTCACTTATTCCTAAAATTCAATCCCAAAAGTTAAATTTTTAAACCCTGAAACTTGATTTTATGTCAGAAATTTTTATAAATAAAATTTGACAATACTTAACTTACTTTACGAAACGTTATATTTTTTTAATACATTCCTTAGGTGATTTTAACTTTATAACAAGCTTTAAACAAAAATTAATGTTTAAAGGATTGTGCATATAACAAAAATAGTAGACGCATCTTGATCCCATAATCATTAATGATTATAATGTAATAATACATTTCTAGAACCTCCCCTAATACAAAATAACTGTTTATGTTAATACAATATTAATATCGTGAGTTAAGCTAAGAGTCTAAACCTAATCTAAAAAGTTGTAGAAATGAACTGCAGTTTGTAACATATCTAAGTAGGCCTATTTAATTTTAGCACTTCCTATATTGAGTTCAAGAAAGTGTGTATTCAGTTCAGCCAAAAGTGTGTAGTTATTCACTCAACCAACAAACAGCAAATAATTTGCTTAAAGTTAAAGACAAGAAGTTTGAAAAATACTCCTCACTGCTACTATTGTACTAATTAATACCTTAGTATAGCTAATATTTAAAATAAAAGAAGTTTCTGTTACTATGAAACAGTTGTTTTTTTAAAAGTTAAAAAAAAAAATGAAAATTATTTTTTTTTCTTAAAATTGAACTTATTTAAACTATAATGATCATATAATGATATTTTCAATTTAGGGGTAATCCATAAAGGACATCACGTTTTTTTGACGATATTTACCTCCCCCCCCCCTCTCCTTTCCGTCACACGTTGTCACAAAAAGCAAGACCCCCTCCCCTAAAATGACGTCACACCTCAGCTTGCAACCCTCCTCAAAATAGCTGTTGAATTTTTCTTAAAATACTGATATTTTTCCAAAATCTTGTCAGAACTCTGTCAACATAGAGTATTTTGATCAATTTCTATTACAATTTATTAAAACAGTTTTCTAAAACGCGAAATAACGGCTAAAACTAGTTTTCTAACATTGCTGTTTTATAATGCAAAAAAAAAGTGACGTCACACCATCTGACCCCCTCACCACACACCGTCACAAAATTACGGACCCCCCCCCCTTTACGAGTGTGACGTCATTTATGGACGACCCCTTCATGTTTATGTCGTTTCTTAGAGGTACCTGAATTTTTTAAACTTAAATGAGCCTAAGGGGTCATCCATAAATGACGTCACGCTTTTTTACCTCCCCCCCCCGTCGCTACAAAAAGCCAGATCCCCCACCCCCCTTAAATGACGTCACACCTCAACCTACAACCCCCCCCCCCCTCAAAATTGCAGTTGAATTTTTTTTTTAAACATCGATATTTTTCTAAAATCTTGTCTAAACTATTACAATTTATTAAAACAGTTATCTAAAACGCGAAATAACGTATAAAATTCGTTTTCTAACATTGCTTTTTTATAATGCAAAAGTGTGACGTCGCAACATCTGACCCCCCCCCTATAACACGTCACAAAATTACGGACCCCCTCCCCCCTACGAGTGTGACGTCATTTATGGATGACCCCTAATAGTAATTTTAACATAGTTTAGTATTTTTAGTTAAATAGTTAAAATAGACAATGAGATGAACCAGAAAAACTGAAATTTTTAAAATATAAAATAAATCTTACTCTGAAGAGAAAAAAACTATTGACAAAAAAAAACTTCCAAGCTAAGTAGACCCATACTTATTATAATAGTAAACACATCAATATGTATGATTTTCAAACAGCCTTGGACTGCTATTATCCCGCCCCCTCCCCCCCAACTAGACAACGCCGAGAGGTCATTGTGAAGGCCTATAGCATACGCAGTGGCGTAGCGAGGTCGGGTGTCACCCTGTGCGGCTCTTAATGGTGTCGTTCCCGGGGACAAATTTTCGATGTGCACCCCCCCCCCCCCCCCCCCCCCCAAGTTTTTCTCTATATAATTAGTATATATTTCGCTATTTTTTGCCTTGGTGTCACCCGGTGCGATCCGCACCCCCCTCGCTACGCCTCTGAGCATACGTTATCACATGAACAACTATTTGAGATCGCTGATAACGTCACTCCCCCCTCCCAAAAAAACCACCATGCTGTATGAAAGCGTGGGCCTGCAAGAAAGCCCTAAGAGCCACCACGAGACCAGTTTTGTACGCCAAAACTAGATCACGAGACTGGCGACTGGATAGGCCTATACCCGGTTCAAATCTCGCGACACCCGAAAGGGAAAAAAAAACATCGGGAAGAAAAATTCCCGGCTGCGTGGGAACCCTGAAGTAAGAACATTGTTATTGAGCAAATCTATTTTGTCAATCAGTCTAGTAATGTGCATGGGCCTAAAAGTATGCAAACTAGTCTCAAGTTCAAATTCTGTAGAACATCCCATGCAATTCTAATGGGTACCTGACTAAACTAAAGGGAGGGTAAACGTGGTTGGGCATATTGCTGACCACACTATCCCTTCACATGCTGAGGTCAAAGAAACATGCACTCTACATTTGTTCCTTCATGCCGACACTGAAACTATCTAAAAGTACAAGCATGATTTTTTTTTAAACTTACAAAACCCCCAGACGTTTTTTGTAAGCACTACTACAGACTTCACCCAGCTTTTTAACTCTTTTAAATACTCTACTCTGTTCACTTGAAGTTTAAGTGACCAATTAGCTCTAATTCAGAGGATTGCATATGCAAGTTGGGTGCTATAACTATAATGTTAAACATTTCAATGACCATAGCAAACAATGTTACTGAAAACAATAGAAAGACACAAAAACAAGCTTTAACCACTTTATTCAAATTTAACGCCAGTTGTTTTTAATATCCCAGTCCTGAAAGAACCTTTTGGTGCCGTTCAATCTTCTTGGCAACATTCACTTTAGCTTGTTCACGCAGGTTCTAAAAAAACAATTTATACATGAGCAACAAATGTAAAATAAAAATGAAGTTGCAAAAAATATGTTGCAATATTATTAATTGCACTTTAAAATGTGTCTGATAATGGCCAGTATTGCCCTTAGAAACATTTTAAAATTCATACAAAATAATTCAAAGAAACATGACTAATGGTGGTAGAAAACTGTCTCAGTCTTACATAATCTATTTCATAATTTATCAATGCGCTGTGAATTCATCATTGACAGTATACACTCAGAAGAATGTGGAGCTAACTTCACGTCAGAAAGAATAAATCACTTACCAACAGATGCTTCTTGCGCTCATAAAAGTGCTTAGACTTAACCTTCCTCTTGGCTTCAAGTGTTGCAACAACTCCTTGATATTTCCATCCAACCTCATGTGATAAGCGATCAAGACTGCAAAACTTTTTTAAAAAATGTAAATATTAGGCAACATTAAAAAATAAATGTACCTAGAAATAAAATTCAAAACCCATCTCATTAAAAAATAAATGTACCAAGAAATAAAATAAACTGTCTCAGAGTTAAATAGTTTCATATAATTATCAATGCGCTGTGGATGTATCATCACTGACAGTTTATAAGCAAGCAGAAGGGAAAAATATTATTTTATCATCTAAATTTTATGTAGTCCCTAAATAAAAAAAAATAGAGCTAATTAAGACTCATTAGCAATGAACTTAAACTAGAACATTCTAAGTTAAATACACGTAAAAAAAAATCCTATATAAAATTGGTGCCTCAGATGGTAGTGCATGAAATCGTTTTCTCATTCAATAATCAAAACTATGTGGTAACAAATATCACAGGCACACTTCCAAAAAGGTCACACTAAAGCCAAAATTGACTGGCAGAACTATATAAAAAATTCTGAAGAAATACAGAAGCAATCTTCCGGGATGGAGCATTTAATTTTTCTTCCATGTGTGAGTAACATTTGTCCAGAGCTATAGCCCAACCATTGTGTAAATGAATTAATAATCTAATTCATAATTTCTTGTCAACAAGAAAGATTGAAAGCTCACTTGAGGAATGTAGGCTAAGTCATTTCACTAAAATATCTATATATATAATTCTCTTCTTCGAGCCGTTAGAAAACAAGCTGCAAACGCTCTCCCTACCTCCCCACCCCTACATGGTTTTAGTGAGCTGTGTTCACTCTAAATGTTTACAAGCAGAGCCAACGATTTTAAACGTTAGGGGGTGGGGGTGGGGTTATGGTCCTTAACGAGCTACTTATAGTGTTTTAAAGAAATATTTTCAGTGTCAGCGTTGGTACTGTCGAATTCACAAATTATGAATTATTGAAAATTAGAAACAACTAAATAGCGGCGTATGTTATGCCGCGGGCCGGCTCGTAGTTAATAATTACAAAAGACCATTCTACAAAAGGAAATGTTCAAAAAAAAAAAATATAAAAATATTTTGTAATCAGGCCTCAGATGGTAGTGCATGTAGTTATTTTCATCTAATTCAAGATAGAGGTAACAATCATCATCACAGGCAACATCTTACAAAACATTTCTTAGACAAGAAAGTAAAAGAAATAAACCGGGAGTGATCTCCCCTAAACTTTCTCGAATATTCTTATATAAAATAACAGGGGATGGGAACTCGGGCTATAGACATGAGTTTTAATCCATTTTAAATTCTTTAAGTTTTAAAAATAGAATAAAATCTCGTAGACAAATTAATTACACACCAAGTGAACGCCAAATAAAAAAGCGCATAAAAGTGCGCAATATTATTAGTACTTTAAAAATTTACATTAGTTTTTTTGAGAAATCGGAAGTAGCGTAAATTACTACTTCCGGTCAACGGAAATTACTCAAAATTTAACAGAAGGTAGAGAATTAGATATTTTACTTACATGTGAAATTTCATTTATCTATCTGAAATAGTACTCAAGTTATAGGCTTTTGAAAAATTCAAAGTAGGAAAAGTACCACTTCCGGTTATCGGAAATCGCTCTACGATCTACGATTTTGATAAAATACTTATATATGAAATTTCATCAACCTAGCTGTAACGGTTCTCAAGTAATCGTGTTTACACACGGACAGACAGACAGACACACACAGACATACGGACAAGATTGCAAAATTATGTTTTTCCGTATCAGTGAGGTGTAAAACGTCGAGATTTGTAAAAATCTCGATTTTTTTTTTGCACGATGACAATACTTTCTCTATACTTCGTATATACGAGAAAGTAAAAACTGCATCCTCATGTAAGGCCAATAAAAAAGAAATTCCTAAGACAAATATATCAAAATTCTAAAATCAATTATAAATTCAAAAATTGATAATGGATTACTATGATTGAGTTATGAACTGAAATATAAACCCATAATCATAAAAGTGAGTTTAATTGTTCCAGAATCATACAATTACGACTGAATCCAAATTAGATTTTGAAAATGCCCATATACATTTACTTGGCCTCAGATGGTAGTGCATGTAAGATTTTTTCATAAGTATATCAACAAGTGGTTGAATGTATCATCATAGGCAAGAGCAATTCAATGCACAATGGCAAAGCAAAATCATTTAGTACAGATCTAGAGATTTAGAACATTTTAAAACATGATTCCCAAAATAACCATACGCCAAATAAAAAATTTAAACCGAAGAAGTACCAACAGAAAATGTACAACACCCAAAAGCATTAAAAGTACCCAGTGCAAACGTATATAAAAAGAAAATCATCCTCAGTTTAAGTTGTCAATCAAAAACATATCTGACAATGTAGGTAAAATAAGCATCATGGGATGACAAGTTATGCTTAAATGAGATTAACCACTGTGCTATGCAACAGTTTGGTAGTATGGGCAAGAATTTAACGTTTTGGATGCGAAAAAAGATGGCTTAAAGAATTGCAGATAAATGCCTAAAATTATTTTCCTTAAGAAATGGGTGGAAGGTTTGAGTTTAAAGTTAATATTACAAATTGGTGTTTAAATGCATTTTATTTTATCTAATGGATATATTTGTATAATACTAAGAGAGCATGCTAGTCATTTCTTTCAAAAAATGTACAGATGGTGTACATTTCACTCTTAAATATTCTACAATAACAATTTAATTCTTTAAATTTGTACTAATCAGGTGGGCATCCTTTTAAAGTCTTGAGATCAAGATTTGCTGCAAAGCATTTATAAATATTTGAAAGTGATGAATTCTTTACAGTACGCTGGTCATTTTCAAGATTACGTTAAAAATATTTATTTAAATTTGTTTAATGTAGTAGTGACCGGAATCAAGTAATCTACCAGTACAAAATGCGTTAGTCTGGTTGGGGCGGGGTGTCTAAGAAAGGTCTGTTTCTATTTTCCTACTAGTCCTACTTTATCTAATGCTGAATAACTGTCATATATACCAGCCTGAACTATTTTAAATTCTTGTAAAACAACAAAAACAATTCTCACAGAGGGTCCTGCTAGGACTAACTTTGGAATGAAAAAAGATAACTGCATAAAGTTGGTATTTATGTAGCCACGACCATTAAATTTATCAACAGGAAATTTCTGCTAGAGAGGGGACCTATATAAACAGTAACAAGAAAAAATAAAAAAAATTATCCCTCAAAATGCAACATACTAGGTGCAATAGAGCAAAATGTTCATTATTTACATAGCTGGAACCACAAACATGCAGAAAATTACAATTTCATTTTAACCTGTAAAGACATTTCTATTATGTTGAGCACAAACTTGAGGTATCAAAGAATACTTTGAACCTCACCCAAATTGCACACATTCGATTTGATGTCCTTCCATTAGACAACTGAAAAAGCTATGAGCTCCTCAGTGCTTTTTGGAAGAAAAAATAATTTTAAAAATTAACTTACCTTTCTTATGGGGTTTAACCTTAAAACCTTCAGTGCAGATGGCACCACCATTCTTTTCTTTTTGTCATAAGGTGGTGGGATGCCTTCAAAGACCTTTAATCTGCCTAAAGCTTCTTTGCCACGGGCTGTCTTGTGTGGCAACATTCCTACAACATATATACAGCACGGTTATAGCTTGCGGAGGCTTATGTAACAATGGCTTGTGGAGGCTAATGCAACAAATTTATCTCCTTTAAAAAATTGAATTCAGACTGCAAAATTTATTTCATAATCATCAAGGTAGGTAAGGTTTGTGTCATCACAAAGCTAAATTTTAAAGGAGATTTAACACAAGTTTTTGAAAGCTTAATAAAAGCTAAACATAAAGCATTCACCTCTAATGACTCTCCAAAACTGTTTACTAGGAGCACGGAAGTGAAAAGGACCTCGGGCAGGATTAACATTGCACCTCTTTTTTAAATATTTCAAGAACTTTACTGTAAAGAAAAAAGAAATACAATTCTTAGGCTAAAACTACAGGTCTAAAAAAGAATATAAAAAATATAATACCGCTTCTTCAGACATAGTGTTCAATCAAGTGAGATCTGACAATGTAGGTATGTATAACATCATAAGAAGCAGTGGTAAAAATGCTATTTTAATGATAAAACTAACATTTATTCCTGTAGAAGTTTCCAGAAATATTGATGCCTTCACACCTGACAACAACGACACGTTGACCTGAAATAGTGAAATAAAGAAAGTGAAGAAATTTTTAAAATTTGGTGCTGTATTAAAATATAAGAAAAAGCCTTACTGATTTTAACAGACGTTTAGGATTTAGTATTTACACTAGGTAAACAATTTTTAAAAAAAGGCAAAAACAATTAGATTATTTACATTTTATCACACGAAATAATCATGTTTGAACTGGGTCATGTGGCTTAAAAAAATACAAATTGTTCAAGCAAAGTTTTCAGTACAGATTCTTCAGTTTTTAATAAACGCTGGGCTTCCAGAATATCAGTTCCTGTACAGCCAATCGATGTTTGTTTTAAAAAAGTGAAACATAAGTTATAAATGAGGCGTGTTTAATAACAGAATCTTCATTAAAAATGGGTGTTAAGTTACTACTTGAATACACACATGGCTTTATAATATCAATGCTACCTTTACCCCTAAGAACTAGTAGAGATTACAATATTACTAACAACCTAACACGCCTAATTTATGAAGGAGCCTATTTATGCACAACAGTATCATCAATCACTGTTTTTTTATAACATGAAAATCCGCAATTTTGCTCATGGTTAACATTTACTTTACTACTAAAATATAACACCTATTTTTGGAAGAGTCTATTGATGTAGTCAGAAATTCTATTAAGATAACTGTAACTTAGACGTTGGAAGTCATGCGTCCAATGTGGATGACATGTTAGCAAGAAATAATGTACTGTAATGTTGTGTACAATATTGAGGTTACATACAAAAGTGTATAATCCTCACCCAAATTGTACACAGTGTTTGATATTCTTCAATTAGACAACTTAAAAAGCTATTAACTTTTAAGTGCTTTTTTGAAGATAGAATCACAAGCAACCATGTATTCATTAGGCCTATACATTATACTCATCATAGGCCTAAAAACAAGTTAACTAGAGCACACATTATCAAGTGACATAAAAACACAAATGTAACACTTTTTGAGGAGGGGGGGACAAGGTAAGATTACACCGCCTTGCAAACATCACTACCGATTATCATTAGGTGCTTTTTTGTAAGTTTCATATAGAAACAAACCGCAAGTGCTGTGTTACTCAGCTGCCATTCTACTCTAATATGTACAAGTCATTTTGTATTCCTAGGCATGGATTTTGAGATATTCTAAATGACGATCCATTCTTTTTCTGTCTGCGGCTGCCTCCCCCTGCTTGTGTATCGACCTTAATTTATATGTAGGCCTATAGATCCGATAATTGAAATTTTACACATGTAAGCATGTTGATTGTATTTTTAATAGATTGCAAAAAAAAATTAGACTTAGGCCTAGGGGTTTATTGTAGATACAGGTGTCATATAATACTCTTCCATAAAATAAATGTGTTTGTAGTATTGTAATCATGACTAATTTTATGATTAGAAATTAGGGTTAGGCGTATTGTAGGACTAGGGTTGGGGTTTGAATTGACATTGGCCAGCCATGTGTGTATTTAGTTAACTACCACTAACACCCCCTTTTAAAAGTGGATGATCAAAAACAATTTAAAACAAGACAAATTCAGAAAATATAGGCCTAGATTCTAGACTTGGATTTAAATAGAGTATCAAGATTAGATCTAGGCAAATCTAGTTTCAAGTCTTACGCAGCGAGGGTAATATACCCAAATCTTTACCCAGCTGTGGCCACCCCGATTTCTCTTCTAAGATTGCTCTAATAGCCTTAACCATAGTATTTACAGATTCGTACACAAATGTAGAAGCTATTTATAGTTAGATTTGTTTTATTAGTCTAATCCGAGACCTAGTGTTTTTCATACAGGGGACGTGACTCATCTCAGGTGTCATGCGTTAAGCAGATCTTGGTTGTTTCGTTTAGAACATACAAACGATGAGCGAAAAACAGGAGGGAGGCCGCAGCAGTGTTTTGAACTCTTGCGGCACTATCTTTGAGTTTAACTTTGTGGAACAATTCACATACCATTAAGAAGTGTCTTGGCGACAATAGCAGCCAGCCGACCCAAAAGGTGGCCTCTGCCATCTATAACGATGGGCTGAAAATATAGAATAACAATACGTAAAAATGGCTTTCTCAGTTAAGAGAATGCTGAATTAGTCTAATAAAAGAATTTCCAACCTTAAGTATTGGCCAGATTCTAGTCAGAAGGGAATAGGCGTGAACAATAAAAAGAAAATATTGCCGTTCATTAGGCCTAAAAAAAAGGTAATCTATCGTTTTGGGTACGTAAAATCGCCCGCGGCTATTAATGTACGAAAACGTTACCTCATTGTCAAGGCTTTAATAGAAGTGTATTGTGATATGTTTGTGTCAAATATTATAGATAAATGAATAATAAACCTAAATCAATGGCTAAATATACCGATATAGGCCAGAAATTAACTTTAAACAGCAGTGTCTGAGAGCAAGATTTGCTATATAAATAGCAGCCATTTGTAAAATAGAGTGGCTTCCCCCTGAATCTGCGCTATAAGCTTATAAAAATAAAACTTAAACAAGATGGCTGCTATAGTAAATGAGCATGGTTGCATCTGTTGGAAACATCGCTAGTCTTCATTTATTACGGAAAAGTTTTAATTCAATTGTTTAAAAACGGGTACATAAATGAAACAAGGAAACATTGTATTTTAAAAAACATAAATCCTCCTCAAAATGTGAAATTATTAAAATTTAAGGAGTCACCTGTTTTTCACAGTACTAGTCGCGGGCGATTTTACGTACCCAAAATGATAGATTACCAAAAAAAATTATATAGAGGAGTTTACACTTTTCGGACACACACCAAAAATTACGTAGGACCGAACACTTCGTCGGTTTTTGGCTCATAGAAACTTTAATTAGCATGTCTCACGCGAAACCACGGCGCCTGCACGTAAACTGTTCATTTATGAACACTTCCGTGTCAAGTACTTCCGTTTCCTTTCTCAAGAATTATTTTTAGAAATTTTTTAACGTTGCATGGTACGCACATTTCTATTTTTACACCAGCCGGATGAAGTGACCTAGGGTTGGACTTAGGGGCAAAACTTGAACCAATCACTGCTTAGCTAAAAGGTTACACTATAAATAGCTTCTATATATGTATGGAACATCGTAAATGTCAAGGTTAATGGGTTTTTTCGTGCTTGAACAATAAAAAAGGGGTGTTCGCTAACTTATTTGGCCTTACATGGGATCGGACAGCAACACAAAAATATTATTAAATAAGAATTTAGAGCATAAAAGGGGCTGGTTATTGAAGGGAAAGGGTCAAAATAAGGTCAAGAAGGCAGTGGAATGCAAAAGAGGAGGGGGAATCATGTGACCTGGCTGGCTTAGCAGCGTACTGCGCGAGCCGCAATGGCTGAATGGGATGAACTTTGGGAGTGTGGGAAAAAGGTTTTATACTATTAAAATTACCTCACAAACAATCAATAACACAATATAAATGCATATAATATATGTTTTTATTCATTAAATTGACTTTAAATTATTCTAAATGAACAAAAAGTGCTATGTCCGATGACGGGTAAAGGTGTCCGAACACATGTAAAACTGTATTACATGTGTTCGAACACACGTTAAGACCCCCCAGTCACTATAACAAGAATAGCTTAAGTTCTATGCGTATGAATACAAAATGACACACACATTATTAAAGTAGAATGGTTGCGGATAGATATGATACTTTTTTTTGTTTTCTATGTTAAGCGGTTACTGAATGAGACCGCATGGAATTTTTACGTTGCGTTTTTTCGCTATGTGTGTCCGAAAAGTGTAAGCTCCTCTAGCTCATTCTAAAATAGGATTGGAATCCACACCACCTGGAGTACAACTACCTGTTTCAATTAAATAATGCATATTTCTGACTGGCAATCTAGATTCTACATAACTTGTTATCAAGACACTCTGACTGAACCTCAAGTCTTGGATAGACTTGTAAGTACACAGAATTTAGCTAGGAGATTAAAACGGCAAAGTTGGGTTCAAATTATAGGCCTAGGGAATTTTTAATAAAACTGTGAATAAAAAAGCATTTTCTAAAACTTATCAGAATGTAGAGTCTAGATCTAGCCTCGCTAGATTCATATCGAATTTTCAACCATGCATCCCCCATTATCGAAATTGGGTATAAGGCGAACAAATTAATTCAATGTTTTAAATTAAGCAGATAAAATAGTACTTCTAATAAAATGTAGATGCCTAGTGTATAAACTAAATTAGATAATTTAAGAAGTTGATAAAATGTACAAGACATTACAATATACACGTTTTTTTTTTCACATTGTTCGCTTGACACTCACAGTACCTGACTCGTGAAACCCATGTTCGGGACCTAAAAGGAAGTTACAATTTTTGGGGGCTTCATATATGTGAAAAAGGGGTCCTTTCAGGATGTTCTAAAACCACGTGACTATCCATATTTTTCGCAGTTGAATTAAATAATATGTATTTAATGACTCAAAAGTACAGTGATTATGTAAAATGTATGAAGGAATATAGATTCTAGGAGTGATTTATCATTGCGTTACATTGTGTTTTATGGGGCGGATGTTGGTATCAGGCACCGTTGCATAACACTGCCTTTGATTTTCTTTGTTCTGATTTTTGCTTAATATTGGCCAAGATATATGTATTTTTTTTTAAAATTAACCCAAATAAATATGAGCTTTTAAACAGTTTTAAATGAGTTTTCTCTTAATGGAATAAAACCTAATGTAATTTAATTACTACTTTTTAAAATCTTAGAGATTTTATTATTTCAGTGAGTGACACACGCATGTGTATTATTACTGACTGACTACCTATAATGCATGTAAGATGTTGGCAGCCCAGCAGTGTTTCTTTCAGACATTTTTCTCCGGGGAGGGGGGGGGGGCTTTTTGGAGGGGGGGGGGGGGTGGGATGCACTTGAAATTTACGGGGGGATGGGGGGGCGGACACTGGTAAAAGCATATATTTTTAAATAATTCTATTTCGTTCGGGGGGGGGGGGCGATAGACGTTCTAGATGACAGACACATTAATTTTTTAAATAAATGTTTTCTAGTTCTTAATGCTAAAATTTCATGGAAACAACACGGAATGACAAAATGAAGTCAAATTTCAGCCAAATTGAGTATTGATGATTCAATTTGACTGTTGATGAAAACTCAATGATCTATTTACGTATCCTTTGTGTTTCATCTATAATTTATTTCGTTGTTTGTGAGTAACGAAGTGTAAATGTAAAGAGGGACACTGGCGTAGCCAGGAACGTCTAAGGGGCAAATTTATATACAATTATATAGATATAGGCATATATATATATATATATATATATATATATATATATATATATATATATATATATATATATATATATATATATATATATATATATATATATATATATATATATACGAGTGTGACGTCATAATTATGAACGACCCCATATATATATATATATATATATATATATATATATATATATATATATATATATATATATATATATATATATATATATATATATATATATATATATATATGGGGGGTCGTCCATAAATGACGTCACACTCGAAGGAGGGAGGGGGGTCCGTCATTTTGTGACGGTGTGTGATGAGGGGGGGGGGGGGTTTCAGATGGTGCGACGTCACATTTTTGCATTATAAAAAAGCAATGTTAGAAAACGAATTTTAGACATTATTTCGCGTTTTAGAAAACTGTTTTAATAAATTGTAATAGGAATTGATTAAAAGACTCTATTTTGACAGAGTTCAGACAAGATTTTGGAAAAATATCGATGTTTTAAAAAAATTCATTTGCAATTTTGAGGGGGGTTGTAGGTTGAGGTGTGACGTCATTTTAGAGGGGGGGGTCTAGCTTTTTGTGACTATGTGTGACGGAGGGGAGGGGAAAGGTAAAAATCGTCCAAAAAAGCGTGACGTCATTTATGGATGACCCATATATATATATATATATATATATATATATATATATATATATATATATATATATATATATATATATATATATATATATATATATATATATATATATATATATATATATATATATATATATATATAGTATACTAGCTGTGTGTCATTGCTTCGCTACGATGTAGGTCGACAAAACAAAACAATTTATCAGAACAAAAATACAAACAAAATATACACACAATACAATAAAAAACGATGAACGCAACACAATATGTTTTGTAATCCTTGTAAAAAATTTGACATAATGACTCCTGGAATATTAATTAAGACAAGCGAATTTATGGGAAATAATCACTCTTTTAATAAAATGTAGGCTACACATTTAATTGTAAATGTCAAAACGGATCAATAAACTACTTTAGTATGTAATAAAGTAGATTAACACAATTCGTTTTTACAAAAATATATGGTCTACTATCATAATTACATTTATTTTCATATAATTCAGTTCAATTAACTAATCTAAACTAGTCTTTAAAACAGGTTACGTCCTTCCTTTTAAAAACCTTTGGATCAATAGCGTCGTTTGAAAGCTAATGGATCACTCATACAATCACATGTTGAAGTAAAATATGTTTTCTAGCCTGTTTTGTTAAGATTCAGTGTTTTATTTCCCGAAATAGTTGATCAACCTAATTGTTTACCAGAAATAAAAACGTATAACATTTTAGGGACCATCGCTTTATGTTAACATTAACAGTTTCCAAGCAGAACGCGACGAGAGCCGATGAGGAGGCGGGGCGTTTTGAAGTTTTTTCATGGGGAACAACCCATATTTTTACAAGCTTTTATTTAACTCACTTCCTCTGTCGACAGTCTGTCGACAGTCTGTCTAGATGGAAACGCAGGAGTGAAAATTCGGAAACTTCTACTTGACCGATACGATTCACACTTGGCACGTGGGTCTAGACATGAAGACAATGCAATCTGAAACTAAATTTGACTTAATTGGATGCCTAATTAATTTTTTATGAATTAATTAAAATTTGGACCGAATTAGTAGGCATGTCTAGCCAACCACACCACACGCGTCATCACCTTCAATAGCAGCGCCATCACGTAATGGCTGCGTTCAAAAACCATTGCGCGCCTACTGAACGTGATGTTCAGTAGGCGCGCAATGGTTTTTAGTCATGTAACTCTATTGTAAATAAAACATGTAAAGTACTGAAAAAAAATTCATAAAAAACGTTTTAATAACAAGCTTTTATGTAATGATGCACTAAAAAGTAGAAAATAAATTATAGACTACTATTTAAATAACTATAAAGAAAAGCGTGGGTGTCTTCCTTAACATTAGTAAAGGTATCCAATAGATACTAAAGTGACCCACGCTTTTCTTTACAGTTATTTAAATAGTAGTCTATAATTTATTTTCTACTTTTTAGTGCATCATTACATAAAAGCTTGTTATTAAAACGTTTTTTATGAATTTTTTATAGCCTTTGATAAATAAAATGGCTTGTCATTTTAACACAATTTAAAGAATGGTCAGGAATTGTTTCCATTGATTGCTAGGGTTTGCATATAATGCTGGTTATATGAATGCTTGGGAGTGAGAGCTAATTCACAGTGTAGACCATATATAGTATTAGTTAACATATTTTTTTGTTACACCGACGAAATAACTTTTAATTGCTGACTTCTTAAAAAGACTAGCCATCGGTACCGTTTCAAGTGATTTATAGGCCTATATATTTTTAATGTTATATTTGTTTGAGAAAAACTATTTATAAAATAGTTATTGATGAAAATGCATTGTGATTATATACACGTTGAAGGATAATAGTGACAAAGCAAAGAAATAACGAAATAGCTAAAAATCCCACACATTTAAAATAACTTAGGCTACTTTAGTGATCGCTGGATCGGACTAAGTTATTTTAGGTGGCGGCGGCTTTATATAAGCAATGTCTGGGTCGGAGGGGATGAGAGCTGGAATTTATACTTAAGTGTGGCACGTGTTAGATTTTTTACTTTCTCGTATATACGAAGTATAGAGAAAGTATTGTAATCGTGCAAAAAAAAATCTCTTGAAATTTTAACAAATTTCACCGTATTACACCTCAGTCCTTCATCACATCCGAAGTAGGCTATAGAGGACTTATTTTAATCGGGCAAAAATTATCAATCCAGATTTATCAAAATTAAGAGGTTTTATGCGTAATCCATTCTGAAAAACTGGGCTTTGCAATCCTGTCCGTATGTCTGTGTGTCTGTCTGTGTGTCTGTGTGTGTATAAACACGATTACTTGAGTACCGTTACAGCTAGGTTGATGAAATTTCATATATAAGTATTTTATCAAAATCGTAGATCCGTATCAACTTTTGAGCGATTTCCGATAACCGGGAGTGGTACTTTTTCTACTTTGAATTTCTCAAAAGCCTATAACTTGAGTACTATTTCAGATAGATAAATGAAATTTCACATGTGAGTAAAAGATCTAATTTTCTACCTTCTGTTAAATTAAATTTTGATTAATTTCCGTTGACCGGAAGTAGTAATTTACGCTACTTCCGATTTCTCAAAAAACTAATGTAAATTTTTAAAGTACTATATTAATAATATTGCGCACTATTATGCACTTTTTTATTTGGCGTTCACTTGGTGGGTGTGCAATTCTTTTGTCTACGAGATTTTATTCTATTTTTAAAACTTTAAGTATTTAAAATGGATTGAAAATCATGTTCCCATTCCCTGTTGTTTTATATAAGAATATTCGAGAAAGTTTAGGGGAGATCACTCCCGGTTTATTTTTTTAAATGAAGCTTTTGATGCAAACATTAAAATTTTAGTTTTTATAGGCCTAGTGAAAACCAACAACTAAGCGGTAAATTTTGGGGCCCCTAAAAATTGGGGGCTCTGACTGCTGCTCTCTAAGCCCCCCCCCCCCCAATCCGCTACTGGCAGTGGCGTCGGGAGGTTGGGTGTCACCTGGTGCGAGACCTCATGGTGTCACCCCCCCCCCCCCCCCCCCCAGAAAAAAATTGTTACAAACACACACACACACACACACATATATATATATATATATATATATATATATGTATATATATATATATATATATATATATATATATATATATATATATATATATATATATATATATATATATATATATATATATATATATATATATATATATATATATATATATATATAAAGGTCTACATATGCCTAGTTACAACTGGTGACATACCCTTCTCATTTTGCCTAATGGCGTTGATTTGTGCGTATAATCCATGGTAATTTATGTGGAAAAAGCATCCTTTTCATCGTAAGTCATTAGATTTTGGTGTCACCTCTTCTGCTGTCGTTGATTGACTTATCTGTTATCAATACAGGTGGATTAACTTTTATTAATCATTAATTGAACTGGTAAAAGCATTTTTCTTTATATATTTTGCTATTTTTCGCCATGGTGTCACCCGGTGCGCCGACCTTAGGGGGGGGGGCGCCAAAATGGGTTGGAAAAACAAATTGAAAGTTTGAGGGGGGGTGCAAATCAAAAGTTTGAGGGGGGGGGTGCAAATCGAAAGTTAGTCCCCGGGCGCCGGGAAGGGTCGCTAGCGAAGATAGAAGAAGGGACATTTTCCTGCGTGATTTTGAGTTAACATTTTGGTGTAATATTGATATGGACTGTACAATCTTATTCTTATCTATTTAAAAAACTAATGATTAATGTATTAGCCTTAATGATTAATGAATATCCCAGTAGTAGAAATGTTAAATTTATTTTTTCTCCTTGGTTGGTATTAGATTTTCAAGGGATATGTAATTAAATATAGAGGTTGGACAATGTTTTTAATTGTATTATGTATTGTATTCGTTGCAGCGTCAGGTGACAAGTGGGGGTCAGCCAACTTTTAAACATGTAAACCATTGTGAAGTCAAATAAATGTATTGAACTGTGTTTTGACAAGATACATTTTTAATTAATTGTGTTTGCTTAGGTTTGGTAAACCTCCTTATCCCAATGAAGATGCACTAATGGGGTGAACAATAGCATGCTCTCTCCCCTCAAACATACTTTGAAAAGTATTTGTGATTAAAGTAAATAAACCAGGAGTGATCTCCCATAAACTTTCTCGAATATCTATAATATAACGCTGCTGGTAGTGTGTCAGTCCTTCCTTCCTTCCGTCATCGCTATAGATTTTGGAACCATAAAAGTAAACATTCGCACCATGCTGTGCTTTTTCAGTGCACCGCAGTGTCTTATTATAAGTATTAGAGTAGGGTTTGTTTATATAGCGGCATAGAGCTATTTTATAATTGCCACGGTTTTTACTCTTTCGCATAACGTCAAGAAAATATTAAATACACGCAAACTGCTAAAACGTATTAAAAAGATTAATGTCAAATATCATTTTCGTTTAGGTTCCCAGAAAAAGTGGATACATTTTAATAAGATAATAACAGTCGGGTAGAAAAATCAAATTAATTTAACTCTTTTCTAATTTTGACAAAGGAGGTAATTTAAAAATACATTAAACTCACGCTAATAAAAAATGTGAATGCAAATATACGTTCGTCATAGAAGGAATTAGTGTTGCAATAATATAATTAGCAAAATGTGAATGCAAATTATTCGGATGTGTAAGAGGAAATTATTGTTAGAAAATTATAATTAGCATGGATTGATAAAAGGCAATCATTTATTTATTTTATTCACTGAATGTAGGCCCTACTGTTTATTACTTATAATTTTTAATCAACTATTCAGCACTATTATAGACGCGTCATCACGTTCATTAGGTGCGCAATGGTTTTAGTTATGAAACTCAATTGTAAATTTTTAAAATTTAAAGTACTGGAAAAAAAAATGCGTGAATGGATAAAGTGAAATATTGTAGGTAAAACAGTATAAATAATAGGCAGTATTTAAAATATCCCTTAGGGGGCGCCAAAGTGGGTTGGAAAAAATTTACGAGGGGGGGGGGGGGTGGTGGAAATCGAAAGTTTTAGGGCGGGGGGGGGGGAAGGGGTGCACATCGAAAGTTTGAGGGGGGTGCAAATCACTGGAAAGGGCGCGATTTGGCGCTACGGGCTAGACTGTGAGCAATATGCCTTTATGATTGCATTTAAATTGTGTTTATGTTATGAGTGTTGTGTTTGTTTTTTCGTTTTTTTTTTTTTTTTTTTTTTTTGCGTTCGTTTATGTTGTGTTTAGTTTTGTTCTGAAATTGAAAGTTTTTCCCCGGGCGCCGGAAAGGGTCTGTTTTATAGTCATTCACTGTGTCAGACGCGTCCGGCGGCGCTCGGAAAGGGCGCGATTTGGCGCTACGGGCTAGACTGTGAGCAATATGCCTTTTTTATTGCATTTAAATTGTGTTTATGTTATGAGTGTTATGTTTTTTTTTTCGTTTGTTTGTTTGCGTTCGTTTGTTTGTTTGCGTTCGTTTGTGTTGTGTTTAGTTTTGTTCTGTTCACAAGTTGGTACATTTAAAAAAGATTTACCGTGGCGGAGCACGGGATGCAGCTAGTCTATAATATAACGCTGCTGGTAGTGTGTCAGTCCTTCCTTCCGTCATCGCTATAGATTTTGGAACCATAAAAGTAAACATTCGCACCATGCTGTGCTTTTCAGTGCACCGCAGTGTCTTATTATAAGTATTAGAGTAGGGTTTGTTTATATAGCGGCATAGAGCTATTTTATAATTGCCACGGTTTCTACTCTTTCGCATAACGTCAAGAAAATATTAAATACACTCAAACTGCTAAAACGTATTAAAAAGATTAATGTCAAATATCATTTTCGTTTAGGTTCCCAGAAAAAGTGTATACATTTTAATAAGATAATAACAGTACGGTAGAAAAATCAAATTAATTTAACTCTTTTCTAATTTTGACAAAGGAGGTAATTTAAAAATACATTAAACTCACGCTAATAAAAAATGTGAATGCAAATATACGTTCGTCATAGAAGGAATTAGTGTTGCAATAATATAATTAGCAAAATGTGAATGCAAATTATTCGGATGTGTAAGAGGAAATTATTGTTAGAAAATTATAATTAGCATGGATTGACAAAAGGCAATCTTTTATTTATTTTATTCACTGAATGTAGGCCCTACTGTTTATTACTTATAATTTTTAATCAACTATTCAGCTCTATTATAGACGCGTCATCACGTTCATTAGGTGCGCAATGGTTTTAGTTATGAAACTCTATTGTAATTTTTTTAAATTTAAAGTTCTGGAAAAAAATGCGTGAATGGATAAAGTGAAATATTGTAGGTAAAACACGGATATTTTAAATACTGCCTATTATTTATACTGTTTTCTAATTATTATTCTATCTTTCGGGTTTTATATGAGAGGCGTAGCGAGGGGGGGGGGGCATATGTCCCCGGGTGCCGACCTTAGGGGGCGCCAAAGTGCATTGGAAAAAATTTGCGGCGGGGGGGGGGGGGGTGGAAATCGAAAGTTTTAGGGCGGGGGGGGGAAAGGGGTGCAAATCGAAAGTTTGAGTTGGGTGCAAATCACCGGAAAGGGCGCGATTTGGCGCTACGGGCTAGACTATGAGCAATATGTCTTTATGATTGAATTTAAATTGTGTTTAAGTTATGAGTGTTGTGTTTGTTTTTTCGTTTTTTTTTGTTTGTTTTTTTTTTGCGTTCGTTTGTGTTGTGTTTAGTTTTGTTCTGTTGGTACATTTAAAAAAGATTTACCGTGGCGGAGCACGGGATCCAGCTAGTATATATATATATATATATATATATATATATATATATATATATATATATATATATATATATATATATATATATATATATATATATATATTTATATATATGCAAGGCATAGGTTTAAAAAAAGGATGATTATACATTTAAAAAAAAATTATTTAATTATTTTGATCAGGATTGTGGTCTAGGAGCTTACACAACCTTGCATGCATTCAGTTGGTGTGAAGATGGATTGGATTGCCCTGTTGAAACAACAGTGAAAGCTAGGGGATCATCAGAAGGTCAATGTGGCTTACAGCAGTTTAAGCAAGGAAGTTTACCAATTAGGAACTCGAAAGGTGAAAGGCCTGAAGTAGTGGGTTTTGATGGTGAATCCAATGTTGATGGAAATCATTTAGCCTCAGCTAGTCATTCTAGAGAAGTTACAAGAGGATTGAAACCCCGATTAGGTCACAATGTTCCTTGTACTGAAGGTATGCTATCCAATGATTGCTCCCTAATTAACTTGTTATTTAGAAAAAAATGTCTGTCACTATGGAAAGTGTATATATTAGCAAATTTTCTGGATTATATACCATTTTCAGCAGCAAAATTTAATGAATGAACTCATTTTTTTTTAAATTTCCTAGAACAAAGCCGCTTTTTTGTTTATTGTAAACTATGTGATTGTGTGAGGCCAGCAAAACTGCGTGTCAGCTGTAAGAAGTGCGGGAATGGTGTTTTCTTGGTTGATAGAGTAAGTCTTTGTAAGTTACATAAGGGATTGTTCACATATTTTATTTTATGAAACATGTGGGCAGGTAGTTTATCATTTTAATATATAACTTGATGGGGGTTAAATAGAACAATAATAGATAACATTACCTTGATTTTTTTAAAAGAACAACTCTTAAGCAGTTTACTATATGTAAGAATTAATATTATGTTCTACCAGTATTTAGTGTTTTTAAAGATATTCCCTCTTTCCCATTCCTTGCGGCTCCATGAGGAGCACAGGTAGCTACTTGTTTTTTACGGGTAGCTACTTGTTTTTTACCTCCAGCCATGACAATTTGACCTCCTTTTCTTTTTCTTAAAGACATTTTCATGACATTTTTGGACTTCACTTTCTATGTGGATTCTATTCCAGTGCCTGTTTATCTCTTATAATCAGGTGTAGATTTCAAAATGTCTTGTGTATGGGCCAATGTACATATTTTTAAAATGTTTTAATGATCTGTTTATAAAGCTCTTGAGTTTAATTGTTTGCAATCTGTGCTACCTTCCACATCTCAAGAGTCTTACAGTAAAATATTCTTTAAATTTGTTCCATAGATTCTATGCTTAGTGTATCTGGACACTGCCTTAGAATTCCAAACTGGCTTTAACAAGTTGAAATAATTTCTTGCCTCATTGATTCTTTCCTATTATGAAATGATTTTTAAATTCATCTCTATATGACAAATTCAAGGCTTACTTAACAGTAGCAGTTATTTTATTGATAAATTACTAGGTACACTAGAAGTAGAAGACCTAGTTTTAGTGTGGTGTGTGTGTGTGGAGTTGGGGGGAAGGGGCATTAGTATGATTGCTGGTGGTCTAAGAAAATGTTATTTTATATGATGTATGGGGGTTGGTTAAAACATCTTATTGATATTGTTTTTGTTAAGTACTATATGAATTTTTCCTAATAAAATTTAGCTCAAATTACAAATAAAATGCCCCTTAGTTAGGATAATTTCATAATCATTGTTAGAAAAATAAAAAAGCTTTGAATTCTGTATAAAAGGGCCCATCCAACTGGGATGATATCTCTCCATCAACTAACATCAAAGGAAACTGCAAAAGTCCAAACTGTTGCATTTAAATTGTGTTTATGTTATGAGTGTTGTGTTTGTTTTTTCGTTGTTTTTTTTTGCGTTCGTTTGTGTTGTGTTTAGTTTTGTTTTGTTCTGTTCCCAAGTTGGTACATTTAAAAAAGATTTACCGTGGCGGAGCACGGGATGCAGCTAGTCTATAATATAACGCTGCTGGTAGTGTGTCAGTCCTTCCTTCCTTCCTTCCTTCCTTCCGTCATCGCTATAGATTTTGGAACCATAAAAGTAAACATTCGCACAATGCTGTGCTTTTCAGTGCACCGCAGTGTCTTATTATTAGTATTAGAGTAGGGTTTGTTTATATAGCGGCATAGAGCTATTTTATAATTGCCACGGTTTCTACTCTTTCGCATAACGTCAAGAAAATATTAAATACACTCAAACTGCTAAAACGTATTAAAAAGATTAATGTCAAATATCATTTTCGTTTAGGTTCCCAGAAAAAGTGGATACATTTCAATAACATAATAACAGTACGGTAGAAAAATCAAATTAATTTAACTCTTTTCTAATTTTGACAAAGGAGGTAATTTAAAAATACATTAAACTCACGCTAATAAAAAATGTAAATGCAAATATACGTTCGTCATAGAAGGAATTAGTGTTGCAATAATATAATTAGCAAAATGTGAATGCAAATTATTCGGATGTGAAAGAGTACATTATTGTTGGAATATTATAATTAGCATGGATTGATAAAAGGCTATCTTTTATTTATTTTATTCACTGAATTTAATGTTTACTACTTATACTTTTTTATCAACTATTAAGCACTATTATAGACGCGTCATCACGTTCATTTGGTGCTCAATGGTTTTAGTTATGAAACTCTATTGTAATTTTTAAAAATTTAAAGTACTGGGAAAAAAATGCGTGAATTGATAAAGTGATATAATATGGTAGTTAAAACACGGATATTTTAAATACTGCTGGGGGTTTTATAGGAGAGGCGTAGAGGGGGGGGGGGGCAAATGTCCCCGGTTGCCGACCTAAGGGGGCGCCAAAGTGGGTTGGAAAAAATTTGCGCGGGGGGGGGGGGGTGCGGGGGTTGGGGGGTGCGGGGGGTGGTGGAAATCGAAAGTTTGAGGGCGGTGGGAGGGTGCAAATCGAAAGTTTGAGGGGGGTGCAAATCAACAGATTAAGCGGGGGGAATTTCTAATCAAAAGTGGTGCAAATCAAAAGTGAAGGGGGGGGGTGCAAATCGTAAGTTTTTCCCCGGGCGCCGGAAAGAGTCGCTACGCCTCTGTTTTATAGTCATTCACTGTGTCAGACGCGTCCGGCGGCGCTCGGAAAGGGCGCGATTTGGCGCTACGGGCTAGACTGTGAGCAATATGCCTTTATGATTTTATGATTGCATTTAAGATGTGTTTATGTTATGAGTGTTGTGTTTGTTTTTTCGTTTGTGTTTTTTTTTTGCGTTCGTTTGTCTTGTGTTTAGTTTTGTTCTGTTCCCAAGTTGGTACATTTAAAAAGATTAACCGTGGCGGAGCACGGGATGCAGCTAGTTCTTATATAACACTACGGGGATGGCAACTCAGAATATAGAAATGATTTTTAATCCATGTTTAATTTCTTACACTTTTAAAAATATAATAGAATCTCGTAGAAAAAAAAAAGGAATTGCGCACCAAGTGAATGGCAAACAATGTGTGTATAATAGTGCGGAATATTATTAGTACTTTATAAATTCATTTTCGTTTTTTTTAGATATCGGAAATAGCGTAAAATTTGCCAGAAGACAGAAAATTAGATCTTTTACTTATACGTACAATTTCGTTTATCTATCTGAAACAGTACTCAAGGTATAGGCTTTTGAAAAAATAAAAGTAGTGTAAGTCCCACTTTCGGTTATTGGAAATAAATAGTTGAAAAGTTAATATAGAGCTGAAAAGTTAATATAGAACTAAAAAATTTATATAATACTTGTATATGAAATTTCATCAACCTAGCTGTAAAGGTACTCAAGTACTCAGACACACATACAGACCAGACAAAATTGCAAACAGTGTTTCTTCCAGACCTTTTTCTCCGAGGGGGGGGGGGGGGGGGGGGCGGCGGTAGACTTTCTTCGGGGGGGGGGGGGGGGCGGGGCAGACACTGTTAAAAGTATATATTTTCTATATAAATTATATAAATTTCATTTTGTTCGTGGGGTGGGGGGGGGGGGGGGCGAAGAGATGCCTGGAAGAAACTCTGATTGCAAAGCTATATTTTTCCTACTCAGGGAGCTGTAAAACATAAAGATTTGTAAATTCGATTTTTCGCAGGATTACAATTACAATACTTCCTCCTCTATACTTTGTATAGATTCTATATGAGAAAATTAAAAGAACAAAGCACAAAAATTCATAACAGAATCAACAGAACATAAAAAAAAGAAACATAAAAACAGAAGGCACAAAAACTGAGCATTTGCAGATGAACATACAATAACTGTATGTTTCACTACTAACATTTGAAATGTAGTTGTTCTGACAATAGAACAAAAAATAACAGATAAGAACAGAGCAAAGAGAACAGAACACTTGAGAGGCCTAAATTTTTCAGAATATTTTTTCTTTAACTTTGATTTGGATGATAGTGTGTGCTAGCATACACAGATGATTAAAACAGACAATACAAACTGTTTTCAAGAATTTTTTTTATGATTAAAAATTTATATTTTACTAAGGTTCAATAAAATGTAATAATAATAATTAGGCCTATATATATATATATATATATATATATATATATATATATATATATATATATATATATATATATATATATAACATTGCAATTACAAACTGTATAAATATCTATGGAGTAATCAATCACAGACAGTTAAATTTAGAATCAGGACCTTGTATACATTGATGCCAGATTATCCCTATTTCCTGACCACTGAATTTCACAGTCACATCTTACTCCCCCCCCCCCCCCCCCCTCACCCCAATCATAATACTATCATAATATTAATGAAATTAGAATTTTAAAAAAAAAATCACATTTTACTTCTTAAAACAAACAATGTAGACCTATTACTTAATCATAACCTTCTTACCCATGTAGCTCATCTGAATTAAAGTCATATCCCCTCAAGATGGGTAATATGTTTTATGGGGTGGATGACAGTACATAACTAGTTGGCACAAAGTAGGTAAACTTTTCATCTAATTTAAAATCTTTCATTTTATTTACAGAAGAATACAGTAATATTCATCAGAATTTTAAAATATGTTTGTAGATAAAAATACAAACACTCTGATTTTAAAATCATAGCGAAAAACATCAACACTGAAGCATGCTTTAAAATGGCTTTACGATCACAAATACAATGTGGGACAAACAAAATTGGTTGGTGAGTGGTAGATCTCCATTTTAAGCAGAATATCATACTATTCTACTCCTGGAATCTTTGTAAGAATTAGCAAAAACATACTTAGTAACATGAAGAAAAAAGTATACAAAAAATAATTATACAATGCAGTGGTAATTAATTTATTCTATTTTTAAAAATCACCCCTGTAGGATTAATTGAGCATGTGTTTATTCTTTTGAATATATTGGTCAATTTGTATGTGTTACTGGCAAAGTCCCATAGTGAAACAACAAATCAAATTTTGTACTTTAAAAAATATTCATAGGATAAATGCTACATAAAATGAATAGGGCTCAGACAGGAATGGATAGTTCGTTCTATGAGCAACATATATAAATATTTGTGTATGTGTGTAGTTTCAAATATATCCAAAAGGGGAAATTTTACTATAGAAACATTCATCTTTTTATAAAGCTACAAATGATGTTATAATATTAATATGCTTGAACACTTAATGCTAGTTCTTTATGCTTAGTTGCATTGATTAGATTTTCTCTGTACTGTAGAAGATCATCCCATTTATCAGAATTGCGTAAAAGCTCATTGTTTTTACTTGCTTCTAGATGAAATTGTGGTGTCTTTAGTTCATACCTAAAATAGAAAGCAATACATTTAAAAATGCAAGTTACATTTAATACCTTTTGCCTACCGGTGACTGGTTAGTAATGTTTTTTTTCATTAAAAGTAGGTTTAAAAGCTAAAAACAAAAGAAATATGTGGATTTCTAAGAAGCTCTAGGAAAGCATGGTGTAGCAGTGGGTAGATCATTCAAATGCTGGCACACCCATTGCAAACCATCTTTTTAATGCAACTTTATGTCATCTTTTTATTTTTAAACACACAACAAAGATAACATCTGTTAACTTTTGTCTCGTGATTTTGTTGTCTTTACATAAGAACACCAACCATTTAGGTCTTGGCCCACGGATCCGCTCTAACTCAGCTTGCCTTTTTAGCTCAAGATATTGCTCTTCCTCAATACGCAACTTTTCCATTCGTAGCCTAGCCAGTTCTTCAGCATATGGAGATATAAAGGTAATGCTTGATGATTCTGATGATAAAGATAAGGGAAAATTATTTATTGCATATTTTATTAAGTGGTTTCATAAAGCCTTAAACTTGATTACATGTTGTGAGGGTGGGGATTTTTAAGAAGGCGGAACGAATGTATCCAATAACACACAGTTCAAGTTCCAAATACAAAGTTCTTTATTCAAATGTATATAATCAATTTTCTACCTAACTGATCTACACTGTACTACTTCTATCTGACTGTTCATTATACCACTAACTACGCCCTCCCATGACCAATCCTAACACTAACTGTTCTCTACATTCTACAATCTAACACCTTCTACCTCGCTAGCTAATCATGATCTACCTAACTATCTACATTCCTCGGCCGTCTCTGACCGCTACCTAACAACTCCTGGCCTATCGCTCTACTGCCCCACGCCTCAGTGGTCAGCTGACCGTCCCACGTGACCGGTCAGTCCTGTGCGCCCATTGGCCTCTCTAACCAACCAACTAGGCCTATAGTCTGTTTCTGCTATCTACCTGAGCTCGACGCAACCTTGCGTCATCACATATCTCCCTCCCTTTCTGTAGCTGACAAATTATATTTTTCAGCGTCTGCTACTAATCTAATACATCAACAACTATCTATCTTACTACTCTATTCTATCCCTAACATCAATCATATAAATCAAATAAAAAATGGGACAGCACAGTTTACAAAAACATAAACTCTTGTGTCTGTGTTCTTGAAAGAAATGTCATTGTTCTAGTTCCTGAAATCTTGTGGTGTGACTGGTGTCTCTGCTTGATAATGTATGTCTATGTTTCATGGTATGTGTGAATTCAATAATGTGTAACTCAGTTCTGGCTAGGTTGTCGTGTACTGGCCTTGAGCCAATCTTAGTGGTAATGTGTAACTGGTTGAACGGGCTCTGCGAGCAGTGTAAGTGTATGTGTAAGTGTTATGTAATTACTGGCGTTCCTCGGTGGTGGGTAGGTTGTGGCAAGTTTTGATGTAAATTCCCGTGAGGCGGGTGTAGGCGTAACTTTCGTTGGTCAATGTGATGACGCAACAAACTGATCTCAACGCTGGTTGAGACGTCCACGTAGAGTGGTTATGCGATGAACTGGAGCTGTCTGATGCGGTGGCGAACAATGACGTAACATTCCGACGCTGGGAACTTGGACGATGGGTCGTCTACCCTTTGTATCTGCCGCTGTTCGCTGTCCAGGTAACTCAACGTGATCAGGGGCTTCAGGTGGCGGCATTCTTTGAAGTGTCTGCTTCATCTCGTCTCATTCTGTATAACGCTGGTGGGTCTGAAATTGTATTACGAGACCATGAGCAATGGCTTTACATGACCATTTATTGCCCGCGCAGACAAGTATTCAGACAGAGGTACCTTCCATTAAAAAAAAACCTCAATCCCAAATTTAAACGTGCTGAACATTTGTCTGGCGGTATAGCAAACATTAAAAAATAACATTACAAAAATAACCAAATAAAAAAATCAGTACACTCTACATCTAACAACAATCTGTAAAGCCTAATAAACTCAATAGACGTAAACACTACTAGAGCTTAGAAATAGCTTCACAAAAAGAATAGACATGTAAGTGTATACAAATAATCGTGCCGTTTCAAATAACATTTGAACACGTAATCATATAGCGGAGCAGCTCTCACTATGTGACTTCTGACAAAAAACTGGCTGGCTTGACTTAATGACTGACTTCACTTTTGACTTCAGTAACTTGACTTATTTCACTTTAACTGACTTCAGTAACTTGACTTATTTCACTTTGACTGATTTCAGTAACTTCACTTATTTCACTTTGACTTCAGTAACTTGACTGACTTCAATTTAACGACTGATTCCACTTTGACGACTTCCATTACTTCAACTTGACGACTAACTTCACTTTGAAGACTAACTTGACCTCGACGACTTCACTTCAATTCAACTTAAAAGACTTCACTGACCGACTTAAACTTCGACGACTTAAACGTCTTCACTTTGACTTCAAAGACTTTTCCTTGACTTCAACGACTTCAATATGACTTCAAAGACTTCACTTTGACTTCAACAACTTCAATATGACTTCAAAGACTTCAATATGACTTCAACAACTTCAATATGACTTCAAAGACTTCACTTTGACTTCAACAACTTAAATATGACTTCAAAGACTTTAACTTTGACTTCAAAGATTTCACTATAACTTTGACGATTTCACTTCTTCACTATGACCTCAACGACTTTATAACTTCAAAGACTTTTCTTTGACTGCAACATGACTTCAACTACGTCACTATGACCTCAACTACGACTTCAACAACTTATTGACTGACTTGACTGACTTCAAATAACCTCTTTGACTTCAGTTCTGACTTATACTTCACTGACTTCAATAACACTATTGACTTCAGATTGACTACACTGACTTCGACTTCAACTATATCGACTTCACGCCGATTTTCTCGACTACTTAGATCAACACAAAAACTCGACTTGACTTCACTATTATGTCCGTTGTTCAAAATCATGTATGGGGACGGTCCGGGTCAAATTCCTGGTCATGGGGTTGATGTTCTAGGGCAGATGCGTGTTATCTATGTGCTGTACTTTCCGTTTCACTAATTCTAACGCTAACTATGCTTTTGTTCTCGACATTTCTTACTATCTTGACTATCTTGTTTTCTAGCTTATTCTCTACAAATGTTTCAACTTCTTCTCCTGTTTTGTCTAATGGTATGCCCTGTTTATAGCATTGAAACTCTGCCTCCATGGTTGTGTATGTGTATGTGTGTGTGTAGAGGAAAGTCAACAAAACTAAGGCAACAGGGCGTAACATAAGAATGTGTAAGGCAGAAAAACCGCTGGCACAAACTATCCAGCACGGGTATAAACCCAAACGTTTAAAAAAATGTTGGAAGGTACTTATCTTTGTGAATATGGTGACAGTTCCCTTGTGTTCCAAACTCGTTCCGACTGAAGAAGTCCGCTTTGTGATGAGTTAGAGAAAGCAATACACAAGTCTTACTCCGTCATGAGTAACTGATATACGTTCTTTCCCTTACTCGACCCGCGCTCCACCAGATGTGAGGGTGGGGATTTTTACGATGGCGGAACGAATGAATGCAATAACACACAGTTCAAGTTCCAAATACAAAGTTCTTTATTCAAATGTATATAATCAATTTTCTACCTAACTGATCTACACTGTACTACTTCTATCTGACTGTTCATTATACCACTAACTACGCCCTCCCATGACCAATCCTAACACTAACTGTTCTCTACATTCTACAATCTAACACCTTCTACCTCGCTAGCTAATCATGATCTACCTAACTATCTACATTCCTCGGCCGTCTCTGACCGCTACCTAACAACTCCTGGCCTATCGCTCTACTGCCCCACGCCTCAGTGGTCAGCTGACCGTCCCACGTGACCGGTCAGTCCTGTGCGCCCATTGGCCTCTCTAACCAACCAACTAGGCCTATAGTCTGTTTCTGCTATCTACCTGAGCTCGACGCAACCTTGCGTCATCACACATGTTTTTTAAGTGAACAAGAGAAAGAAATATTTTTTGCTAATGATATTAGCAAAAAATGTATTGGGATAAAAAAAAATATTGTCTCTATAAGTATTGTAAGGGAAGGGTCGGTTGGTTACCAAGAAAGGTATGATAGAGAGATGTTTTTATACTCTTGAATCGGTGCATCCTCATTAGTACAAAGAGGTTTAACAGACCTGAGCAAACTTATTTCCACAAAATAACAACATTAATATTAAACTAAAAATAAAACTTATTAACACACAGTTCAATACATTTATTTACATTCATTAGACTTCAAGTTATTTTATAAATGTTCAATAACGATGAAACAATACAAATAAGACATGGCCGTCTTTCATATTCAAGAAAACATCACTTGAAATTCTAATACAAGTAAAAATGACAAAAATAATCAAACTTGCATTTCAATGCGGAATTATTCACATTGGCTACTAACATTAAGTCGTTGTTTTGATTGAGAACAATATATATAAGTGTGAGTAGCACACCTGAATGTACACAACTCAGAATTCACATAAGTAAACGTCATCATCCCTAGTCCTAGCTTCACTAGTCGCACTGATATGTAATCTCAGAATCACACATGTAAATGTTATCATCCCTGGTCCTAACTTCACTAGTTCTAAATGCGGTTAAATCCTGTAGATGATAACTCAGTAGTACTCACAGCGATCTAGCTAGACGGACAAGCGGCAGGAAGATTTCCAACAACTGTAACAAAACATTGGGCCTTTGTTACAAACATCGGCCACATGTATAAACATCTGGCCACAGGTATAAACATCAGGGTCAGGCCCGGTCAGGCCACAGAAACAAATCTCTGGCCACAGGAATGAAGCACCTATTAACAGGAACAAGACGTTTGGCCACTCGTATAAACACCAGGCCACAGAAACAAAACATCGGCTGGGCCAATAGGACAGCCTTCACTGCCAGCCTTAAAGCTGCCACCATCCAAGTCCTATACTATCACGAAGTTCGAGATAATGCCGGTCATTATATTCTCATGCGTTTCACACCCGATAAATGACCGCTATAGACCTTTACGTTGTCTGAGGCCTAACGACTGTGTCATGCAACGCTCTGGCTAATGTAAGCCATGCAGTACTCCCACTGCACATCCCACCTGACAACTGAACACAACGGGTCCCCAAGCTGACTCACATCTAACGATCCGCCCCAGGCGATGTCTCCCTATGGTCATCAGAATCATGTCTGGCGTCCACCTGCAAGTCATGAGTAATGATTCAACCGTGACGTCCAGCAGCATGCCCCAACTCAACTTTAGACATAAATCACTGCAGATGTCTTCATATCATTATGTTTCACTTATGCACCTGCATAGAGCTCGTAGTCCTTAACGACAAGCGTGAACCGATAACACTTATTAAATTTTAGATTTCCCCTGGCCCGATCATCCCCAATATCTTAGATTAACCCCTTGGGTTTTTGTAACTAGCACCTAGTCACCTAAGCCCCTTTAATGAGCAACCAAGTAACTATTTTACTTAAGAATAAAAAATAGAGCACCAGCCAACCTATAGTACAGGTGTTTTAGTATGTACAAATCAATAGTCCACAACACCTAGTAACATCAAAAGAAATATTATAAGCACCTTTATCTAGTTAGTAAAACAATGAGAGGTAATTTTAAAAAAAAACTTACTTATGTGTGGAGCTGCTGCTGTTAAGAAATCAGTATCATTTACCAATCCTCGTTTGGATTGTGTTCTAAAAAAAGAAGCCTCAGCTACTTGTCTAGATACATTTCTTTTCCCAGGCTTTATTGTATTAACCATCTCTAGAGATTTACTTTCTCCAAGTGTCACAGGAAAAAACTTTGTAGCTAGCATGTCTTCTTCACTCACTGGAATTTTTACTGAAGATGTTAAATGAATTGGTTTGATATACCAATCACTTCTTAAATGTAAATTGACAGGTGATGGAGTTTTATTCAGCACATCTCTTAGAGCTTCGTTTAATTCTCTTTGTGTGTAAAAATGTGTACTCTGACTAGTGCTCATATCAACATCATTTTCTTTGAGAAGAGACCTCCTTATATCTCCACTTACTCTGTTCAAGCTGCGTGAGATAGTGCGCAAAGAACCTCTTAATTGTGGATCATCCTCATACTTTTTTGACAGCAGCTCATGTTGAGTCAAGTTTTTTGTTGTGTCAGTTAGCATTGAGTTAGTCAAATAGCCAGGCATTCCTCTATATAAAATAGAATAAAATAAGTTAAATTTGATAAACATATACTTTATAAAAAAAAGCTGATATTACCAATGAAATAACACTTCCTTTGCAGATGCCCAAAATGTTAAATGAAACAAGCTTGTGAGCTTAAAAATTACAAAAATGTATTGGTATATAAAAAAATATATTTAGGCTTAATAGACCTATATGTTAATTATAATAAAAAAGAATTATTGCATAGCGTAAATTAAAATAATAAATAACATAAAAAATGTAAAAAAGTAAAAAGGTCAAAACATAGATACATTTTTTAGATCTAGAATATAGATCTACGTTTTTAACTTTCTCATATTAAACAGAGTATATAGGCAGTATTGTAATATGCTAAAAAATTAAATTAGATTTTGACAGTTTTGCCTTTTCACATCTTCTTGCTTTATTGTATATGGAATAAAAAGGATGTATTGTAATAGTGAAAACAAATATTAATCTGAGATTTGGACAAATTCTGGAGTCTGAAAATTTGCTATCCTGTATCTGTAATAGTAATATGTAAAACTGACTACTTGAGTACTGTTTTAGTTCAGTTGACAAAATTTCATATATAAGTTTTAAGTACTATATCAAATTAGTAATTTTCTATCAGCTTTTGATGAATATTAGGTAATCAGCAGTGATACTTACTCTACTTTCAGTTTCTCAAAAGCCTATAACTTAAATTAGGTGGACTAAATTTTGAACAATTTGCTAAAACTGGAAGTGGTGTTAGACTCTATTTTTGTGGAAACACGACAACTTGAGTACAGTTTCAGTTAGGTAGACAATCTTAAAAATAGATAACTCTCAAATTTTTAGTGACTTCTGATATGCAGGAATGGTACATTAGTGTATTTAAAAAATACTGATAAAATAAGTACTGGAGGAGATTTCATAAATAAGTATAAAATCTTGATTCCTTCAAATCTTGAATTATTTCCAGTGACCAGAATAGTAGGCTGCTTCACGCTATTCCTAATTTCTAAAAAAAATCCATGGTGCCTAATTTTCTTCTACATGATTTGAAATTCTTTTTAAAATGTGTACCTCTTTATTAAGCAAGCAATAAATGAAACAGAATTAACAGTTGTGAAACTTACTTATTAATATTATTATAATAAATCCTATGAGTGCTTTTAACACTTTTTTCAACAAACACTAATTAGTGTTAAATACTTTGCAGAAGTTTTTGGTTGGTAAGGGAAAATCAATAATGTATTTACAATAGGAACAATCTTACATAAAAAGAGGAACATGCGAGCAGATGCTACTTAGTTAACCTGAAAATTAATAATTAAAAAAAGAAAAGAGCCTTACAGCAGTACTAACTTGATACGAGTATGATGTATAGTTTTAGAATAGTTGTATTTAAAATTATATCTAGCCTGCACCTACATCTAAACGAAAATGCTATTTATAGTTCATTTTTTTTAATAACATGTACCCCCCCCCCCCTTTGCACTATAATAAAACCATTTAGCATAACACTAGTGCTTTGATTTAACACTAGATGATGCTAAGCTATATTAAACTATTTAGGACTCTTTGTTAATCAAAAATGTAGACAAGAGTATTGAAAATAAACATTGAGTCAGAAACAAATGCTAAAGGGAAGTAGGCTACTCGCATTTTACCCACTCTTTTTTCTGTGCGGATTATTAATTTTAAAAAATTGTATGCATTCGCTTTTTTTTTATTTACTGAAAAAACTTTGAAATTTCAGATGGAAGGATTCTCGGTAATCTATTGTTTTGGGTACGTAAAATTGCCCGCGGCTATTAATGTACGAAAAAGTTATCTCATTGTCAAGGCTTTAATAGAAGTATATTGTGATATACCTATTTGTGTCAAATATTAAATAAAAATGAATAATAAACCTTAATCAATATATATAGGCCAGAAATTAACTTTAAACAGCAGTGTTTGCGAGCAAGATTTTCTATATAAACAGCAGCCATTTGTAAAATAAAGTGGCTTCCCCTGAATCTTGCGCTATAAATTTACTAAAAAAACGTAAACAAGATGGCAACTATAGTAAATGAGCATGAATGCAGCTGTTGGAAACATCGCTAGTCTTCATTTATTACTGAAAAGTTTTAATTCAATTGTTTAAAAACAGGTACATAAATGAAACTTTGAAACATTTTTGTAAATTTCAAAACTAAAATCCTCCTATAAATGTGAAATAATTATTAAAATTTAAGGAGTCACCTGTTTTTCACATTTGTAGTCGCGGGCGATTTTACGTACCCAAACAAATTAACAAAACGATAGATTACCGGATTCTCGTTAACTCGGTGCCCGGTGGCCTCCATAGAATATTATAAATTGGGATATTAAAAATTATTTAGGCCTAGGCCTATATTTAAACGTTAAAAAATTAATCGAAATGCAAAAAAAAGTCAAAGCTCTGACTTGTTATAAAATGGTGGAGCTCCATGCAATACAAAATTTCTATCTGGATTAGGATAGAATTGTTGACTTAGAGGCCTCTCCGCCATTGTGTTTACGAAAATTGTTCGCATTGACAACGACGCATGCGCTCTAGTTATTTCATTTCATCTAGGCCAATTCTAGGCCCAAACTTTCTCGTACATTGAAGTTGTGTCCTGCCTTCGATAATTATGAATATGATTTTACTACAGAGCAAACGGGCTATAGAAATATTAAATTATGTGACAAAACCGCTCGTTTCTTTATTGAGAAAATTTCTTAAAATATGCTGTATACTATGATAATGATATATATATATATATATATATATATATATATATATATATATATATATATATATATATATACATACATACATATATATATATATATATATATATATATATATATATATATATATATATATATATATATATATATATATATATATATATATATATATATATATATATGTTACGGTCAAAGCCCGAAGTGCGGCCAAAGCGCGGATTGGCCGGCCAATCCGCGCATTGGCCGGCTCTCTTGGCCAAAGCCCGAAGAACTTAGCACTAAGATCGTATTTTGTACATTGGCCGGCCAATGCGCGCACTGGCCGGGATGTCCTGGCCAATGTGCTATCTAGATTAAGTTGTGATCGCATTTTCATTATTCTGGGTGCGTTTTCATTGAGAGTAACGTATTGTTTAGCTCTTGTTTGTATAGCATTCTATATGCAAGGCGACATGGATCAAAAAGGCCGTCAGACCATGAGACAGACATAGCAGATGGCTGTCAAAAGAAAAAAAATGTAAATCCATGTTAGTTTCCATATATGGGCTCTCGATAAAATTGTTACTGAGGAAGATCTTGAGAACATTGAACAAGAATTGGAGGTTGCCAAAAATGCAACGACATCCTCAGCTAACACATCTATTGCCGTGGCGGAACGTCCAGACCAGTTGCGTGACAATAATGTGGCAAACAGATTCTGTATAGTTTGTGAAAAACATTATAGTGCAGCTCATTCTTTTGGATCCTGTGGCAACAATGTCCATGCTATTTGTGGAATACCCAATGAAGCAGACGAAGGGTACGGAGGGAACATTACCTGCAGATTGTGTCACAACAAACAAGACATCATGGAACACAGATCAGCAGCTCATACTGGCTTGCAAACTCAAGGTGCTAAGATGCTTAAAACATCAAATACAAAATTTAAAGATGGTGAAGTGGGTGACAATGTACGCATCCGTTTTCAAGATGTTGACAGAAGTCACGGTGATCCCCGAAGCGTGATTGCAGTTGTCATGAGCGTCGAGGGCGGTTTCTACAAATTAGGAACGGAACATGGTGTTCTAAAAAAACTATGCTGGAAGTGAGTTTTCAATTCTTCACGAAAAACTGCTCTTATTGTCGTCAGTTGGCACTGAGGAAAAATCACTACGAACCATAGCATCTTCACAATCATTGACTGGGGGCCAAGGCTACACTCGCTGCAATTGCACAACTAAGTGCACAACAAATTTGAATGTTTCTGTCATTTACTTAATAAATAATCAATAAAGACTTAATTTCATGATCCTTACGGCATAAAAAAAACCCAAAATATGCTCATGATCTTCTAATTCGGACTTTGGCCGGTCGTCCCTAGCCAGATGATCTTCTAATTAAGACTTTGGCCGGTCCACCATGGCCAGTCTGTCGATTGGCCGGCCAAAGGCCGAAATCAAGCAAAGTTTCGGACTTTGACCGACCTAAGGGAGGCGATATTGGCCAATGCGCGGATTTGCCGGCCAATCCAAGCATTGGCCGACTTCGGGCTTTGACCGTAACATATATATATATATATATATATATATATATATATATATATATATATATATATATATATATATATATATATATATATATATATATATATATATATATATATTATAAGCGTATCAAATTCTGGAGGTTTTTGGGAAATTGTAAATACAGCTAAATACTCCTAATCTTTCTTTCTTTCATACACATGGTTCGGAGACTTGGGGGTTTGCAAAGGCAAATACAGATTGGCTACAGTCGTTTACAAATAAATATTTACGACATATACTTAAAATAAGATGGCTAGACAAAATATCAAAGACCTGTGGCGACCTACAAAAGAGCAGCCAATAGATCCCTAGGGAAAAAAGAAAGTGGGTCGGCTAAAGAGATCATGGAAAAGAACGGTAGAGGAAGAGGCAAAGACCGCTGGGCTCAGAGTTTCTTCCAGGCATCTCTTCGGGGGGAGGGGGGGGGCGAAGAAAGTCTACCCCTCCCCCCAAACGAGATGGCATTTATATAGTAAACATACACTTTTACTAGTGTCCGCCGCCCCCCCCCCCCCCCCGGAGAAAAAAGTCTGGAAGAAACACTGGCTGGGCTCACGTGGGCACAGATAAAGGGAGAATCCCAAAACCGAGTCCGCTGCAAAAGTGTAACTGCAGCCCTTTGACCCCCCCCCCCCCCCCCTTCCGAGCTACAACAAAGGAAACATGGTACTCAAGTTGTAGGCTTTTGGAAAACCGAAAGAAGAATAAGTACCATCTCCGGTTATCACTCAGAAGTTGATAGAAAACGTATGTATGAAATTTCCACAATCTAACTGAAACAGCACTCACGTTATCGTGTTTACACAAGCGCGCACGCACCAGTGTTTCTTTCAGATTTTTTTCTCCAGGTGGGGGAGGGGAATTGAAATTTTGAGGGGGGGGGGGCGGACTAAAATTTTCGGTGGCGGACGTCATTGTTCATTGCGTTCTTGTCACAACTATAAAACCTTTTCCGGTTGCATAATTAAAAGTGTTTATAATTCTACATTCGAATATTGCTTTATTTTTATTTTCCTTCTTTAAATAAAATTTAGTTTATACATTTAAAACAACCAACATATTATCAAGTTTCTCCATATATCGCTGAAGATACTGATCTCATAGTCTGTGAAAATATTTTGCGGTTCAGACAACATTTTAGTAAAATATCGACGTTTTAAGAAAATGCAACTGAAATTTTGAGGGGGGGGGGGGGGGGGGAAGGGCGGGGGTGGTATAGGCTGAGTTGTGAAGTAATTTTAAGGGGTCTGGCTTTTTGTGACAATGTGTGACGGAGGGGAGGGGGAGGTAAAATCATAAAAAAAGTGTGACGTTATTTATGGATGCCCCCCCCCCCCTTACGAGTGTGACGTCATTTATGGACACCAAGTCCACTACTGAACCACGAAAAATAAAATGTTCGTTACAGTACGTATACACACATGCCTGTATATGTGGTGGTGACAGTCGTTACGTATGTGTATAATAATATCACGACGTTACCGATACGTGTTATTTCGCTCTGAAGCACTTTAATATTACATCGTGCTGTCGCTTAATCGTATTCGAATTGTCATCGGTCGCTAGTTATTATATATGCAGTTTCTTCCAGGCATCTCTTCGGAAGAAATTCTACCTCCCCCCCCCCCCCCCCCCCAACGAAATGGAATTTATAGAGACAACATACTTTTACCAGTGTCTGCCCCCCCCCATCCCGCGAAAATATCAAGTGTCCCCCCTTCCCCCCCCCCCCCCCCGGAAAAAAAAGCCTACAAGAAACTGACAAAAGCAAATCACATATCATATGAGCAGTGTTTCTTCCAGACTTTTTTTCTCCGGGGGGGGGGGGGGGCACTTGATATTTTTGGGAAGACGGACATTTTCCGGGGGGGGGGGGGGTTGGTAAAAGTATGTTTGGGGTCGTCCATAAATGGCGTCACACTCGTAGGGGGAGCGGGGTCCGTAATTTTGTGACGGTGTGTGATGAGGGGGAGGGGGGGGGGGGGGGGTCAGATGGTGCGACGTCACACTTTTGCATTATAAAAAAGCAATGTTAGAAAACGAATTTTAGACGTTATTTTGCGTTTTAGAAAACTGTTCTAATAAATTGTAATAACAATTGATTAAAATACTCTATTTTGACAGAGTTCAGACAAGATTTTGGAAAAAAATATAGCTGTTTAAAAAAAAATTAATTTTGAGGGGGGTTGTAGACTGAGGTGTGACGTCATTTTAGGGGGGGGGGGGGGTGGCTTTTGACAGAGGGGAGGGGGGGGGGGTAAAAATCGTCCAAAAAAAGCGTGACGTCATTTATGGATGACCCATTTTCTATATAAATTCCATTTCGTTGGGGGGGGGGGGCGGGAGCCTTTCTCCCCCCCCCCCTCGTCAAGAGATGACTGGAAGAAACTCTGCATATGAGTCGGGTGTGTGTCTTGACTTTAGATCGAACCAGTTTAGGGACCGCTGATCTAGAATTTAGCTGACTCGTTACCATGTAGGCTAACCTCTTTCGTGAACCGGAAGTGGTTTCGCTAACGTGCTGGTATTATTGTCATTCTACTTCCATACCATTTGCTCAGGCCTACACTAAGAAGTGTTCTGTTAAGTTTTCTAAAAATGACAGGATCTACAGATCCAGAACGGTTTGATGGAATGTTGATGGCTATGGCCCAGCAATGTGAGGGTGGTATTCATGAGGTAAAATGGAGATCTCTGTAGTACAGTCTGTACCCTATGATGATCCTTTTAAATTATTTTAATTATTTTAATTAGAATCTTCTAGCTAAACTTAAAATTAATTATTTTTTATAGGCCCTAATTAATAAATTATTAATTATTAAAAAACTCACTCAACAATGACACTCAAGTCAAAACAAAACAGTATCAGTAACTTTACTAAACAGTATCCTCAGTCAGTAGGCAGACTCATCAGACTGTACCTGGTACTAGCTAGTAGCTACTAAAATTAAATCTAGATCTACCGTAAAACTCCATTTTAGCATATTTCTCCCCCCCCCCCCTCGCTTCATGTTCACCTCCAGTTGAGCGTATTTAACTATTTATTATAAATAAACACAACAGAAACACACAAAAACGTTGGGAAATCACTTGGCCTATTTATTATTGTTATTTCTTTATGAATCTTTGGTAGGCATTCCGACTTCCGCTGTTTCGATTCGATATTCCACGTCCGGACTTATTGATGCAGTCTTTATAAAATCTCGCCATTTTCCGAAGAAGGCCGAATCTCACTGTTGGAATCGTGTTTTTAGA